GACATGAGCCTCGTGCTCGGCGGGATCGGAGGAGTAGATGAGGATGTCGTCCAGGTAGACGACCACGAACTGGTCAAGGTATTCTCGGAGGACATCGTTGACGAAGGCTTGGAACGAGGCAGGAGCGTTGGTCAAGCCGAACGGCATGACGTTGTACTCGAAGTGGCCGTAGCGGCAGCGGAAGGCCGTCTTCCACTCTTCACCTTCAGCGATGCGCAAGAGGTTGTATGCGCCTCGCATGTCGAGCTTGGTGAAGATCTTGGCCTTGCCGAGGTTGTCGAACGTCTCGGCAATCAGGGGCAAGGGACAACGGTTCGGCACGGTGATCTTGTTCAGGGCCCGGTAGTCGACGCAGAGACGGAGGGAGCCATCCTTCTTCTTGACGAACAGGACTGGGGCACCGGCAGGGGACTCGGAACGGCGGATGAAACCCTTGGACAAGTTTTCTTGGATGTAGGTGTGGAGGGCGTCCATCTCCGGCTTGGAGAGGTTGTAGACGGGCCCAAACGACGGAGACGCACCTTCGACCAACGGGATCGTGTGGTCGTAAGGGCGGTGCTGGGGGAGCTTGTCGGCCTCGGACTTGGAAAACACCTTGGCAAAGGACGAGTACTTGGAGGGGACAGAGGGCTCGGCCTTGGGCTTGGCTCCAGCGTCGACGGAGCAGAGGGACAGGACTCGGGCAGCATCCAAGAGGAACACTTCCAGGCCTTCCTTCTGGACGGCGTGCTGGAAGGGGATGCTGCCGATCAGGCTGACGCTGGGCAGGGACTGGGTCTTGGTCTTGGTCTTTGGGACGGCAGGAGGCAAGGCAGGACTGGGCTTGGGCACGGCAGGAGGCAAGGCAGGGAGGATCTCGGGCTCGGCTGGGGACTCGGCTGGGGACTTGGCAGGAGCAATCTTGGACTCGGGCAGGGACACGGCAGGCTCGGCGGGGACCTCAGCAGGGGACTCGGCAGGCGGCTCGGCAGGGCTGGACCTAGAGGACTGTGGCTCGGGAGAGAACGGGGAGGCCAAACTGTGGATAGAGGTGCAAGGCAAGAAAATAGAGTCATGGTGCCAGTCAAAGTAGGGTTTGTGTTTCTTGATCCAATCCATACCCAAGATGATCGGGTATGAAGCCAAGGGAATCAGCGCGAACGAGATTTGTTCATAGTGGCTGATGCCTGTGATCATAGAAACACAAACTCCAAGACTAGACTCCATCGAAGAACCATCGGCAAGAGTGATGACGAAAGAAGTTTCAAAGGTGGGGAGAGCGTGGGTTGCGGCGAATCCAGTGTCCATAAACGAAGTAACCGCGCCGGTATCGATCATGGCGGTTGCCCGTATGGACTCTGGACCGCACAGCAGAGTCACAGCGAGGGAGGGCTGACGTTGGATGTCAGGCTCGGGAGGCGAAGACGAAGAAGCAAGAGCGGTGGAAACGGTGGCAATGGTGACGGGGGCAAGATGGCAAAAGGCAGAAGAGTGATTTACCGTGGAGACATTTACAGGAGGAAGATTTATGACATGATTGACGCCTAGGAAAGCTCCTCCGACCTTTTCTAGGCAGAGAAGTTTTCCTGGTCGTCAAGTTTATTCACCTCAACAGCAGCCAAAGAAGCATCGATGGCAGCCAAGCGGGAGGAGGTCTTATTGGGGCAGCGAAGGGCAATGTGCCCTTCCTGCTTGCAATAAAAGCAGCGGTTGGCAGCACGGAGGGCGGCCTTGTCCTCGGCGGTCAGCCTGCGAGCGGAAGCCTGGCTGAGGTCCATGGGCTGCGGAACGTTGAAGGCTTGAGCGGGGCGAGGAGGAGGAGCAGGAGCGAAGGGACGAGGAGCCGGACGGAAAGGGAGAGGAGCCGGACGAGCAGGAGCAGGAGCAGGAGCGGAGCGGTGGTTGGGACGGCGGGAGCGTTGGTCCTCCTGGCGGTTGTCGATGGCGATCGCCGCTTGCATGAGATCTTCGAGGTTGTCGAAGGAGCGGCGGGAGAGTTCGTCTTGGACCGAGGGCTTGAGTCCACTCTCGAAGTGGAACATGAGAGGGTCTTGGGACCAAGTGACGAGGTGGACGGCTTGGCGGCGGTACTCGGCGGCATAGGCGGCGGCGGAGGTGACTTGGTAAAGCCTGACCATCTCGCGAGCAGCGGCGATGGTGGGCTGAACCTGGCCAAAGGCAGCACGGAGCCACTCGGAGAAACCGGCAAAGTCACGGATGGCAGGGGGGGAGCACTCGGGGTCTCTCTCCAACTGATCGATGTACGGCTGCATGTAGTCTGCAGCAGTACCATCGAGATAGGATAAGGCGTAAAACACCTTATCCCTTTCAGTCTGGAAGAGGGGAGGGTTGGACACGAAGGCCAGTCTGCAATGCGAGAGGAAGGCATTGCAGCGGCTCGGGTCCTTACCAGAGAAGCGGTCGGGAGGACCTATCTGCCTGGTGGCAGAGTTGCGACCAGCAGAGTGATCCTCGGGGTCTTGGGCAGGATCATCGACGTCGTCAGGTACGCCGAAGTAGGGGCGACCTGCGCGACGGATCGGGGCGGGAGCGGGAGCAGGAGGAGGTAGCTGGGCCTGGTAGCTGCGGAGGGCCTCCTGGACACTGGCGGCGACAACTTGGCGGACATCCTCTTCACGGCGAGCCAGGACCTGGTCCATACGATCGGTGATGCGGTTGAGCGCATCATCCTGATCGTGGAGGAACTTGGAAAAGTCCTGGAGAGAACGGGCGTTCTCGGCGGACTGGATAATGACCGCACGGATGGCCTGGAGCTCGGGCTCGGAAAGGCCAGAAGGGGAAGCCATTGGTAAAAGAGATAGCGAAGGGAACGGGGGCAAAGGCAGGGCAAGTGGGGGGTTGTTGAAGGTCTTGCCAAGTGTCAAGACTGGACAACGGGGCAAGCAGGGAAGTGCGCAAGAGTCCTAATACAAGACTCGAACGTAGGGAGAGGAGCGGGGACTGGACTGGGACACAGAGTGTCAAGTGTAAAGCCAAAGTTTTATTCTAGATCCAAGGCTTAGGATACTAAAAATACAAAGTGGCAAGACGAAGGCAAAGGACAGAGGCTGGTCGGAGGACTATTTATGCGAGCGCCAAGGATCGACGCTGCAGAGCGAGGGGGCAGGAGCGAAGCAGCGGCGGGGAGGGCGAAGCAGCGAGCGAAGCAGGTGGCGGCCGTGACTCGGGATCCGTGAGTCAGCGGGCGTCAGTGGCGGCGGCATGGCGGCGCCAAGGCGTCAGGCGGCGTCGAGGCGGCGTCGTGGGCGTAACCCATGACCAACAGCAAGGAAGCGGGAACGGAACACAGACAGCGCGCGTGCTGGCGATAAGACAACAAGGCAGCACAGCGCGGGAAACAAACAAACAGAAGGAAGGGAAAGCGCTAAGGCAGGCAAACAGAAAGGAAAGGGCAAGGGTAAAGGAAGGAAGAGGGCAAAGGCAGAGGGTGTTCATGACACCAGCCCAGTCCCACGATCAACACCAGAACAGATCGAGATCGTCACGGGACTCATCATGGTCCCACTATCCACCTCGCAACGACGCAGACGGCTGCTCGGGAACGGGCTCTCCGGGATCACGAGTAGTGAGGAAGGATCCCACAACCGAACAAACCGACAGAGTACCACCACGATGAATGAGGACGCTGTCACCACACCCATCAAGGAGCTCATGCTCACTGAGCATATGAGAACAGCGTTTCGAGGGAATCAACAGCTGACGGCGGCATGCACACCGTCAACCCAGATGTCAGGTCTCTGGATGGCGGAAGGGTACCAAGGATCCAAACCCATCCTCGAGCTCATGGTTCGGTGGAGACTCGGAGCCTTCCCGGGCCACCACACAGGCCGGCTTCAAATGTGCCGACAATGTTCGACAAACGGAGCCACCGTGGAGTTCAACCGCACCCACGCACAGCGGTGCATCGACCCAAGAGGGATCCTCCCGAGGAAGGTGCGCCAACTTCAACGATCACACCCAGCATGGGTGGAGCCTCAGACCATCGGAGTGGGACCAGTCGACAAGCTGCTGGACCTGATCACCTTTGAGCAACAGAAAGCAAGACAGAAGAACCACGAGGACACTGACGGTGGAGCGGATTGCAGGCCACCACCAATCGTGTCCGACACCACGTCGGATGGGGAGACCAGCATTGACGAAGCAGTCTCGGATGACGACGGGGAGTCGCTCTGGTACCCACATCGAGAGGTGCTGGCACGACTGGAGCGACTCCGGCTGACCGACGACGACTCAACAGACCTGAGCTCCGAAATGAGCTCGGTGCCAGACTGGGAATTGAATCTGGAGAGAGATCTGGACTTTTCCTTCCTCACCAACATCGACGACGACCTGCCCAGCCACGGATGGGATTGGCAGAGCGACCAGAGTGTCGACTTGCTCTCGGACACAACACCAAGCATCGATCTGATCGACGATGCCGATCTGAGCCCGGACCTGGTCTCGGACGACGACCTCGGACTCGGAGACACACCGTTCCCAACGACCAGCAGGAGAGGCAGCCTTCTCCCCACACCGAGCAGTGACAGAGCGACTGGGGCGCTCAGGGCCACGAGGCCACGACAGCGACCCCAACGAACAAAGCCGTGGATGGGCTTTGAGGAGATCCCGGAGAGGAGCTCCCATGGCCAGAGAGAAAGGGTCCCCGAGTGGGACCTGGAGACATGCGAGTCCCTGTGGGACCTCTTGGAGGAAGTGTTCACCCGCATGGCTCGCCGTGTGGGCTGGAGAGTCGGCGAGAGCCGCAACAGGGGCGTGTGAGCCTGCTTGTACGCCCACTGCCGGGTACCGCATGGTACTGATGGCTTGTTGAATATTCCTGAATATACAACTATTGTAAACAAAAAAAAATTGCACCCTTGGAACTTGATACAAGAGCGCAGTTCGGGATTGATGCTGGCTGTACCCACAGCACCGCAGAGAGTGTTCCATATGATCAACATGAGAATATCATCCAGGCAGGATTGATTCCATCATCCATGCAGGACTGATTCCATCATCCAGGCAGGACTGATTCCATCATCCATTTTCTCTATATTCAAACATCGCTACACTTGTTGGCGCACCCTGATGTGAGCAACCACCATCCTATTTAACCACGGGCCGGCAAAGCGAGGGCGTGAATTCGTGAGCCGCCCGAGTTCCCCGAAACAGATATTGCGCCAAAGGCTCGTGAAAGCCCTGCCACTCCCTCGGTGTTGGAGTAGCGAATCTTGGACAGCTCGCCCATCAGTCGCTCAATCTCGTCCCTCGAGGGCACGGCCTCGCTCCTCTCTTGAACCGCCAGCACCATCTTCTTCTCGGCCTCGTGGATCAACTTGTCGGTCTCCAGATCTTTGAAGCTCTCACTTGATTGGCCAAGAGAGGCGCCGCTCATGCCCGAGGCTTGTGCGTCCTTGCTCAGGATCTCGAGATACTCAAGCAGCGAGGTGTTGAAGGGGATGATGCTGTGCTCCGTCAAGTAGCTGGCGAGTCGACGGCCGACCTTCCTGATGCTCTCGTCTGCGGCTTGGATTTCCCGCAGCGACTCCTCCAGCGTCTGGATGGCTTTGCTGATGGCGTGCTCTTTCGCCTGCGCCTTGGCTAGCTGTCGCTGTGCCGAAGGACTGGCGATCTCTCTTGATTCATATCGGACATCCCAGTCAATGTTCATGTGCTCTCGGAAGGAGTGCGAGCACGTTCGACACTGCTCGCGCACCATGATGGGGCTGAAGCGCAGTCTCGGGTCTCCTATACTCTGCAAGTGTATGTCCGCCAGGGTGCAGCGAGGATTGCACTTGACGGCATAGTCGATGATGCTCTGTCCGCTCTGGTCCTGCATCACCTTGGTGCAGCTCTTGTTGGTGCAGACGGTCATCGAGTGGGACAGCTTGTACTTGACGGGGATGTTGAGGGTCGTCGTCAGGGTGCGCTTGGCCTCGGCAATATCGGCCCGGGTCGACTCCAGGAGAGACCGTTGCTCTCTGATCACCTTCTCTGTGGCTTCCTCCAGGTTGGTGACATGGGCCGAGAACTTGCACAGCTTTATGAAGCAGCGCCGAGTGCTCAGGAGGAACACGGAGCTTTCGGTCTCGCAGGGCTCAATCTCGGCAATGGCTTGGATCAGCTTCCGAGATGTCTTGGTCGATTTCTCCCACGAGGAGCGGAACTGGTTTCGCTCAGTGTCCGAAAACTCCATCTTGTGTTTGGCAACCAGGAAGCGGAACGCCTCGTTGTCGATCATGAAGACGTTATTCGCAATCGGAATCTCGACCCCGGACTCCCGCTTGATCTCCTCCAGCAGCGCAGTCAAGCTGGAAATCGTGTCGCCATTCCGGAAAAAGGAGCTTCGTGAATGCGTGAGCATGAACATAACATTGTTTGCACAGCGCTTGTGCAGGTTCTTGAGCAGCTCCTTGAAACAAAACTTGAACGGAATCGTCGTCCGGGTCACGTCGGACTTGAGCAGAAGAAACACAGCACTGATGTTGTCGTAGTGGGAGAGATAACCGATGATGTTTTCGACGTTTCGTCGGTCTTGGTCAAAGCCCCGGGTGTCGCCCAGTCCGGGGGTGTCGATGATTCTGATGGACACATGCCGACCCGAATCGAGCTGCGTCTCCAGGATGTAGGTGCGGGGGCTTTGTGTTGAGGATCGTCCGACAATGTGCTGTTCATTGTCGGTCGTCGATTCTGGCCAGAGACCCGGGCGGTTAGTCAATACTGAGGGGCAGTGCGAGGCAAAATGCGACTGCGACTGCTTGTTCAACACAACAAATCGCCGAGGATCTTATGCGAGCCTACCGTGGGTCGACTTGAGTGTGAGATTGCCTGATTTGAACATCGTCCCGTGTCCCGTGGCCTCAAAGTCGTGCAGCGAGAACTGCGTCGGGATCATGATCTTCATATTGCCTTGATCAACGCTGTCGATGTCGGAAAAGCTCAGGTAGTTTGCCAGTGCATTGATGAACGTCGACTTTCCAACGCCCGTCTCGCCAAAGACCAGGATCACGGGTTCGGAGGCGGGTGCATGGTGCGGCGCCGAGGTTGAGGGCGAGGGCGAGAATACTGAGCGAAACCCGTCGATGCGCTTCGATGCCATGCCGGGATACGCTACGGAGCTCGTGGTGAGGATGCCGGACAGTAGCCAGAGCGACGAGGTTCCTCTGGGCAGTCTTTGGGCAGCTGTCTCATGGCCATTTCTGTCGGGTGAGGCGGCTGTCTTGTCGCTGCAAACTCCCAAATGTGGGTCGCTGTGTGACTTGCTTGGCCATGCCATCTATCTTGTTGCCGCTTCTTGCGAGGACTAGTGATCGAGTCTTGCTTCTGTCGCGGCGCTCGCACCTTGACTGGCCATGGGACTCGGAAAGTGTCAGCCCGGGTCCCGAGAGGTCCCACAGCATGAGCTCCCGCCAGCGACTGCGACGACATGTGCCACCGTATCTGAAACATGTGCACCCCAGACGTCGCTGTGACCGAGCCACACCGCCGGGAATGGGTCAAAGATGAAACACAAGGAGTCGACTTGACCTCCTCCGATTGGCCAGACATCATATCGAGCGCTGCTTCGAGATCCGGATGGCATGGGATCGCACAGCGGCCTGACAAAGCACAGCGTTGGGTCGAGCCTGGGGTGAAACCGCGGCAGTCCGCCACCAAGCGAGTCTCGGTGCGACTGACAGTGTTGGGAGGCATCAAGGGTCGGAATACTACTCACGGACATCGAAAGCGCCCGACCAGGGTCCGTCATCCGCCCGGAGCGGCAGATGAGCGTCTCATCACCCGAGTTCAGAGATCTGAAGCCAGGAAGGAACTGTCCCGTTTCTTTCTGGACCGACTGTATTTGTGGCTGGAATAGATATCAGCACCCGCTGGTGTGTTTATGAGACGCCAAGCCGTGAGAGAAGGAACTTGGGAGAGCCGAAGAGTACGAGGCTCTGTCTAGGAGCGTGAAAACTTGAACTTGGAGAAGAATTCTTTGACACCGACCCTGGGTTTATCGTAAATAGGGGTGTATGGCGCCGGAGGTCTTATTGCCGGGGTGGGCAGCTGCGCCTGGGCAGTGCCAGCAGCACCAACCAACGAACCGTCGTTCAGTGGCTGTGGTTTGACGGTGCGCTCTTGTGAGCCTATTCCATTCTCCTCGGTGTAGTCCGTGGGCAGGTCAAAGCTCTTGAAGAACTGGCCCGAGAACTCCATGTTCACGAGCTCATCCATCAGCTTTTTGATGTCGTTCACACTTGGAGCGAAAAACATCTTCATCCGAATGCCTTCTGAGAGCACCTTTCGCTCAGTGACATAGATAGCCTTGAGCTCTTCCAGCCCTTTGATCTTCTCCTCTCGGGCTCCGACATCACCACCGAAGGATTCTCGAGCGTCTTTGATCAGATGGTCGAGATAGTCCAGCATGGCATCGTTGTAGAGAACGATGCCGTTATTCTTGACAAACGCAGAGAATTTGGCGCTGATTTTCATGATACGCTTCTGCTCTTTCACCAGCTGCTTCTGATAACTCTTCAGCTCCTTGATGGTTGCCTGGACCTTTGACTGGCGGTCCTTTTGTTGAGCGATTTGATCCTTGATATTGGGGTCGATGACGGACTTTTTTTGAAACACGAGCTCCCATTTGATGTGCATGTGCTCTCGAAAGCTATGGGTGCAGCGGACACAGTGATCGTTTTGCATTTGCGCGCAGAGCGCGAGTTGAGGGTCGCCGATCGTTTGAACGGGAACCCTCTTTAGATAGCATGGCTTGTGGCATCGGGTGATGTAATGGGTCAAGTTATTCCCAAACTCATCTTGAATATATCGGACGCAGCCTGGGTTGGTGCACACGGTCGTGGGGCGATCGATCTCGCGCTTGACGGGGGTGTTCACCTTGATGTTCAAAATCTTGTCGAGATCTTTCACGGAATTGGCTGCAGTCTGCAAGGTCATGATTTTGTTTTCAATGTTGCTCTGATTTGTCACGATCATGGCGGCAACGTCGCCCAGAGGCTTGCAAAGCTCGAGGACTTTGTCTCGAACCAGATACAGGGTGGTGGTCTGTTGGGTTTCATGAGGCGTGAGACTTGAAACCACGTCGAGAAGCTTGCGACAGGCGCTGGAGGACATTTCCCATGAGATGAGGAACTTTCTCTCTTCCTCTTCCTCGAATTTGACCTTGTTTTTCGCCAGCAGGTACCGATAGGCTTCATTGTCGATCATAAACATGTTTTCGTTCCGGAGGAAGATGGAGACTCTGGAATCTTTCGAAATCTGTTCAATGAGCGGCAGGAGAGAGTCCATCGTGTCTCCAGGGCGGAAGTTGGTGCTCTGGGCGTTGGTGAAGAGGAAGACCATGTTCTTGACGCACTCGCGGTGCAAGCTCCGCAGCAGCTCCATGACACAGAATCGGAAGAACGTTGTCAGGCGGCTCTGGTTGGGCTTCAGGAGAATGAGGATGCCGTGGATTTTCTCGTAGTTGGCAATGTACTGGATGATGTTGTCCATGTTTTTCTTGTCCTGCTCGACGCCTCGGGTGTCGCCCATGCCAGGAGTGTCGATGAACTTGACCGTCACAGGCTCTCCGTTGCTGAGCTCGGTGTCGAGCACGTAGGTGTGTGGGGACTGAGTCGATGACTGGCCCTGGCCCCGGACTTCGTTCTTCCATGCGGAATCTGAGTCAAAGTGGACTGCTGGCTCAGGGGATAGGCACGTTCACATAACCGGCTGCACGCACCACCGAGTCGATGCACACAACATTGCATTCGTCACCATTGCTGGACCGGATGACTTACCAGCGTTGGATCGGAACGAGAGTTGTCCCGACTCGATCAGCTTTCCGTCGGTCAGAGCCCCAGGCTCGAAAACGTAAAAACTTGTGGGGATGAGGTTGATGATCCGGTCCTCTCGGATCTCGTCGATGCTATTGAACAGCAAGTAGTTGGGCAGGGCGTTGATGAAGGTCGATTTTCCGACTCCTGTCTCGCCGAGGATCAAGAGCACAATCTCCCGCCTGGGGCCGGAATACGGTTGGCTCGGATACGGGCTGATAACATGGTGCTCGATGACCTCCACCGTCGGCATATTGGCAGCAACCATGATGCCGTTGGAGTTTGAAGGCAAGTACCGTGCGTGTCTGCAGTGCGCTCTTGGGGCAGGGTCGAGGCACCCGATTTTAGAATCCCTAAGCTGACGGAGGACCGGCAGATGCTGGGCTCGCACGCCTTGCCGCGAACGAAACCAAATCTGGACGATGCGGGAACACCATGCGCTCTGTGGCACGACGGCGGGGCTGAGACTGGCCGACCCGGCATTGCGCTTGGCTGGGTGCCCCTGCCAGACGATCCTTGTGTTCTCCTGTGGCACCCTGGCCCACGAAGGGTGATCGAATCTGAGACCAAAGCCGCACCAATCGACGCCGTCCTCGCGTACCACGTCGCACGATGCCACATGTTTCATGTGCGCGTGGGCCCGATGCGCCGTCCGTGGGGGTGCGGGGCCGATGGGCACACAGGGTGGGGCCCGCTTGTGTTTCAGGATTGATGCCGACGCTGTGTGCCCCGGGCGGAGGCTGCAGTGCGACGGCCGCGCAGCCTGGCGCTACAGCACAGCCCGCTGGGACACGGCCGAGCCAGGGCTGTGTCTGGACCAGGGTCGCACCGATCGACGGCCTTTTGGCATCTCGTCGCACGGCGTTTCAGCACACCGGCGCCACAGGCTGCCGATGTCCCGGGCGATGCGATTGGCCTGCGACGGGGTGCGCACGGCCATTTTTGGTGTTGGGGATACCCTTTCGGGAGGCACTTGCTGGCGGGCGGGCGGAGGAGGAGGGCAGCCGCATCACCGATCCGCACGGCGCATCCTGTCTTGGTATATCAGAGACAACCGCAAGTCGTTCGGCTAGCAGGTTACTTGCTCCCACACTCCCAAGCGCTTGCAAACATGACAGCCCCCCAGAGCGATCGCATCCTGGTCATCACAGACCTGGCTGGCGAGCAGAGCGACAAGGTCGTTCGAATCCTCAGCGATCTCCTCCATCCCGCTCCGCAGAAGAGTAAGCACACATGTCATGGTTCTCGCTCTTGAGTGCCCGAGCCATCCCATCTGCTCTTCTTCCGCACTCACACTCTCGTTGCCCGGAAACAGAATCAGCTGGGTTCTTTTCCAAGTCCAAAGATCGCACCGACGCCTCAGAGACCAAGGCAGTCAACTTCGAGATGTTCGCTATGCAAGAGCCACCTCGACTCCAGTCCATTCATCCCATTCAAGAGCAGCTCCGGCGCATTCCCAAAGAGAGCAGCTTCCGAAAGGTCGTGGTTGTAATCCAACAATCGCCATCTCCCTTCACAGACTACTGGGTCTCCCAGCTGCTGCTGTGCTGGCCAAGAAACCGAGTCGATAGCCTGCTCTTCGCAGTCGTTAGCAAAGACCGCTGGACCATGAAAAAACCTGCAGAACGAATGATCGAATTCGCTCGGGCGGCACGCACCGTGCCCGTGATCCAAGTTGAGTCTTTAGAGGACTCTTCGAAGCAAAACATGCACTTCTTCCGCATTGCTGTGCCCAGCGCCGGCACAGGAACCTTGTCGAGGAATCCGAAGCAGAGTGTCACCACCCTTGCCGCCTATCTGGCTGCCGACACCCACATAGCGTTCCAAGACATCCATTACTTCATATACGTGCGTCGGATCCTCTCCAAAGGGCAGGGCCAGCTCGCCATCCTTGATTCATCGCACGAGCAGGGACAAGAAACAGGGGCGTCCAACCTCAAAGCCCATCTTGAGATATTGAAGAACCACATCAGAGACGCAACCATCCTGAACTCTGCGTCTGTCTCGTACATGGAAACCCTCCTGGGATCACGAACACCCACTGCAGGCTATTCAGACCAAGAGTTACCCCAGCTCAAGTTTCGACTCGAGACAGAGAGAACTGTATACTCAGATTTGTCGCTTCCATCTGTTTCGAGCCATGCCACCGCAACACCTGAGGAAGTAGCCAGTATCCTCGAGGGCATTGCGTCGTCTCTGGATGATCAAGAATCACTCCAAGGTGCCCCACCTAGCAGTTTCATCAACGAGCAACCCGGTGATGTACCCGAAAGGTCCGTGGGCCGGTATTGATCAATACTATAGTCAGCAATCCTTGTGCTGCTCTCTGCCTCACCAGCCCCCTCTGACTCGCGCTCATTTCGCCTCGACAGCTCGACTGCCCAAGATACATTTTCCGGCTCCGTAGTCGTGGGTGATCAACCAAAACACCACCAGAATCAGCTTAACATCACAACAGGTGTGCAACTGGACTCGATTGCAGGCAGTGTAGAATGCTCGTCCCCGCCTCCGTGCCATAGCTAAGTCAACTAATTGCTCTGAGTCACCCAGATAAGCAACCTCATCCAATTGTAGACTCATCAAAGTCCCAGGCCAAGAAACCCGCTGTCCATCAGCAATTCGACGACTCTGACTTTCTGAACCTGCCCTGGAACGGCCAGGATGTCAATATCCTGGTCATGGGAGAGACCGGTGTCGGCAAGTCGACCCTCATCAACGCCGTCGCCAACTACGTCAGTTTCAAATCTCTGGAAGAAGCCTGTGCCTCCTCTGAGATTGTGGCCCTCGTGCCAACAAAGTTTGTTCTCTACGACCCCGAAACATGCAAGCCGACCGAGATCAAGACCGACGATAAATCCTTGAAGGTGCCTGCTCACGGTGAGTGTGCCGCACCTCCATAACTCTGTGCAGTCGTCGATGGTGCTGATCCGCCATTTGTTCCTCGCCCAGCCGCGCACGCCAACGAAGTCTACAAGCAAGGACAGTCGACAACGCAGCATCCCCAGTCGTACGTGTTCAGTGTATACGACGAAGACAACCTGCCAACCAAAATCAGGATCATCGACACCCCAGGCATGGGCGACTCGCGAGGCGTCGAGACTGACAGACTCAACATGCAAAACATCATCCGATGCGTCACCCGCGTCGGCAAGATCCATATGCTAGTCATTGCGCTGCCCACAAACCAGAGCCGACTCACGGTCTGGTTCAGATTCTGCATCATGGAGCTGTTCAAGTACCTGGACCGTGGCACCGTGGAGAACATTGCGTTCTTGTTCACCAAGGCCCGGTCGACAGCCTTCCGAGTGGGCGACACCATTCCAAACATGAGACAGCTGTTTGACCAGATCAAGTCCCAGTCAGGCGTGGACATCCACCTGGACGACACCAACAGCTTCATCATCGACAACGAGGCATATCGCTATCTCCTCGCCAAGGACAAGGTCGAGTTCTCTGAAGGCGAGGTTCTCCAGTTTGACGATTCGTGGCACAGATCCTCGATCGCATGCCGCAAAATGGTCAGGGTCGCCCGGGGACGAAGCCCAAAGGACTTCAGGGTGACTGCCCAGCTCGAGGCCCTGAGGACGTACATTGACAGGGAAATCCAGAGCCTGGTCGCCTCCGAGGGCACCGAAGAGTCGCTGAACAAGCAGATCAAGGAGCACGAGGATGGCATTCGTGCCGTTGAGCACACAATCAGTTATCTGAAAAGACAGAACAACGGACGGCTCGAAATGACGGCAGAGTTTTATCCCGAGGGCACCTTGGTTTGCAACCACATCGACTGCACGGACTTTAGGGTGCTCCCAAGCGGACAGTATGTGATCAAACCGGAGGCTCATCCAGCCTCGCCGCCTGCATCGAAGACTCGTACTTTGAACACAAAGCCGACTCCATGCTCGCATGGAAAGAACTTTCTGGAGAAGAAGTATATCAAGTGGCGCACCCACGTTGTCGAAGAAGACACCCTGAGCGAAAACATTCAGTCTGCCATCAGCGTCCAGCAGACATTCATCGACCAACACCGCAGCGCAATCGCGGCTCTCAAAACTCAAATCGAGCAGATTCGAACGCACCGATCACAGTCGCTCCAGCTGCTTGCGCTGAGCAATCAATGCCTGCACCAGCACAGCGTCGTGGTCAGAAACGAGACCTTCCTGGACGTCGACGACTTCCAGGTGATCCAGCAGCAGGCCGTCGAGAACGGCGTGGTCAATCTCGCAAAGCAAAAGAAGCTCGAGTCCGTCCGCGATGCCTACAAGAGGGAACAGCAGTACCTGTCGCAGTCGCCGGAGCATCAAGCCAATCCGCAGACTCTGGACGAAGTGCTTGGACTGCTCAAAGCCAGCAGTGGAGAAACAGAGCTAGACCTTGACAAAGCCGTCCAAGATTTCCAGAAGGAAATGGCAGAGTTTGACTGGGAGGCCAAGCCGACTCCTAAATCTAAGCCAGCCACAGCCCCTGTCAATGAGAGCGGAGATCTCCACGACGATGCTATCAATACTTTGCCTCATAAAATACAACCGTCGGAAGCCGGATCGAAGGTCGATGTTTTCTCCAAATCGACAGCCGCTCAGACACCACAAAACATTGCAGACGATGGCATTAAAGTTGACGACGCTTCTAAAGAAGCTCTCCCTGTCAATACAAGCGATGCAACGCAACCTGGCGCGGCTGAAGATGCCGGCCCCACCCCTGACAGCCAACAAGAAACCATCGCATGTCCTGCCCCGGATGAATCGACCGTATCTGATAGCAATCCCACCGACTCAAACGATTTCGAACCTCGTGTGAGCAAATCTGATAGCAATCCGGAACCACAGCCGATCACTCCGGCCCAAGGAACGAAATTCGTTAAGGTTCCAACCCAATCCGATTCAACTGCGTCGCCAACGAACCACCATCAAGATGAAGAGTCCGATGCAATCTCCGAGAGCCATGATCCCATGCAGACCGCCGATGCAACGAATGCCTCTCAAGTCCAAACGCCTCATGATAATGATTGCAGCTCCAAAACCGCCGCCTCTCAGATAGCTGCCCCGACCACGAATCCATCCTCGGCCGAGACACCAACTCCCCCGCAAGTTCAAGTGAAAGACGCAGCTGAGCAGGCGAAAGTGACTGAGGATTCAGCCCAGCAAACAGGTGCAACCTACGCCAATAATGCACCAACCCATCGCGACAGTATTGCTTCTGAAGAGTGTCACGGAGCAGAAACCCACAATGCGCCTCAAGTCAACGATGATATTGCTTCCACCATTGATCAAGTTGCATCTATTCCGAAGCTCCAGGAGCAAGTTGTCTATGTCTCTGATAGTAGCATCTCGCAGACTGTCCCAAGTGATTGAGATTGCTCGCACAGACCTGTTGTTTTGTTGTCCCCGGATTAACCACGTTGGGTCTCAGCTGTTGGATTCGTATTCTGCTTGCCACTGAATAAACTCGTCGGATCGTATCCAAGCGCTTCTCATTTCGATCAGCCCCATCACGAGCACTTGCTTTGGTCTGTTTCATTTTCAATTGCGCATCCGTGGGGACAATCAGCCATGGTGCGACCTGATCTAGAAATACAAGATGCACCCCAAAGTCGCGCTCGATCATTTCGCCTGGGCTCGGACTCCCTTGGCCGACTTGGTCCAGGTCGCTGCGTGCCGAAGGATCCATGTAGCCATTATCACACACACCGCTCTGGTTCTAAGTTGTGACTTGCGGAGACGCCAACACCACTCGCAGCGACAAACCAGTATCAATATCACATCATGTATTGGCGGCACCGTTTCGGAAACATATATGAGGACGAGCTGGGCTGCGAGGACACATGTGGCGCGCCGGTGTGCATTTCTTGGAAGAGGTAAAGACATATGAGAGAAGCGAGCTCGCTTCGCGACGAAAGTGCCCTTGGCGGTCGCTACTTGGATTTCTTTGGCTGCTGAGGTGTAAGGTTTTGTCCTGAGCCTGGAGCTGGGCCCTTGGGTGATCCTGAGACCTTTGAGCCTCCTCCTTTGGTTTGGTCGGCCTGTTTGTTTTGCTTCTGTTTGAACATCGCGGGAACTTTACCGAATTTACTGATAAATGACGACTTTCCTTCATCTTCTCGAGATGCAGTAGGCTGGGGCGTTGCTGCCGGGTTCTTCTCCAAACCATAACCATCGGCTTGACCGTCGTCCTTTGGTTGTGTTGCATCATCCCGAGGCAGTTCTTGCTTTGCAGGGATTTCAGGGCTGGGTTCAGGCTGACTGAGTTCTTGGGTTTGAGATGGATAATGGTGGTGGGAGTTGAACGACTGCTGTCTCGTGAAGGTTGCATTTGGATGTGTTTGGGTTCGTGGATCATACATCGGATTTGCTGGAGTCGATGTATTCGTATACCGCGATTGCTCAAGTTCGAGATTCGATGGACCCCTTTCGATTTTGCCACGTTGCGACTGGGGAGCCACCGGGCCTGCGTAACCGCTGGCATGGTAGTCTGAAGCACCAGGATATGGTTGCCCTCCGGTTCCAGGACGGGGCTGCTGGTAGGCCGATGCTGCTGGTTGCGACTGAGAAGATGTTCTTGGATTATAGGCGTTTTGAATCTCTGTACTGGCATCCGAGCTTCCATTTTCACGCATCCGGGGATAACCTTGATTTGCTGATTGCGAATTGTAACCACTGTATGACATTGCAACGTTGCTGGGTCGATAGTGTGGATCCAAACTTGGGGTAGAAGACGGTCGATACGAACCATGTTGAGTCACCCCCACTTGTCCAACGAGGCCTTGGTTTTGCATGGGATGATGATATGAGGGCTGCTGTTCGAGTCGCTGGCCCAATCGCTCACTTGGATAGTACTCAGTTGGAACGTGTCCAGCGGTATGAGCCGCTGCTCCAACAGTACCCACAGGCTGGGCAGACGGGTTTTGAAGCAGTCGCACCTCTTCACGATCGCCGAGTCTCTCGCCCGCTACCCTATCGAATCGGCTCAAGAATGGACCGCGAGGGCCCTCGAGCTGCTCCATGAGGTTCCTGATTTCATTGATGTCATGGACGCGGTGGGTAGCTGCTCCGGCTTGAGAAAGTAGTCTCTTCTCATTATCGTAGTCATGCTTCAGGCGCTCGAGGTTGCGGAGTCTTTCCTGGTTGGGCACACCATTTTTGAAAGCCTCCTGCTTGATGATTTGGAAATCGGTGGCATCAAGCAAGGTCTCGTTTCGAAGGACGATACTGTTGTCCCTCAAGAAGGCACTGCACAGAGCAATGAGATTCAGATGCTTGGCTTTCTGATCCTCCACGCTTCGTCCAATAGCATTTTGACTATCAATATCGCGCGTAGTTTGATCGATCGTCCTTTCGAGCTGGGCAATATGGCTTGCAATTTCACTGCTTTCTTCGCCCTGTTGCATCTCGATTGTGTAAGTGACATTGACCATTTTTTGATATCCTGCGCCGTGGACACACGTTCGCTGAGCTTGTGGGTTGTGATATCCCCGGGAACGATTGTCAACGGAACGGCGCAGGTCCTGGTACCCGGTCTTGGTTATCTTGACTTCGACGCAATCCGGGTGGCTGCAGACTTTGACGCCATTGCGATGATAAACAGGAACGAGACTGATATAGACAGACTTGAGTTTCTTCAATTCGTCGATATCACGATGAATATCATTAATGATGGTAGCCAGTCGGTCGCGCTCTCGAGTAGCACGCACAATCTGATCGTCGTAATTAAGGATGGGATCCACTTGTGTGTTGAGGAAATCACGAACAACCTCGAGCTGGGCTGTTTTACTAAAGTCTTGAGGAGGCTGTCCCTGGGCCAGGGAGATGAGCCGTCGACACTCGGAGGCGGAGCGGTTCCACGACTCGTTGAACTTTTTGATGTCCTCCAAATCATATATAATCGTATCTTTCGCAAGGAGATAGCGATAGGCTTCGTTGTCGATGAGGAAGGTGTTTTTGTCGGTCAAAGGGATGCTGATTCCAGTCTGGCTCTGGATCTCGCGGAACAGTTCGTTGAGGACTGGAATCGTGTCGCCCGCACGGAAAGAGGTCGTTCTGGCCTTGGTGAAGAGGAACACGATGTTCTGGATAACGTCACGGTCCAGGTACTTGAACAGCTCCATGATGCAGAAGCGGAACCAGACAGTGAGCTTGCTCTGGTTCGTCGGCAGGGCAATCACGACGCTGTGGATCATGCCGACCTTGGAGACATACTTGACGATGTTGCTCATGTTCTGCTTGTCTGTCTCGATTCCGCGACTGTCACCCATGCCGGGAGTGTCGATGACCCGGATCGTGGACAAGGCGCCGCTCTGGCTTGGCACTTGGAATGCGTAGGCTTGCGGGTCCTGCGTTGTGGATTGGCCAGGAACCTGGTACTCATTCCGTTGAAGTCTGGCCTGCATATCTGATTGCACCCGAGTTTAGATATGGTCAGTTTCAGGCGGTCGGACCTCCATACCAATCTCAAGCCAATATGCGCATGTGTGGTAGTGCAAACAAACCCTTGCTTGCAAGCGGAACCGAAATGTTCTTGGTTTTGATGGTTGTTTCCTGGTAGGTGACGGGATCGCAGAGCACGTAGCTCGCCGGGATGAGGGTTACGGGTTCGTTGGCTTTGCAGGCGTCTCGGAGTGAGGGGAAGGTGATGTAGTTGGCCAGAGCATTGATGAGGGTTGATTTGCCGACTCCGGTCTCGCCCATGACCAGGATGTTGACGTCGCTGCTATTCCACACGCCGCCGACCGGGCTGACACCGCTGGCCTCTAGCCCTTGGTACAGGCTGTCGTCCGATCTCCACCACTTGAGAATCTCTTGAGGCCTTGGGGTTTCCTTGAAACCATCTGCTCCAAAGTTGGAAGCAGGGCTCAAAGAATTCCCGCCACGACTGACTTGGGGGTCACTTCTGTAGGGCACATCGGATGCGTGTCGGGCAGGACCACTGGAAAGATCGCCGTGCGGTGAACTCCAACGCTCGAATACGTCTTGCACAGGCCCCATCAAATCTTTTTCGATCGAGCTCCCAGGTCCTGACGAAGCTGGATTGTCAAGAAAAGAATTCGGCAATCTGTCACCAGACCCATTTAATGGGGTGCTCGTTTGAGGCACGGGATAGCTCGAACTGCCCCATTGGTGGGTTTGTCTGTCAATAGCAAGTTGAAGTTGATCTCTAACGAATGCTTGTATTTTGATTTGAGCCATGACCCATTGAAGTTGCTGGTGGCTGGCCGCAGACCGATCGTGAGTATCGATGTCACGATAATATTGCACCATACCGGCGAAGAAGGCACTGGCGTTGTTGTTGAAAGCAATCAAACTGCATTTGGCCAGATCGTCGGACAGGCGCTCGACGGATGAATGAAATGGAGAGATTGAGCTCTGGCTCGCCTGAGGTTCCCAGAAAAGTTGCTCGCAGTTGTAGTAGTGCTCGACTCGGTTGCTGACAATGTATTCAATTGATTGCAGATCTTGGGTCGGTTCGTTCTCTGCGAAGATTTGGTCACCGGTATGATAGGCTCGTGTCTGTGGCTGTCCGCTGTTGAAGCCGGCACTCGAGCCTTGGTCTGTGATCAGTTGGAACCACTGTTCATATTTTCTGTCGCGAGCGTCAACTGGACGAAAGTAGAACCCCTTGGTGGGAGGACTATCCAAGAGCAGCGGCGATGGACCTTGTCCTCCAGCATCGAGTACAGGGTTGCCGAATGCAAAGAGCATGACAGTCGGGGGATTCACTTTCGGGAGACATGCCAACACTTCAGTGATCCAGTATCGAGCGAAGGCATCAAAGGGCGCATGAGCAACCAAAGCTATTCCTTTGAGTCTGATTCTCGGCTTTCTTATGATGTCTTGGATAGCCGTGGCAATGTAACTCGGATTGGGTGCATATTCTTGGCGCACACCAATGTATTCGACACCCAGGCGGTCTGGTCGTCAGTCGCCAAGGAAATCGGTTAGCCTCGAGTGCTGGAAAAGGACAATATGTTCGCAGACGGAAGGGAGCCATAGCATTACCACGTTCGCGCTGTATCCCAGGCAGAGCATAGAAGTGATCGTAAAAGGCATTCAGTTGCTCGTTCGGGCAGTCAGTGATGACAAGCACCACGGACTCTGCCGCAGCACCGGAAGCCATGTTGGGGATGGAGGTGAGTGAAGAGGCGAGGAGAAATTGCGATCGGTATCTACAGAGATCAATATATAGGTGCCTGTCGGGCTGTGGGCCGCCCCGCCATGGAGCTCCTCGGAGCGTGGAGTTGCCCGATGTGGCTGGCGACGCGACACTCTGAAACGACGAGTTCCACGAAACACGCCTCTGTTTCAGGCAGAGGACGGAGGCACTGTCGGTGTGCGACTGCCGCCAGGCCCCATGCGCCTGTCAGACACCTTGGTTTCAAAATCCGAAACCAAAGGAGCAAGGCCGCGCTGTGGCGCAGGTTGCACACGGACGCCACAGCGCGGGTCATGTGGCATCCGGGTCGCACGACCTGCCAAACACGGCAAACTGCACCACCGCGATTCCGAATCGAGGCACTTGTTTCGGGTGGCCTGCACAGCTGGATACCCCCCCATGTCGGACCCGAAACACAAGCCTCCTGCGGCCCCGCGCCCGAGTGTGCCCGTCGCCCCTCAGAAAGGAAATGCTCACCGTGTCAGCGCCAATCCGCCGTGCTCACAGTATATATTTGTTGAGCTCCCTCGCCAGCTCCTGCTCCTCCAGCGCAAAAATGGGTTGGACTTCGTTCCAGTCGCCGGCGCCAAAGCCGGCCGCCCCTACGTCGGGCATGGCCTCCAGCCAAGCCGACGAAAGCTTCGTCTCCAACCCCAAGCAGTCTCAGGCCAACTTTGGGAGCGTGAGGCGCACCTTGACCATCTTGATTCTCGGAGAAACCGGTGTCGGAAAATCCACGCTGATCAATGCGCTTGCAAACTATCTCATATATGAAGACTTGTTCACCATCGGACCCGATGATGCGCTGACGCTGATTCCGACCAGCTTCTTCCTGTACGAGCCCGGAGAGCTGAGCAAGCCCATCGAAATCAAGTCCCAGAGACTAGCGCTGAACTCAGCCGCCACTGGCGGTGGACGTAAGTAGTCGTGGCGCACCAGGGCTGGGTTCTGCTTCGCAGGCTCTGCGTGACACGACATCTGCATCGCCTGCTCACGCTGCTGCAATATGCTACCAACAGGGAGCGCCACAACCAACGAAGAACACACCACCGGCCAGTCCTCGACCCAACACCCGCGCACCTATGTCTTCTATGCCCGTCTCATCAATGGAGAGCCGGTGCAGGTGAAGCTCATCGACACGCCTGGAATGGGTGACACCCGTGGCGTTGAGCAAGACAAGAAGAACATGGACCTCATCATCAACTACCTCGCAAACTACCCTGCCATCAACGGCATCCTGATGCTTATGAAACCCAACAACAGCCGCCTCACCACCTGGTTCCGCTTCTGCATCAAGGAGCTCCTCAAGAGCTTGCACAAGGACTGCGTCAACAACCTTATGTTCATGTTCACCAACGCCAGAAGCACCCTCTACCGCCCAGGCGACACGATGCCGGCCCTCAAGAGCCTTCTCGACGAGATCAAGCGCGACTCGAGAGTCAGCATTCCAATCACCAACACGAACGTCTTCATGGTCGACAATGAGGCCTACCGTTTCCTGCTCGCTCGTGGAAAGGTCAGATTCACACAAGAAGAGGTCGACGACTTTCGCTCCTCCTGGATGCGCTCCTCGAAAACCTGCCGCAACATGCTGAACACCATCGCCGGCATCCCGTGCCAGTCCACCGACAAAACCGTGATTCTCTACGAGGTCCGCCAAGTCGTCCTGGAGCTGTGCAAGCCCCTGGCCGAAGTCGCCGCAATGATCAGCGCAAACAAGAAGGCCATCAACGATCAAATCACTGCTCTGGATTCAAACCAGCAGAGTATCACCGATCTGCAGAAAGCTTTGACCATTACCAAAAAGGTTCCACACAGAAAGGAGCTCCCGTATCCAATGACTGTATGCACTCACGAAGATTGCGTCGAATATGTCCAAGGTGAAGATGGCATTGCTATGCCAAACTATGTCACAGAATGTCATGCCCATTGCTATCTGACCCAAATCAAGGTCAAGGCCGTTGGTGATCCACAGCTCGCCCAGTGTGCGGCCATGGAAAACAACGTGTGCATAAAATGTCATCATGAGTTTACAATCCACATGCATATCACCTACAAGCTGGAGGAACAGTCAGTCCAGGTTATCAACCAGAGCTATCAGCAGCAAATCGCATCTGAACAGGACAATGGCAGGAAAATGCAAATGACGCTCAGTGCCCTCCGCAGCACCGTCCGGGAACTCGAGGACGAGGAGAAGAAGATCATGTCGATCAGCGCCCGGTTTGCAGTGTTTGTCAAGGAGAACGGCATTGTCCTCTACAACGATGCCCTGCTGGACTACATTGATCACCTGATCAAGGACGCAAGAGATGCTGGAGCCAAGATCCCCGGGGCCGGGGCCATCCAGCAAACCCGAATCGACAGCCTCGAAAAGCTCAAGCTTGTGTACGAGAGTGAAAAGAAGCTGCTCACCGAAGGCATCTCGAGACAGAGTTTTGCGGTCCCCACGCCTCAAGACATCTTGGTTCTGATGGACGAGCTCGTCAACCTCAAACACAATGGCAGGTTCTTCCAGAGCTTCAACCTCCCATCCCCAGCAAAGTTCCGCACCGCACCAGGCATGATGCCGAGCCCCAGCCTGCCTCCCATTCATTATGCCGGAAATCATCATGAAGATGTCTCTGCGCAATATGTCTCATCTGAATATTACATGAGACCAACTGCGCCTCGCTCCAATCAACGGATGCGAGAACACTCCCCTCATCGCAATCCGTTCCGCAACTATGATGATCCGCAAGACAGTGGTGCTTATAGCGCCCAGCCTCCTCAGGCACAGTATCACCGGCCGCGTGAGCCACAGGGCCAGCCGCCACGCTACGGGGGGCCTTCCTCGGTCTATAGCCAAGGGCCACGACAGTATTACCACGAGCCATATAGGCCGCAATATCCCCGGCCAAACGGCTTTGACCCATATAGGCCGCAAGATCCCAGGCAACATGAACACCGGCCATATGAGTCTCCTGACTGGAGGCAAAACTCCCAGCAATATCAACCTATGTACGATCGACCGTTGGAGCAGCAGCAGTATCCACCGCGATATCCACCGGAACCACAGCCGTACCGATCGCAATATCCAGACCCCCAATGGCAGCAAGACACTCGACAGTACCGGCGCTATCCAGAGCAATATGCCCAGCCGCAGGGTCAGCAACACCAACCGTATCCATCACAGCCGCATCCACCACAGTCGTATCCACCACAGTCGTATCCACCACAGTCGTATCCACCACAATCCCCAGACATACGCGGGAATCAGCCGTGGCACCCTCAGCAGGATCATCAGAGGGGTCCACAAGGATATGAATATGCGGGTCCACTTCAGCCTGAGCAGCAGCACTATCCAGACTGGCAAGCACCCCCCCAGCAATATTCCCGGCCCTTCGATCAAGCATCGACCCGTCCCCCATCCATCACCCGTTCTTCCTCGCCAACCTTCGGCCGCGCACCCAGTCCTGATCCCTCTACCTATCATGTCGGCGCGCCAACTTATGGCGACGCGGACCAGTTCTCTGTCGTCCCTCAAACCCCGAGAATCAAGGAGGACAGAGGATTCAAAAAGTTTATCCAAAAGTTCAAGAAACTGTGATCCTGGATTCAAAATCGATCCGATCGCGAGACCAGTTGAACTCAGACGTTGCTGCTTGCAACTCTTGGCGTGCTCTCCTCCATTTCTCAGCCTTCCTCCACCTCACTCTCTGCTTTCTCCATCCTCTTCTCAGTATGTACGTCACACCGTGGTATAGCACCCTCGGTCGGCCTCATCTATTATTTGGACCCAATACTGTGGCCAGGGTGATGTTTCATAGTGCTAGTGCAATAAAAAATGGAACACCTCGGAATTTGGCCGTTGGTGAATGTTCTCACTCAACACATCGCACGCTGGGTATGGCCGTTCATTGATGTGTTTCTGGATCTGAATCAAGGGCGGTTTCTCGCTCAGATGGCTCCCCGCAAGCGACTCGAGAAGGCCGAGTATCTTGATATCGATACACCACGGAGCATTCCAGAAGGGCCAGTGGATGCACCACACCAAGAGATTGCCAACCAGGACAGGAAACAATCACACGACTTGCCCACTGGAGCGTATGGAAGCTTGGCAGGTGTTAGACATCTGATGCCAGGAAGTGACTGCCCCGTTTCTTTCTGGATTGACTGACTTGGCTTGAGAAGTACACAGTCCATCAGACACAGTCCCAGCTGAGCCCCGCTGAGCCCCGCTGAGAATATGATCCACACTCGTGGATATCAACCGCACTCACAGCGCAACTACTCTGCGAGCCCCATGGAGACGGCAAGATGCCTTGGTTCCCCAGCAGCTCCATCGCTCCGTCAATCCGCTGGGTATTGCACCAGTGTCGCGGCGGAACCGTCTCCATTCCCCCATCGGCCGCAGCACCCGGCCCACACCGTCGCACCCAAAGCCGGGGCCCGTTTGAAGGAATGGACGTAACCCAGCAGCCAGAAACCGACGCCACACGACAACAAAGCACCAGCTTGGTCATCGCGAATGCGATTGCTCCACCAGACTCGCACGACCCACAAAAATGGAAGCGTTCTCCCCCTTGGTTTCACCTCTTGTCATGTCGTTCCACTGAGCTGCGGGCCGTGCGACAGCAGCCCAGTTCCCAAGAGTCCAGCCCAGCCAGGATACCCCCCGACATGCCTCCCGAGCTTGTCCGCTGACCCAACCTCCCGCTCGCCCAGCGACGTGCATTGGCTCCCCAGACTCGCCAGATCATCCCAGCAACTGCCTGCGCTGAACGGTGTTGCCATGACCGACAATCTGAATGCGACTGTCCGAGAGATCGCTGCGCTCACCAAGCTTGTTTTCCAGGGCCCCGTCCACGAACTTGTGCGCACAGCCAACACTCTCTTCTCGGGCGTCCAAACTGTCCACGAGAACAAGCACACATGGAAGCTGCTGGCCAACCTGTCCCTCGGCATTCTCAAGGGCCTCATCCAGTACCAGGGGAGCGACAGCACCTTTCCCCAGAAAGTCACTCGTCTGGCCTGGATCCACAACCAAGTCCAGCAGCTCTCCACAATCGAAATCGACGGCTGTCTGGCTGTCGAGCGGATATTCAAGGCAAAGAGCGTGCGGGTACGACTCGAGAAGCTCTTCCAGGAATTGGATACGCTCTGGCAAACCACGGCCCTGGCCCTCGAGATCAGCGACGCCAAGCTGGCGACTCCTGAGCAGCTCTCACAGGCTCTCCACGAAGACGAGGCGTCGGAACGGGCCCGCATTAGCGAAATCAGAGACCTCGTTGGCAACAAATCCATCAGCGTCTTTGACGAGGTCGACATCCAGATCCATAGTGCCCAGGACTGGCAGATTCGCAAGGCAACGGACGCCCTGTGCAATCTCGCCAACGAGGACTGTGCCGTCGACAATGCCACCGAGGAGGTGGTCGGGCCCCTTCTGAGTCTGCTCAAGGAACACTCCATAGCCGCTCGGTCGATGCAGCACGAGGAATGGCGAGTCTCGAGTCGACAGATTGTCCGATGGTCCCGAGACCCCATCGCCAGCGGCGGCTTTGGCAGCGTCTATACGGCCCTATACTACGGCTCGGAAGTTGCCATCAAGCAGCTCTATGGCGCCTACGACGAAAACAGCATTGCCGAGTTTCGACGGGAAATCAAGATATGGCACAAGCTGAACCACCCAAACATCCTGATTCTGCTCGGCGCATGCGATACCGTCATGAAGCCCTTCATGATCTCGCCGCTGATGAGGCAAGGCACCCTGCGCGACCATGTCATGAATCCGACACGGCCGGTTCCTGTCGAGGAAAGGATCCATCTCATGTACGGCGTGGCTTCCGGAATGTCGTACCTCCATGGCAAGCAGATCATCCACGGAGACCTCAAGCCGCTCAATATTCTCCTGGACTCGAACCTCCGAGCCGTGATTTCGGACTTTGGAATGGCCTACACCAAGCGCACCTCTAGCTCTCTGCGCAGGGTGCGGTCGGGCCAGGCTGCCACCGGGGGCACCCAAGGGTATATGGCTCCCGAAATGCACGGAATCGGCGTTGACATACCTTCTGCGTCCACAAAGAAGACCGATGTCTATGCGTTCGGCATCACCCTCTACGAGGTGATGAAGGGCGGCCCGGCCTGGGTCACCGGGAACAACACGGCGTTGCTCCTCGACCAGATTCTGTCCCTGCTCACATTGGGCCGCAGGCCAGCAAAGCTCGACTCGACTTCAGGGGAGATCTGGGGTCTCATAGAGCAGTGCTGGAGCCAGAACCAGCTGCATCGACCAGTCTTCCCCGACATTGTCAGCGGTCTCCATGATCTCCAGTCAGAGCACCCAGTGTCTCACCGTGAACACGAGCCGAACCCTCGGCCGATGCAGCAGTCCCCCGCGGGATCAGCATGCCAGCAGCCAAGCCCAGAGGCACCACCACAACAATCAAGTCCACACCCAGCACCCCAACCCGGGTCGGCTGTATCGGTGTCTCAACCCGTCTCAGAAGTACCTCTCCAGCCCCAAGCCACTGCCTCGGCCAGATCCAGACCAACCTGCTCTCCAGGGTCGGACCAGTCTGACCAGTCTGCTCAACCTTCCCGGCAAGTTGCTCGTCCTCCTCGGCCCACGATCGTTTCTCCCCCTGCAACGACTCGAGCGTCAGGTAGCTATCTGGACTCGCTCGGAGGCATCGATGCAGATCTGCTCGCCAAAGCAAAGCAAGAAGATCCCGTCGCCTTGCTCCAGATCGCCAACCATGTTCTGGACCAAGATCTCGCAGTCAACCACCAGTACTGGAAAGTTGTCGCCCAGATCCACCAGCGTCTGGGTGGCTGCAACGACCACCACTCCCGCTTCCATCTGGGCTGGATGTGCTTGATCGGCGCAGGCGTGCCCAGAGACAGCACCAAAGCATTCCAGCATTGGCTGGCGGCCAACACCAAGTCCAAGGACGCCAACATCAAGTCCGTCACGGGAATGCTGCTCAAATGGTGCTATATCGCTGGCCAGGGCACCGAGCAGAGCTGGGAAAGGGGCTACCGATACTGGTACACCCACAACGATGTCCGAGGCGCCACCCCCGTCCACAACCAGTTCTTCCAATGGTGCTACCTCGGCAGCTTCTCGAACCGGTTTTGCAAGTTTATGCTCGCGCAGAGTTACTTGCACGGAATCAGGTCCTTTCCAAACCTGGAGGCCGCTGTTGGCTTGCTCACCAGTCTCATCGAGGAGGAAAACTACGAATTTGCGTTCATCGAGCTGGCCCGCTGCTACTACAGCGGACTCGGCGTCGCCAAGGATCACGATGTGGCGGCGTACCTGTACTATCAGGCAGCGGAGCTTGGCAATGCCTGGGGTCAGTTCAAGTTTGGCCAGTGCTTGGCCGATGGAATTGGCGTCAGCCAAGATATCGACCAGGCGGCAGTGTGGATGCTCAAGGCTGTCGAGCAAGGCCATCCTGAGGCCATTCGCTGGGCCGAGACTTCAATTCAGTAGCCACGAATGCTGAAAAATCACGGTGATCTGGACAGCACTGTGCAGTGATTTTGATCCTTGCGTTGTCGTATTTGTTTTGCATGGCCCATGGCCCAACATACCAAAGGACGTCGAGCATCTTATGCCACAAGTCCATGAAGGGGGGAGCTTTGCCTCGATATATACAATACGCACTCAGTCCTTTCAGCAGCTCCATACAAAGCGCTTTCCTTGACGTCAAGATCGTCGGGCTGAACGAGTTTCCCTGTCTCCATGTGGGTCTTGGGTCGGACCTATGTGTGATCTGGGTCTTGGAGGTCCCAGCTGACGGCGATATTCGGGATCCAAATGGCGAGGAGACACACAGCATGTCCTCATGGAGAGAGAGTCGATGCTCCTGGGCGGCCTGCAGCCAGAGTCAGACATCTTCCCACAGCAACCTGATGCGTGATTCCGCCGTGCGAGAGAGATCAAACAAGCTTGCTTATGTGCCCTTCACGGCTCCAATGATGGGCAGACTTCCACGACAAAATACACCTGGATCTCCAGAAAATGACAGGCGCAGTGGCCAACCGGTATATTGGGCGGAGCTCATATCCAATCGATTTGCATGGGACACGATTTTGTCGGTGGATCTGTCGTTTGGGGGCCCCGGCTCCAGAGCCCCCTCAGTTCTTGCGCCAACCAGAGCCGATATGCTCAATGATCTTGGCTGCAGTTCGGTGGCCGCTGTGGTCAATGGCCAACGGAGGCTGCTCATTGCGCATTTCGTCGGCCTGGCGCACATACGTCTCCCATCGTCCCTGGAAAAAGTCCTCTTGCGGCATCTCGACGGCCCATCCGTGCTTCTTCATGAGCCTGTGGATGAGACCCTCTTCCTCGGCAAAGCCCGTTCGATGGACGTATACGAAGGGCCTGTGGTGAGCCACCACCTCGGAGCAGGTTCCATACCCGCACTTGCCCAGGACCACGTCGGCAGCATTGATGAGATCGGGGGCCCAGAAGCTCTTGGGGTCGATCGAAACGAGCGATCTGGCCGCAAGGTCTGCATGGCTTCCAGGCGACCCCGATGCTGTGACGATGCCGACCCAGCCTTTGGGCAGCTGGCCGTCCTTGGTTGAGCCGTGGCCAAACTCGAAGCCGCCAAAGGTGACCAACAGGACCTTTGCGTCATTGGAGATGCCAAGTTGCCCGCGGATAGCCTCTCGGGGCGTCCGGGACATGCGCACGACCAAAGGCAGGTCGATCAATTTTGGCTTGTGGGCAGTCAGCGGCGACGAGAGGGCAGGGGCATCGATAAAGCCCGGAAGCCGAAGAAAGTGGTCCATCTGCTCGTACATGCGCTGGCATTGTGCCGCCAGCTGTCGCTCGGGCTCGTTCCGAGCAATCGCAAGGAAGATGGCATCGAACGTGAAGTTGGAGACGACGAGCGTGGGGATCCCGAGAGTCTGCGTCGGATTCCATCGGTCCCGGAGTGGTCAGGCGGATGATTGGGATGAGAGCGCCAAGCGGAAGCCAACGGCATCCTCTGCGACCAAGGGTTTGCTTGGCCCACAAGCCTCACGGCTCGACACTACTTGCCTTTGCTGCCGCCAGCGGAACAAACGGCGCATCGAGGCAGACGGCACTCGGGCCGATGGCCTGCAGCCATGCAACTTCGTTCCGGATCGCTTGCTCCAAGCGGGTCGGTTCTAAAAAGCTCGCCAGGCTGGCGAGGGTCGCATCTTCATCAACGGTGATGGGGTCTCGTTGGGCAATCGACAAGTCAAACTCGGAGGCTTGGCGATGGATGAAACGGGCCGGGAACTGGCGGATCAGCTCCTGGAAGATGAAGAGAGGAGCGGGTGTGGCCACATGCACGATGCAGGTCGGGGCGTGTGCGAGGAGTGCATGGATGATGGCAAACGCTCGTCTGGGGGCGGCCGGAGTCGGACGATTGAATCGGTCAATGCAGCCTCGCCGTCGTTGATTCCAGCAATCGCACACTTGGAGTGGGTTTGAGGAGGAGTCCGACAGACGGGGCGGGCACGAGCAAGCGATATACACTCACGTTGAGTGGCCGAATCCTGGAGCGAAGAATATAGACAGCATATCGATCAGTGTTGCTCTGGCAGTGTGCCCTCCGGAACAATCGCAATCGTCACCAGCACCACCAGTGTCGATATCGTCGCTTGAAGCCACTCGCGCAATCGTAAACTCCAACTCTCTGCCAAACGGCTTACCATGGCCAGAGACATAGAAGCAGATCGCAAACTTTGAAATTGCGCTTGGCAAGCCAGTGGTTGCGGGGAAAAGCACGGCAGAGAACGTAAGTCCCACGAGGACACTTGCTGTTCGGAATGAGAATGCGCTTGCCGTGCACTCCGGGACGACGAAAACACCCAGGCCATCGTGCGCACCGAAAACAATGCTTGACGCCTTTCTGCGTTTTGGATCCATACCACATTGCCAAGATGGATTGGCGATGAAGACAAACCTGGGAACAGCCGGGGCGGCTGGGATGCGAATTTGGAGGCCCTCCAAGTATCTCCAGAGGGCGACTATGACCAAGGCCCCTTGTCGCCGCATCAGAGCGCACATCGCCCCTGTCCCTCGATTGTGCTCGCTTTCCATCCCCGACGCTGCACCACAGATGTATCCAAGCCTTCAAAGCCACCTTGACCTCCCGAGAATGGAATGTTCAGGGCGAGGAACAATAGAGGCAGCAGTCCAATCAGACCAGCATGGGCCGTGTGGTTGTGGTCAGCGGCCCCGGTGTGCGGGTGTCCGATGGATGCTTCAGACAGTAAGAGGCGACGGAAATTGAAACGGAGTTGCAGCCCCGGTCGAGCTGAACATGTGGAAACTGATGGTTACATCGGTAACCGGGGGACGGAGTGATCAAATGTAACAACTCGAGGAAGTGCTAGCCAACTGCAGAACCGAGCAAGGACCGATGTTTCGTCCTGTTGGTGCTTCGTTCTGTCGGTGCTTCGTTCTGTTGGTGCTTCGTTCTGTTGGTGCTTCGTTCTGTTGGTGCTGGCCCACATCAGCACGTGCCGATGCCAGCCGGCGAGTCGGAATGGTCTGCTGCCTCGATCGGTGTTCGTCGCTCCTGCACATCGTACACCAGCATCCCGCACCATCGTCTCGCCAACTGGCCAGTCAGATCAAATGTGGCTCCGTCTCGCTCATGCCCCAAGAATCTCACATGCCGTCTCTCGATGCAGCTGGAGGCCGGCGCTGGCTTCGCGACCCTCAGTCAGCGTCCGTTCATACACCATCCACAGCACAGGCAGCAACCGAACAATCCCCAGCAACAGCAGCAACAGCAGCATCCCCACCGCCGATGCCGACGACTCCTCACCGCAGCTTCGAGATCTGAGCAAATACACAAATGTCCTGGAGCGAGAGGGCTTCACCACGGCACAAGCCGAGGCACTGCTGACGCTGATCATCGAGGGGGTGGACGAAAGGTGGGTCGGCTGCTCCAGCCCATGTTGCTCCAGCCCATGTTGCTGCGATCTGTCGACATCGTGTCAGTGGTCAACGAACCCAGTTCATCATCCATTCGGCATCGTGAAAGCCCTCGCCCTGCTGATTCATCGGTTACGGATACCGCTTGTCCCAACCGTGACGGGATTCTGCTAGACTACCTGTGATGTATCTCCGCACGCTGACTGGTTTCTTTCTGCGGTTTTTGTTCAATGCATTGTGTGCCGACGTTTGTGACGGCCTTGCGGCTCGCCTCCGCGGCTTCGACCCGACCCACCCGACTCCATCTATGCTCGGCGACGGCAGCATGCAAAACATTAGCAAGAGTATGACGACCAAGGACGAGCAGCGACACACAAGCGATGAGATCAACCAAGAGTTCTCGCTGCTGCGGTCCGAGATTCAGTCGCTCTCGCAGCGAGACTTTGCCAAGCTGCGGTCCGAGATCGAAAAAGTCCTGGCGGAGGTGAACAAGATGAAGGAGTCGATTCAGGACGGCAGCTCCCGGGTGCACGCAGGAATCATGCTGGATGTCAATTTGGACAAGGGAAGAATCAAGGACGAGGCACAGCAGCTGACCCAGATGGTCGAGGGCGCCGAGAAGCGAATCGACCTCGAAGTGGATGCGCTGAAGGAGCGACTCGACAAGATAAAGCGGGACATGAAATCGGGGCTGTCTCGTAAGTGATGCGGCTGCGAGGATCGGGGACCTGATGCGAATGGCTGCTCTGCGACGGATCTGATGCCAACGTCGCGCCGGATGGTGGCAATGACGATGGCGACGGCGATGGCGATGATGTACTCGAGGCGAAGTTACCCTCGCTGACGACCCATTCATCGGCCAACTGGATGCGCAGAGTTTGTCGGCGTCTGCCTCGTCTTGTTTCTCGGTAAGTTGTCATGGACACCCGCACATGGCCATTCGATTTGGCTTCAGACTGGCCGAGGACATGGGATAGTAATCGATTCTGAAACCCCAACCGGTGGATCACGACAGGATGGAAAATCAACGTATTTTGGGTCGAGTACTCCCACCAACACAAACGAGAGTGACCCGGCTGCGGTCCAGCAATATAGCATGCAACTCAGCTAAACTCAATCAGTGGGCCAATGGCTCTCTGGCCGGCCCGAGACCGATTTGGTCTCCTTTTGTGACGACCCTCAGAATCTTCCCACCCTGGGGCTTTTGTTGCATCGACTTGGCTGTTGGAATGATGTGGACATGGGTGGCTGGCGTGGCTGTGGCTGAAAAAGTGCAGCGTGATTGGCCTGCCGCCGTCCAATCAGCGGCGCTCAGCAGAACACGCGCAGTCGACTGTTGGTGACACGCCGCATCAACACAAAGCAGTGGCTGTCGCAACGCGTTGGCCGGATTTGGAGGCGTGGTGTGACCGCGCGCCAGCCACAGAAACAATCAGGCTCGCCCACAACACCCACCAGCTGAATCGACAGTGAGGAGAAAACAGCCAGCAACATGGGCCGACAGCATTGATAGCAAACGACATCGATAAACAACAATCGATGCGACAGCCCCATCCAAGACCGGCAAGCATATCAATGTATTGATTTCACCCAACCGCAAGTACATCGACCACCTCAAGCACAGCAGCCACTGCAAGCAAACACAACAGCAGGCGCCGTGGCCACGTGCACCCCCCCCCCGCTGCCCTGATTTTGTTTCGTCGATCGGCCGTTTTGGCTTGTCGGCATCCTTCCGTCGCTCTCATCTCGGCTTGCACCAACTGCATCGGTAGGCATTGCGTGCATCGACGGGGCCCGTTTCCGTCGACAGGGATGGATTTCATAGGCACGCACAGGTTCCATCGGCACGATGGGCTCCACCGCCAATGCATCCATGTGCATTGGGCCCTGCGTCTCCCATCTGTGCTTGCCCAAGCCCGCTCGCCCATCCCTTGCCTCCCGCTAACGACTGCCGATGTGCATCGGTTTCTGCCAGCATTCTTGCAACCATGCGGACGAGACTGACGCCCCTGGGCCAGCGGGTCCTCTCGATTGGAGCACTCGTCCTGATCATCTGGGCAGTCTTTCTGATCCGGGCGTCCTCGCTCGACCGATCCAGCAGCGACTTCCACAAGGGCTGCACCGGCGGCGATTGCTGGCCCTCCCAAGAGAGTGGCCACGACCGCATCCAAGAGCAGCCTGTTCCGCTCTTCCCACCTCTGCCATCGTCTTCCCGGCCTGCTCCCGACAGCAGCAATGATGGCTCCCGACCCGAGGAACTCGTGCACAAATCGCCCGGCTCGGCCGAGCTCCAGCCCATCTTTGACGAGGACACTGCTCGCGTGCTGCGTGAGGCCGAGCGCCGACACATTTTCGTCGCTCGAGGGTTCAAGTTCTGCTCCATGCTCGACGGCGCAAGCTTCGACGGCATGGCCTATCTGCGTCCCTTCAACGGCTCTGTTGCCGACACTACCCCGACCATGAAGGAGTTTTGCAATCTCATCGACACCAAGGCCCAGGAGCTCTACAACTACGTCCGCGCTCACTACCACAACGTCTTTCCGTCGGTAAGGATCGTGTCCGACCCGGCACTCCCTCGTCGGCCTTTGTGCAGCGGAGAGCACAGCACAGATCGTCTGCATGATGTATGATGCCCTCGATCGTTGGGACATCCACCCGACTCTGTCGGCCCCTCTTGAACCGCCCTCCTTCGACATGCACCCGGCTGCCACATCGCTCGATTCGCCAGCGATTGTCCTGATTTACCGCCATTCCCGCCGCCCCATCCTCCCTCGTCCATGTCCGATCCCAGGATGGCAAGCGTCTTGCGTGCTACTCGGCCGCCGAGGGCTCCAACACCATCGTCAACTTCAGCCAGAAGCCGCTGCTGCTCTCCATCAACCCGATCCACTATTTCAAGCCCGTGATCCCGGCTCTCGTCCCGCACGAGTCGGTCATCCCCGGACCGCGCCGAAAGTACAAGATTGCGTACTTGCTGATGGTTCACGAGATCTCGGGATTCATCCAGCTCAAGTCGCTGATCGACAAGCTCGACGACGGCGACTCGATCACGCTCATCCACATCGATGCCCGCTCCAAGGAGCTCCGGTCCAAGGTCCAGGCGTGGCTGGCGAGCCGCCCCGGGGGTCTGAAGGAGGGAAACGTCTTTATCGCCCAGTACTCCTTCAAGAACGTCTGGGGACACATCTCCCTGGTGTTTACGCAGCTCTCTGGTTTCTACGAGCTCCTGGACCTGGCCGACTGGGACTATGTCATCAACCTCAGCAACTACGACTGGCCCCTGGCCCGCAACGAAGTTATCCACAAGACGCTGAGGGACGATGCTATGAAGCACCGCATCAAGGATGCCAACTGGATCGAGTACTGGCCCGAGACAGGTACGTTGCATCGTCAATCGCCACACTGCTCTGTCAATGGTGCGGCAGGAGTGCTGGTGCTGTTCTTGGTACTGGTCTCCTATACGGCTCGTGAGCACAGTGATGCAGCAGGCACTTGCGAGTTCCAAACACCGGTGTGGCCTCGGTTTGGAGGGAGGACCTCGTTGACTTCAGAGTCGGCGAATGCGTGAATCGCAAGTCCTAGTACGACTGGTCCGGTGTCACAATCGCCCAGCTCTGCGGCGTCTGTCATTTAGTGAGAACGACAGCCGTGGCCAACTCGACGATCGTGTTCCTACTGCTACACCGGCTCACGCTTCTCCCAATGTTCTACTGCATCCTCCATTCGAATCCTCGGTGCATACATCGATCCACGTTGATCATCACCGGCGCCGCACTGCCCTTCAAACAGATGATCTGGCCGAGCGCTTGTTCCGCCCGCACGTTGCCTTTGGAGACGACAACTGGGCCTACATCGGTCACCCCAAGGAGTTTGGCATCGTCTCGTGGCCGTTCTCCCACTGGAAGGCGTACAAACACCACCAGTGGATGATCTTGAACCCACACACGGTCCGCCACTTCCGCACCAATCTGGATGCCTTCAACCTCCTGGCATACATGGAGCACTCGTACATCCCCGACGAGTCCTATTTCGCCACGAGTAAGTATGCGTGCTGCGTTGGCGATCCAGAGCTGTTCGATGCTGTGTAGAACGACACTCCGATGCTGGATGGGACGGTGCTACAGCCCTTCTACTGTACTGGCGATATCTCCATCACGGCGAGCCATGAGACTGTTTGCCACTTGTCTGGCTGCGTTGTTGGCTCTGCTGCCTTCATCAGCGACTCTGGATGTGCGCAGCATTCACCGTCCGAGCACTGGCGTTGATTAGAGCTTTGTAGTGCCTCAGCATCACCTGTCAGTATCTCTGACGTCCGCTGCCATTGCCCATCACTCCTACCCCAATCCGACAGCAATGGTCAATGCCATCGAATTCAACAGCACCATCATCAAGGACATGAAGCGTTATCTGGCCTTTGAGGAAGGCAGCCCCCACCCGACATGGCTCAGTTACACCGACCGCCAGCATCTCAACCCCAATCCACTGTACTTCTACTCCAACTTCACGGGCTTCACATACTTTTTCTGCCGCAAGTTCAACGCCTTGGACTCAACCAAGAACCAGAAGAAGCTTCTTGACTGGATCGACTCGAACCTGTTTGACCCCAGCAACAACTCGCCCTGCGAGCCCGATCAGATCAGCTTCCGCCGCCACTGTCTGCTGCAGGCGCTCTCCAAGATTGCCGTGAACAACCAGGTGATTGTGATACCCACCAACAAGGCGTTCGTCAAGATCGCTCTGAACCTGGCATGCTCCCTCGCCCGCCAAGGGCTATACAATATCGTGTTCTGGTCGCTCGACATTCAGGCGCATGACACGCTGCTGGACAAGGGCTACGTCAGCCTCTTTGACTTTCCGGACTATGCCACCAAGCGGCGCGTCTATCGCCAGGACTACGACCTGGTCCGGATGATGCGCAACAAGCCCAAGGTCCTGGCCAAGCTGGTGGGCGCGGGATTCGACGTCTGGTTCCTCGACGGCGACTCGGTTGTGCTCCGGGACCTGACCGCCCTCCATACCACTGCCAACCCGACGGCGGATGTCTACATTGCCCTGGGCGAGAAGAAGAACGTGGGCCACGTCAAGCTGTCCTCGGGGCTCTCTCACAAACTGCCTGTTCTCAACGTCGGCACCATGTTCTTGAGAGGCAACGCACGGACCTATCGCTTCCTGCTGCAGGCCTGGAACGCCCTCAAGGACGATGGTGCGGCACCGGATCTGCAGGGCTTCACCAAGGTCTTGGGCATGGAGAACGAGGTGGTCTGGGTCGACGATCGCCTGACCCTCCGCAACGGCACCACCCTCCCGCCGGCCGGCAACGACCTCAAGGAGCGCGACGCATCTCCTGAACAGGAGAGCACCGAGGCGTCGCTTCTGCTGACTCCCGCAACGCTTCCGCCCTTGAAGAGCCTCGCTGACCGGACGAGGTTCACGTTCTTGGCCCAGGAGGAGTTTGTGAACGGCTATCTGCTCTTTGGCAGCGAAGCCAACGCACGCAAGGGCGACAAGAGCTTGGCATCTGGATCGCCGCCGACTGCTAACCAAGTCCACGACACAGCCGGCTACTCGATCATCCACGCTGACTGGGTGCCGGAGCCTGAGATTGCGCTGAGAAACAGACAGCTGTGGTTCCTCGGCCCCAAGGACCAGTGTCTCGCCAAGCCCGATTCCAAGACTGACGGTCGAGGGTCATTGTAAGGAACGATGCCGATGCGTCCTTCAAATCGCGAAGCAGAGTCGACGCATGCAGCACCACTCGATCGAAAGCCCCGCAGTGCATCTCCAGCCACTTTGGACTGTTGCGTCCACACCGCTTCCGCGCCTTGTCATATTACTGCCGCCCCGCACCAGACGAAACAGAAGTCAGAGCCCAACGGCCATTCATGAGACCAGCAACATAACCCAAAGCATAATTTCGTCAGCGAGCCACACCCTTTCCCTCCCCCGTCCTCTCTCTTCCTTCTTCGTTTGCCTTCCCTTTGGTTCTGCTGGTTTTGATCTCACTCGACCAACTCGCTTCGCTCTCCCACTATTATATATTTTCGCGCCATATCGCTGTCGATTTGTCGCTGCCGGTGAAATACGGCGTATCCCTCTGTCGACGGTCGTACTTGAAGCATGATCAATACAGTCTTGGTCACAAGCGGGATACATGCACTGTCCATCGCTACCCAGACCCAATAGGTGTGCTCAGGGTGCCTGGAAGCCAAGCGGCTCGAATCATCCGAGCGGTATGAATCCATAAAGTCATCCAGGTGTTGGAATACTTCGACACACTCCCGCATCGCGATATCAATGCCAGTCGATCGGCGCCGCAGGAGATCGATCGGGAGTGTTCAAGTCGACGCTTCCCGAACCGAAAACGAAGCGACTGCCAACGATGACCGAAAACAATCGCACTGCCGGCCCACTGGTGCTCCAGATGCCAGAGATAGAGGGATACCGTCGTCCCACTTTTTTTTTCCTCAGAATGATTGTATGAGGCAGATGATCTGACCAGCAATATCAAAGTTATAGAAAGGAAGAAAAAGAGTCACGCTTGGGGGGGAGTTGGTACTGGTCCATCCAATCCAAAAAAGAAAAAACAAAACAAAATGGAGGTGCGGTAGGATAGTCACATTCAAAGCACAAAACGAGTATCGGAGGGAGTCTAGCCTGAAGGAGAGTGTCAAGGGATACTTCGAAGGGAAAGGGACGGCACCACAATTGGAGAATATGGGTAAGAACGACCCCATCCCCACGATTTCTTCAAATCACCATCGCCTGCCTTTGTTGTTGCATCCACGTGTGCATCTTGAAGGGATTCGTGAGGAAGGACAGAGGAACGGAGGAGATACATGTGAACAGAGGGCCGCCCTCCCGTCCAAAACACTCACCCCCAAAGTAGTGCACATTGCATAGCAACCTTTGATAAACATAACATCGAAAACGAAACGAGAACGATTTGAATGATAGAGAAGACACCGGGTGCCAAAGGCCAAAGGCAAAGGTTCCAACATCGAGAGTGGATGCAGAAGGAAATAACATCACTCCCGAGTGCAGATTCGAAACATCAAGTGCAGGTCCGAGACATGATGGCTGTTGCCGAGAGAAAGGGCGAGAGAGAGGAACGACAAAATGGCACGGGGAAGAGGAGGCAAGGAACGAAGCAAGGAACGAAGCAAGGAACGAAGCAAGAAGGGGCACAGCAAAGTAGGGAAGAAATAGGCGCATGGATGATAGTGATGTTGTAGCAATTCAATGCATTATGAGGAGCAAAGTGTGAGCTGTGGAAGGGTCCGTTTCGTGGCTTGCGTGTCCGGAGGGCAGCCGGCTGATTGTGTTTGTACAGATAGTGCAGAGATATGTCGCCAACGGGGAAGGACGAAGATTGGTGAAAGCAGGGGTGGGGCAAGAAATGCGTATAAGAAGAGCTGTGGTTGTGAAGGGGTACTCCTCCACCCCCCCCTTCTAGCGGATCGAGGCCGGCTGCGACTTAAGCGAGTCGGCGCAATCGTTGGAGGCCGTTATCGAGGGGACTTGGTCTCTTCATTGCAACCCTGTGCAGACATCGATGTAGTTGTCGGTATGATGACGATCGCGTCTCCGGAGCATGGACCACGTTTCTGCCGAATACATATATTTTTGACCGTCCCTTGTTTTGTTGTTTCATATCGGTTTTTCTTGTCGCGGCTCGTCACCGTGTTGGCGAGGAAATAGGGTGTAGAGAAGAGAAGCTTTTGATGATAGTCCGTGATGCATCCGGTGCGCTTGTCTCTTGCATCAGTGTCGTGTGCTTGAGCCATGGTCCCGGTGAGAGGTATGGATGGAGCGGGTAGAGTTGTGTGTTTGAGCATGTTGTACGAAAGAAAGGGAGAGGAAGGAGGAAGGAGGAAGGAGGAAGGAGGAGAGGGAGAGGAAGGGGAGCGGCGAGAGATGCTCGGCCAATGGGCACATGCGGGCCCGTCTATGCAAAATCAAATCGGGCCTTGAGCTGCTGGCACCAGGGCCTCAAATCAACACTTGCGCCATTGCTGGCAAAGGGCTCCGCCTACAATGGCAGTGACGCATGGGGAAGAGCAGGCAAACGGGCGCAGCGTTGTGCGTGTTAGCTCAAGGTGAAACAGCGCAGGTCAGCACAATCACTGTACACTCCAGTGCAAAACAGCGCCATCCCAGCGTCGCAGAGAACACCCATAGGACACGCTGGAGTTGAAGCGGTGGAGATTCAAAAGCGGATCTCCGTCACTTACTTTGAGCTGGCGTAGCGATGCTCGCTCCTCGGGGTCCTTGAGCAAACTACGATCCACCGCAGGCGCAAAAGGCGAAGGAAAACAGAGCGGCGTCAGCTTCTGCACAGCTCCCAGATATGGCATGCGTCGAGGGGTCCCGCCGAGGGGTGGAAGAGCCAAGCGCATGCACAGCCAGGCGGACAGAGAAGCCAAGGAGGCCGACTCGGGCACGCTTTTGCACCGCCGTTGTCGATGGCCCCGATAATATCGGCTGGGACGAAGCGGCAACATACCATCTTTGGCAAAACACATCAAAGTTGGTCGAAAACAAGTCGCCGGGAAGCCTGGGGGCGGGCTCGGCCTCGATATAGCTCAGAAGATCGACAATGGAAGGAAGAGGGGGATGGTCCTCGGGAGGGAACGGGAAACGTCCCGTCGCGAGCTCCATCAGAGTCAGACCAAGACTCCAGATATCACTCTTGACAGAGTGCTCTTGGCCACCAGTGACTCGCTCGGGCTGAGTACGGCGGTGTTGTGTGTGGTAGACGAGTTGGTCGAGATGATTTGGGACAAGAACGAGCGAGACAGATCAGTCGGGGAGGTCAGGAACAAAAGGCTGGGCTGGTAGATGGGAGCAACGCTAATCGACAGGAGCAACGCTAATCGACAGAGCAGCACAGTTTGGTAGACGAGTGCAAGGATCATACAGGCAGATATCGCTGTGTTCCGAGAAAAGTCCGGGCCATGGTGCCGTTGATGAGCTCCTTGCTCACGCCAAAGTCGGCGATCTTGACCTCGCCATCGGTGTTCAAGAGAATGTTGCTGGGCTTCATATCTGCAATCCGTGGAGGAAGGGGTTCGGGGGATGAGTTGCTGGTCGAGGGATGGGCTGCTGGTCAAGGGATATGCAGCAGCCGAGCAGGAGAGTGGCGCTCCTTACCTCTGTGGACAATGTTGTGTTCCTCGCTCAGGTAGATCAGTCCTTCGAGAGCCGCAAAGGCGACCTTGGAGACGATGCGCTCGTCCAGCGGGCCAATGGCGGTGTAGATGCGGTCAAAGGATCCCAGATCCATATACTCCATACATATCGAGATCTCGCCCTCGTGGACAAAGCTCCCAAAAAACTTGACGATGTGAGGCGACTGGCACTTGCGCAGGATCCGAAGCTCTCGCAACACCCGTGCCTGGGTGCGCTCGGCCTGTGAAGCGTCCTCAATCGTTATGGTGACAATCTGTCAACGGATCGAGGGAGGCATGTTAGACGAGGCACTGGGAACATCACCACAGGGAGACAGCAGCGGTGTGCTGGTGGATAGGACGGTGATGTGGCAGAAAGGACGGTGGTGTGGCGGATAACACATGTTGCCCGCCTCCGGTGCTCATAGCATCTGATGGTGCATCTGCGGCTCAATCCTGGCCACTGTTTGCTCCCTCCAACCTCCAACCTCAACCTAAAGCCACAGCGGCTCCAGCCGTCACACCTCGACAGCGCTGCGACGGCGGGCCAGGCAGCAGCAAGTTGCCCAGCAAGCCGGAGGAGCCAGCAGAGGAGAGCTCACCTTGCGGGCCATGATAGTTCCGGAGTGGATGTGTTGCACTTTGTAGACAGAGCCACCGGAGCCAGAGCCCAGGTCGCCCACCCTGTGCAGCAGATGGTGGCGAAGCTTGAAGCGGAACGACTCTTGGTTGGTCAGCTCAAACTCCCCATCGTTGAAGGTTGGGGCAGGCCGAGTCGGGAAGTTGATGCTGACGCCGAGGGTGAGTCGCCGCGGACGCTTGCACGATGGCTCTGGGGAAGAATCGAGACGAGACGACATGGAGCGACAAAGAAGAGAGCAAGACAGGCAGAGACCGAGATGAGGATAGATTGGGAGCAGAGGCCGAGACCGGGAGCAAGCGGGGGGGGGAGACGAGAGCCGCGAAGGACAGACAGGGGCAAAGGCACGATGAGACGGACGATCCAGAAGAAAGGCCGAGGGCAGAGGCTGGGGAGCCACGTGAGGGCGGGCGATGTTTGCTGGTCGGGTGGCTGTGGTGTGATGGGTGTCGATGGTTGTCGGTGGGTGTCGGTGGGTGTTGAGTGTTAGTAGTTGTTGTCGTTGAGTGTTAACACCACTCACTCTCACACTGACACAAATCCGTCGCCGGGGTGGTGGCTTGCACCCCCTCCTCCATCCACGCCAGCGCTGCGTCCGAGTGGTTCCAGGCTGTGTTGTGCGATGGGCCCGCGCAGCACAGAGCCCACCCACCATCCAGCCCGTTCCCACAATTCCAAGTGCTCGCCGAGCCAGCTCGTGGCGTCGGCTCAGTCGCACCGATGACATACTGCTTGCTGCGATGCCAGGGTGCTTTCTGGGTCACCGACCGGCGCCACCGGACTGTGTGGTCGTCCCGCTGCTCGCCACCAAGAACCCAGAAACCGAAACGAGCAGTCCTTTCGCGGAATTGCGATATTCCCTTCTTGTTCAAGGCACATGGCACAGTCCAAGTGAGGGACCAACACGCATCGCTCCTCCTCTGATGACGGCGGTACTGCTTGCAATACTCGAGGCACGTCCCGCTCAACTTTTGTGTGCTAATAATACAAATCGCCGTAGAAGCTATCGCCAGAAGAGACCAACCAGTCAGTGTTGCCATCGAGGGGAAAGGCCGTGCTCATGTCTCCACGATGCAAGGCCATGCCATGCTCAGAGCATTCGCCGTCGTGGGCAGCGTATACACTTACTCTGCGAGCGAGCCAGACATTCGGTGTTTGGTGCACAGCTCCTCGATCGCATTGCGTCGGACCAAATGTCTATGGCCATGATGCAGGCCGGACGGACAAGCACACGGGGCAGATGGCAGCATGTGAGTCGTCGGCTCCAAGGGCTCCAAGGGCTCCAAGGGCTCCTCCATCACAAGCCCGACCTTCTTTCCCACCAGCAGCCGCGACCCCCCCCCGCCCGTCTCCTCGACTTACGGCTTGCGGTATCCGCCTTTGCGCAATTTGAAACTCAGGTGGGCCGAGATCGCCGTGCTTCGGACCAGCGTCCCGAGGGCATGCTGGCTGACGATCATTCCGTCCAGTAAGGGTCCAAAATACTGTCGAGGCGTTGGTTGGATTGCCATCGGCAGGTCGCAAGTACTCGGTTAGCGGGCGGCTCATCAACGCCTGCCACCCATATCTGTACTGCGGCATCAACAAGCTCGCTGACTATCCACGAGCCCATGAACTGCCCTCCCGCCACACAAAACTCATCCTCTGCTGCTCACCAGGTTCTCCTTCCACGTTTCCACCGTCACGATCCGGATCTCGTACAGCCCCGGTGTCTTGGCGAGCGGATGAATGACGATAAAGATCTGTCCGTTCCAGAGATGCTCGGGTTCGCCTGATACAGCCGTTGGGCCGGCCGCTGCATCGCCCGGTCGCTTCGCTGGCCCGCCTGTGCTGCCGCTGCTACTGCTGAAGGCAGGATCCCGGGGCTTGGGTGCTTCCTTTGAGACCGTGCTCTGCACCTCGGCAGTGTCTCCGCTGGTATCGTGTGTGATGCGCTTCTCAAAGTCCCCAACCGCCTCGTACATGGTCTTGCTTCCCGGCAGGCTCTGGCGCTTACGCTGCAGCTCCTCGTCTTGCGGCGACCGCCGCACCCGCGAGTCCCGGCCCTCAAGGTTGCTGCTGGCCAGCTTGGACTCGTTCTCGGTCTTGGAGAACCTTTTGATGACGTGGTCGAGCTTGTGGTTGTCCTCGATCCAGACAATGTACACAATATCGTCCTGGGCGACGTGCCCAAAGATCTCGCGCATGCCCAGGGGATGGTCCGGTGCCAGGGCCACTGGCGTGCCCAGAAGCGAGTCATTCTCGATCGGCGAGAGCCGAGCCGCTCCCCGGAAGTTGGACATGCTTGGCGACGTCGACCCCCAGCCGCTGCCCGAGGATCCCGTCGCTGCCGTCTGTACATAGAGTCCTCCGCCTCCAATGCTGCTGCTGCGGCTGTGGCTGTGGCTGTTGCTACGGCTGCGACTGATGCCGAGGCCGCCGGCTCCTCCGGGGGCAGCCGAATCGCCCATACTGGGGGACTGGAAGAGGCTCTCGGGCGTTTCGTACGGTAAATCCCCAGACGGCGATGGGAACGAGAGCCCCGAGGCGCTGTTGACGCTCGTTGGGATAGCAATGTTTGGTGTTTCGACGCCAACGCTGGTGTCGTGGATATAATACGGACAGTTGAAGATGATCTCCCAGTTGCGGTTCGCCCAGTAGGGTGCTGTCGAGCAGTACGTCTTTGAGAGCCGGCCCTTGTACCCTGGGTGGGTCTCGAGGTCGACCTGCCACCGGAGTATTGCAAGTGGACGGGCGGGAGAACAACGGTCTTTCAGCACAGTATCTCAACAGCCCGAACGATGGGACATGGGTGGACATCGATCGGCAGGTACAACGACATTGCGACTACGGCACCAGTCAACCGATAAAAACACCGCAAACGAGGCCACCAATCGATCAGCGTCCCGGCACCGCCCACAAACCGATTACATCAATCAACGCCGCCGTTTCAAGAGCCCATACGACCATGAAACGCAGCCGCACAGCCGGTGCTCTTGGCACAGAAACCCATCGGGCGCCATCTGTGGCAACATACGTACCGGCCACGCCAGCGAGGACATGAACTGCTTAAAGTCCGTGCTGATACCCTTTGGCGACAGAATGTCCTGGATGGTGTCCTTGCCCGATCGACAGAACAAAACACCAAAGCTCAAGCAGTCTCGCCTGCGACCCGATAGCAGAGCGAGGAGCGAGGAGATGAACAGTCAAATGACGCTGTGAGCCAAAGGGAGCGAATCGAAATCGAATCCGGCTGGCTGTCCCGAGCTATTCACACCACTCATATTTGCTCTGCTCTCTGCTCCCTGCTCCCTGCTCCCTGCTTCCTGCTCTGCTCTGCTCCCTGCTCCCTGGTCGATTCGATGCTCACTCCGGTAATGTGTCAAGCCGTTCGAGGTCCCGCAGGAACGAGTCGCTGATTTGCAAGGGCTTGAGCTTGGATCGGTGTTCGGGCGAGGCCAGCCCCGAATGGCCGAGATAGAGCCGGGATACCTGCGATCTGTCGGCGCACCGTCGCATCGATCATCCAAGCGCATCGATATGGAAGGCGTGAGAAGAGGGAGGCGCTGCCAGTGTGCCGGCCTGTGCTGGATCCGCATTTCCACAGTACCCCCTGGTCGCTCGACTGCGGTTTGCCGCTGCTGCTTTGACGATGCCAACAACGCCTGCTTACATGTGGTTCGGATCCATGAGATCAATGGGTGGCGTTGGATCGACCTTGACCTCGATGCCGGCATAATCATCACTTGTGGATGGACAGTTGTGACAGCAGAATCAGCCGAAATTGTCGCTGCTTGACCGTGACATACAACCAGCCACGACTACAACAGCCATCCCTTGATCCGCATCTTCCATCGACATCGTCCGTACTCGGCTCCCCATCTGCACCGCGTGCTTGAGTCACTCTGCCTATTCGAATCGGGGCGACTCGCTGGAGCGGCTGTCCCTCCATTTCCATCACCTACCTCTGCAGAATCTCCGTTCGCCATCCCCGCTCCTTCTCTGTAAACTCTTGCGTCTTTTGGTGATACGCGTTGTATGCCTCTTTGATCTCGGCGCTCTCGTCAAAGAGCGTCTCGATATCCGGTATGGATGCCTCGTTCACCGCCACGGCTCTCTCGATGGTGCAGTTGTTTGGGCTGTACGGCAGCTCAGTGGGGATGAAGTGGTACGAGTCGTGCTCGAGTTCATCGAACAGCTCGGACGAGGCCAAGACATCCTCGGGCTTCTCAGGCTTTTCGGGCGCCAGCAGCGCCAGCGCTTTCTCATCGAGGTACTCCAGCCGAGATTTCCACGAGTACTTGCCGCTCGAGTCTCGGATCAGAATCGTCAGCTCCGGGAGACATTTGTCCTGCTTCCACCGGTTGGCTTCGTCTGTCGCCTGCCCGTCGGGCTCGGCGGAGCTGTCTTGTTCCTTTCGGTGGAATGGCTCGAGTTGCATGTCGCCATGGTCGCCAGGCTGTTGGTAGGCCCACGGGGGGCGCTCAACGACACAGAGAATCACTCTATGGTCGTATGCATAGTACCTCAGGAACCGCCTGTACTCCGAGAGGGCAATACCGTTCCTGAGAACGAGATCCTGGGTCGGCCCTTCGGCCTCGCCACTGACGGGCTGGATCCTGGGCCGTGGGCCGAGCAGCTTGTCCCGCTCCGATAGCATGCGCTTGACCTCGGCCTCCTCGTTCCACAGGGTGCTGATCCGGCTGACGCCTGTCGTTTCGTTCACGGGCGGAAAGTTGTTCAAGTGGTTGGCCAGCTGCACCAGTGCCGCCTCGGCTGCGCCCTTGATCATCATCTCGGCCGAGAGCGTGGCAAAGGTGGGCAAGCCCAAGCCGCCGTCCGTCGTGCCAGTGCTGACCCCGGTCGAGGAAGGCGCCGTCTTTTTCTGGAAGAGCTTGGTGCCAGTGCGGTTATTCTTCTTCTTGTCGAGGCTGCGCTCGATCGAGGCCACGATGGCCGGGACTTTTTCGTAGATGGGGATCGATGCTATCACGGCATTGGCAGAGGCCAGGATCGGCGTCGACGGCGAGGTAGAGGCAGCCGCGGACGCTGTTGCAGTCGCAGCTGTAGATGCAGCCGGGGCTCCAAGCGTCACCGCTGCCGTCGTCGAGGGGGCTGCTGCCGCTGTCGCGGTCTGAATGACGGTTGAGAACTCGTCATCGCGATCGAGGAGGCCGATGCCTCGACAGAGCGTCCCGATCACCACCTTGGTCACGGTCTTGTCGTTCAGAAACCACTCGCCGAGCAAAACCCATCGGATCATGCAGTCGTACGCTCGCGAGATGACCACTTGGTAGGCCTGCACCGGTACACGAGTGAGTGAGTGAGTGAGTGAGTGGAGGCATTACCAAGGACACTACGACTCGATACTGCCGGGCTCGACCAGGACGATTTCACCTACCACTGTATTGTCTTCCATAAGCAAGATCTCAATCAGTCGACAGAGCGCCAGGACCAGTTCCCTTGGACAACCCTAGCCGCGATGTTTGGTTCAGTGTCAGCGGTTCATTGTAGGCACGCAGCCAGCACTCAGCTCTTACTCGTCCAGCACGCAGCTCACAGCTCACAGCTCGCGCGTAGCCAGTATTCAGGCAGACACCACACGCCCCTTACCGGATTATCTCGAATGACGTGCTTGTACAAGTTTCCTAGCTGCAGAAGGGCGTCGAACGAGTACAATACCACTTCCGAGTTGCAGACGCCGGTGCACGCCTGCACAGTTGAGGTCCGGTCAGAGTCCAAATCCCACACTCGTCTGATCGACCCCCTTCGGCATCTCCCTCTCTCACCAGCACTCCCTCGCTCCATCTCGATCTCGCACACACACATATCACTTTGCATGACTCGCAATCCTCTCTACACTACCTTTTCGTGGATGTGCTTGATAATGAAGGCAGGAAGGCCCGGACAGAACTCGCCTTCTTCGAGCGCAAAACACGTCAGGAGGTGAATCGCGTACTTGCAGTTCGGGGCAAAGGTCTCGATCATCATGGTTGAGATGAGAATGTCGAGGACATCGCACTTGAGCTGTCATCCACATCCAGAGCCCCCGGTTCACGTTCCCCACCATCACCACCACCACCACCACCGGCCGAGAAACCAACATGTCAGTCAAATTCTTTGGCTGAGTCGCGAGCTGTTTCACCACAACACAGACAAAGCACCCGCAGAACCAATCATGGAGAGCAGCGTTGCCAAAGCGCCAATTCACACAAAGTGAATATCGTTACCAGTCGAAACTCCATCGATTGTGATCGATCTGCTGCCGTCTGTTGAACTAGAAGCAACAGTTGCTGTGTGACGTCGTTCACGCCGTACAGCGCATGGATCTTGGCAATCCTCTGTGTTACAGATAGAATCAACCGTTTCGAATCATCGAACGCTTTGTGGGCTGAGGTGTGGAAGCCAGCCGACACCAATCCCATTACAGAGGCGCCGCTCTCTCGCAGCTCCATCCGATGAGTCATCACCCAAGCCGCACCTGTTTAGACGGCTCGTCTTGAGCGAGTGTCGCAAACTTGACCTGGGCCCAGATCGGCGGCGGAACGCTGATGGCCTCAAAGTGGCTGAGGAACGGGGTGATGGTGCCCATGATCTTGAGTGCCGCCGTGCGCAGATCGTCGGCGGGAAGGTCGAACCCGGTCTGCAGCATCGGAAGCACACGGCGAATTGCCACGATCATGTGTGGGATGGTCATCAGTGCACCGTTGAGCTCGCGGATATAGAATGTCGGCATATTCAGCAGAATCGCCGTCACTGAGAACGGGTCGCTTTGCAGACCCTGTGGACAGAGGAAGGAACCCAGGCGAGATTGGCCAGAACAGAAGCATTAGCGAGTCGAGGCGACACACACTGAAGTGAAGGTGAGAGAGAGCACGGCTTTGTCGAGCAGAAACAGCTGGCTTGCTTCGAGCAGGCAGAGGAAGGAGCTGCTCAGCGTAGCACAGATCCGTGATGCCGTACATGTATCAAACAGTGGTAGAAGCGATCCAAGTAGAGCTGCAGAAACAAGTTGCGTCGCTGCGGTTGGCAGACAATGCGACACAAGATCTCAAAGGCTATGGCTTTGCCTTTGTTGAATCTGCGGCATCGAGCAAGCACGGTCACTCATCCAGAAGCACGGTCGCTTGTATAGAGCAATTGCTCTGCCTCATCACTAGGCTGCTGTTTGTGCTTGATTGCCGGGCTGTCGCATCCCAGCAGGCTCACTTACTCAGACTGCTGCTTCGTCGTTGCTTCGAACAGCCACGATCCAAACATGTGCAACAGAGTATTTCCATCCGGCACCGTGGCATTCATCAACTTCACGCTGTCCGTCTCGATCCCGATGGCGTGAAACTCGCCAACCACCTTGGAGATGCCCTGATAGATGCAAGCCAGACCCTCTTCGGTTGGTGCCATTTCCGCCCCTCACCTCCATCCGCAAGTGCTGGTGGTCTGCGGGCATCGACTGCGGAGCTTACCCTGATGGCTTCCTCAAAGTTGCGAAATGGCAGCATATTTGGATTGCCAATCATATCTGGTGTGGGTTACAGCACGCATAAGTATCACATCCCAAACGTTAGCCAGCTGTGATAGCCCAAGCTGTTCGCGATTGCATCGCTATGCTTGCTTCCGCCAAACCGATGATATCCCAGATTCAAAACATTCATGACAGACGAACAGAGCAAGTATACTTTCAAGCCCTCAGCAGTCGCCAGCTCCAGCCTCGGCACTCACATATCATCTGGTGCCAGGCGTAAACCACAAACTTGGGAGGCAGATCCAGATCGATCGTGTATCCGTCGCTGCGGGTGATGACGGCAAAGCAAGCCCTCGTGAGACGACGACGACGATGATGATGAACCTCCTTGCCGCTGACGCCATCTCAGCCTCGTTTGTACCGCCGCGGCCACACTGTGCCCCAAGCCGCCACTCCAAGTGCACAACGAGTCCGTACACATAGATGATCACCCGCTCGGCGCCTTCTGGTGGCCCGTAAAGCTGGCCGATCACTCTCCGGGATAGCGCCAGTATCGTGGCATTCCACTGGGTGACCACATCCAGCCTATGCGTCCATCGGCTGAAAAATTTCTGTTTGTTGAATGAGTTGGTGAAGGGAGGGATCAGAACTGCAGACTGGAAGGCAGCCGGGTTGAAACGGGACGCCGAACATGCCGCCGAGTCGGTCAGGAGGGGATTCTGTGCAGAGAGCGTTCCACTTGCCTTCAAATAGTCCCACATCTCAATCTTGGTTATCTTTGATCTCAGCCACAGCTCGATCGTCACCTAGAAGCACCGTTACGGCATGAGCAGGCATCCGTCTTCAGTGCCATAGACCCACCAGCGGATCCCCGATCGATGTTGTTCTCGATGGCATAGGAGCTGGATCATGGATCACTATCGCCAGTCGTGACTCGTTCTGCTGATGGACACACATCCAGACGCACATTCCGGCGCTGGATGCGCATCCATCCTTATCCAGCGCACACCTCGACGCATCGGCCCGCATCTGGTGCATGTACCGAAGCACCTACCCACATCCCAACCACACACGCCCATATTACCACCACTCTGGCTGCTCACTCTCGCAACCTACCCGGACCAGGTGCTTGCACAGGCAGTCGCCCATGATGGGGCCAGCCTCTTCCTCGACAACAAGGGCGAGTTTGTCGGACTTTGGCCCACTGCTCACAATCTTGCGCTTGCTGTCTTTGCGGGCGAGCGGCTCGCTCAGCAGCCGGTCGCACATGCCCAGAAGCACTTTCAGCAGCAGGATCCAGGTTGCCTCCGAGAACGCGTGGCCCGATTGACGACCAAAGATCGCCAGCACCTTGAGGATAGTGCGACAAAGCTCGACCTGGATCGCCGAGACGTTAAAGTCCTCGATCTTGGAGTTGTTTGGGAGCTCACAGTGCGTTCGGGGTTCAAAGAGCAGCGAGAAATGCGAGAAGATGGACTGCAGGGGCACGCAAAGGCACTGCATGTCAGCAATTCTTCAGAGCACACGATGCGACGGTGATGGCTGCAATTGAGACGGTCACCCAGCGCTTGGAGCAGAGGCCGTCGTGTCGAGTCTCCACGGGATTCGTCCGAATGTGCACATCCTTTCATGTGCCTGAGCGCCGTCATCGAATTATGCGACTCTGCCAGTATCCGTGCAGTCCGACTCGAAGCATTGTGGTCGAACTGGTCGTCTCGGAAGTTGAATGCGCCCTTCGCGACAGGCACAGACTCACCTGCCAAAAGTTCTGTCGAATCTGGTCGTCCTCGATCTGCTTCATCGCGACAGGGAGGCTGTCTTCCTCAAGCAGCCAGTTCGAGTACACCGAGATTGTGCTTTGGATCACGAGAAAGTCCTCGATAGGCAGCGCAAAGCCCTGGCCGACAATCTCCATCACCCAGCGCACATGGGTGGGAGAGGTCAGCAGGTTTTGCGGCTCCGCGACGAGGTTTTGGTTTGGGAGCAGGCATTGGCTGACTTCGTGGACGAGCTTCTTCCGAACGGCCAGCGGGAAGCGCGAGAGTACCGATTTTTCTGTTGCGGTCGAGGCGCAGATCCAGCGATGCGGTTGGTAGGGATCGAGAGATTGTCCAGCAGCGATTAGCGAGGAGGATTGCCTGAGCGGCCCAGAATATAGTGGATGCTCGTTTCATTGCCTATATCTGAACCGAAGCGCAGATATGCGCACTCACTTGGGTCGCGCGGCAGCAGGCCCAGCTCGGCTATCCGGTCCAGAAACATATCGTCGACAATCGCTCGCGACAGACGAAGCGAAACCGAGCAAGCAAGCAAGCAAGAGGCGATATCACAGGCAGAAAGGCAGCGGCCAGGGCAACCGAGGGCCGAGAAAACCCGCGCGATGCGCTGTCGTCAGATCGAGGGATCAGCACATTGGCCGATGGAGTCCCTCAATCCCAGCGAGCGGATGTGGCCGGGTGTGATTCGGATGGCAGGGACAGCGAGGGCAGCAGAGTCAGTCGATGTTGCGCCGATGCCGAGCATGATATGGTTCTTGGATGGGCAAGCCGAGCTCGACATGCTCTCGCCACCCTGGCCATCGACAATGTTGCTGGAGCATGGGGCGGTGGCGGATGTTTGGTTGGCTCGGAGAATGGGACAAACAAACTGCCAGTCTGGAAGTGTCGTCAAAACGCTCCGATCATCGCACACCAATTCCCACGGCTTGAGCATCCGCTCGGCACATCACTCGGGCGGCCACCAAGCTCTCCCCAATACCCGAGCCTCATCCAGTCTCATCCAGTCTCATCCAGTCTCATCCAGTCCCGTCCGCTGCCGGACGAGCCTCATCATGGCCACACCATGCCATCGAGCATCGCTCCGGCAGCCGGACGTGCTGAGCAATCGGCTGGAGCCGCTGGTCCTCGCTTTAGTTGCGATTGTTTGCAAGGCATTGCCGGGGGCGTTTGTTGGCTTTGCCGTTGTATCATGATTGAGCCTCGTTCCATTCAGAACGCTCGGGGGCAAACAATACTCTGCGGACGAGATTGTTTGTCCCTGGATCCACGCAGCTGATGCCTCCGATTGCCATATAACAGCGCACTTCGCCTGCCGACACAGATCGACAGGGCCGACATCGCTCCAACTGACCCCCCTGCAAGGCCACTCCGCCGTAGATCTCTCACCCGCCCGAGCGCACGCATCTGTCTACTTGGCATCTGTTGAACACTCGACTCGCTCTGGACTTGGTGCAAAGCCCATCCTCGCTATTGCCTCGCTATGGATCGCTCCAACCTCGCTATCGAGAGGGCCCGCTCGCAGTGTCCCCCGCACATCAAGGCGCTGCTGACACCGCATCAGCTGCCAGCGGAATTCCTATCTATATCGGCCTGGAAGTACTCCGTCTCTGGCCTGCTACTCTATATTCTTGCCTCAGTTTTGACCGTCGGCATCGTTCCGCTGGTGGCTCAGTACAAGATATGGATCTGGACGCACCTGGCCCGGACCCGAGCCGCATCGTGGCAGGCCGCAGACGTGGCCCTGATCGTGGGCCTGGATGGGCAGAGCTTCGAAGCCAAGATCGAGCACTCGTACGACGGCATCATGATGTTTGAGTTCCGCAAGCAGCGCTACTTTTACTCGTACGAGGGCTTGTCCTTTGAGGTGAGATTCGCACGACTTCTCTGAGGCAAGGCATCTACACTCGGATGGGTTGGCAGTCCTGTCGGTCCGAGAGGCTCACTTTGTCTCGTTCCTGAATGCGCACCGATTCTGGCCCCGGACCGGCGCGACCGAACATCCCCATCCAGCGCCAAACCACCAGGCTTCCAACAGCTACAGACGAAATCTTTCCGTTCAAATATGGCCTGAGCTCGAGCATCGCTGCATCCCTTCTGCTCCGCTTCGGAGTCAACGAAATCTCAATCGACTCGCCGCCGGTCCTGTCGATCCTCATGGAGAAGATCATGCACCCATTCTACGCCTTCCAAGTGTTCTCGACACTCATCTGTATGTCCTTGTGCGAGCGCGAGGAGACTCACCCGAAAACGCACACTGTGGCATGATTGCGTCCAAGCCGAAGGACGTCCCTGCTGGCAACCTCACCGAGATCAACACGTGGATCTCTCTGAGGAGGCCGCGGATATCTGCTTTCCCAAGTGTGTGGATACAGAGAGCAGCAAAGAGTATTTGTCGACCTGGACACTTTGCATTCCACACTTGTGCGCTTCTGTCAGCTGAACTAAATCACCGTCGTTGATGCAAACCTTTGCTCTGTCGCGTGCATTAGGGGTGTACGAGGCTTACTACACATTCGGCATTGTCATCATGACCATGAGTGCCGGATCCCTGATCTCGGAGGTGTACAGCACCAAAACCAACATGGATGCCCTCCGAGCACTCACTCGGGTCGATCAGAAATGCACCATCATTCGAGACTCGACTCTGTGCACAGTCAATGCCCAGGACCTGGTGGTCGGCGACGCCGTCATTCTTGACAAGGAATCCGGCAAGCAGATCGTCTGCGACATGGTGCTGATTCAGGGCGAGTGCACCGTCGACGAATCTTCCCTGACCGGCGAGGCCGCCGCCGTTGTCAAGACTCCGATTGTGAAGGGCACCTCTTACGGGGCCGAGCGCAACCGCGGCCACACTCTGTTTGGAGGCTCGACTATGGTCGAAGCAAAGATACATCAGCACCACCCCGAGCCATTCTCACTCGAGCACTCGACCATCGGCATTGTTGTCTCGACCGGGTTCTCTTCGTCCAAGGGCGAGCTCTTTCGATCCATCATATTCCCGCCGCTGGTCAAGTTCAAGTTCCAGACGGATTCGTACAAGTACCTTCTCATCATGGCAATCGTTGCCGTCCTGGCGTTCAGCCACCGCATGATAACAGGGCAAGTGCAGCCTGCTGCACGAGTATGATGCCTCATTGGGTCGCTGAATCGCTGGATCGCTGGGCCGTTGACTGATGTAGCACCATCGCTGACCTGTGCTCTGCAACGGCTACAGCTTCTACACCAACCTCAAGTTCGGCAGTGTGCTCCTCTCGGCCTTGGATCTCATCACGATCGCTGGTTTGTATCGAGCGACCTGGATCTTGCAAAGCTGCTTAGTAGCCTCATATTCGACACGAGCAGATCCAAGCAATGCGATCGCAGCAATGGTGTTGATCTGCGCTTGATGGCGCTCTAACACCCTGCCAATCCTCGCCTGCTCCTATAGTGCCGCCTTCGCTGCCACTAGTTCTTACCATCGGCACAGGATTCTCGCTTGCGCGGCTCAAGAAGCAAAAAATCCACTGCATCAATCCAGAGCGAATCAACTGTGCAGGTCAGCGACGAGTCGAAATCGCACTGATACAGAAAGCGAACCAAGTGTGACGAGACATGTGTTAATGCCTGCTCTTTCCTGCCACAGGTAGAATCGATCTTATGTGCTGGGATAAGACTGGCACATTGACCACATCGTCGCTGAGATGGAAGGGCTGCGTCCCGAGCACCCGCGGTGGAGCGTTCAGCAAGTTCTTCAGACAGGCGCCCCCCGAATCGCTTCTCGAGAAGGTCGTGGCGGCCTGCCACAGTCTCCAACCAGTCGGCGGGGCCATGGCCGGCCACGTCGTCGATCAGGAAATGTTCTCGGCATCGGGGTGGACTCTGCACCCGGACCAGGACATCACCATCGGGGAGGACATTCCCATCCTGCTCAATTTGATTCCGGGGACGAGGACAGGAGAAAGGTCCCTCCGAATCATCAAGAGGTTCCTGTTTGATGCGCACGTCCAACGAAGCTCTGTGATTGCCCTGACGGCAGAGAACATTCCATTGGGTCTAATCAAGGGCTCGCCCGAGGCAATCCGAGACATTTGCAACCCAAGCAGCATCCCAGACAACTTTGAGGAAGTCTTCAAGAGCTACTCGTCGCAGGGATACTACGTGCTGGCCTGTGCCAGCACCGACATGAGCACCAAATTGTCGCTCCGCAACTTGACCGCCGATGCCCTTTCCAACATCAAGCGAGACCAGGTCGACGAGGGCGCGCAGTTCCAGGGATTCATCATCATGGAAAACCCAGTCAAGCCAGAGAGTGTTGTCGTCGTCGAAACGCTCACTGCCGCCAGGATACGGTCGATCATCATGTAAGCCTAAGCGTGCCGCGTCGTATGCACCGCAGCGGCTGGGTTTGCTGAGGCCAGATTCACACATGCAATCCAATGCACCTATGCAATCCAATGCACATACAATCCAATGCACACATGCAATCCAATGCAGTCACGATCATGCCACTCTTTCTGATTCGGCTTGTCTGTTTTGCCCGACTTACCGATGCTCCCCAGCACGGGCGATAATGTCCTGACAGCCATAAACGTTGCCCGCGAGTTGCGACTGGCCACCCGGATTCTGCTGATCGAGAAGACCAAGGAGGGTCTCCGGTTCTCAGAGCTCACCCGTGTCGACTCTCTCTTTGAGTCGGCGGCCAATCTGGACGCGCTGGTGGACAAGAAACATGTCGAGATGCCCAAGATCGACTTTCCGATCGAGGACCTTCCGCATATCCTCAGTGACAACGTCGAGCTGGCAATTGTAGGCGACGCCCTCGAGCACTTGATCTCGTGCTATGAAAAGCCGTTCATCGACATGATCATCACCCGGACCTCGGTCTTTGCTCGTACTAATCCAAACCACAAGACCTGGATCGTGGAGCGGCTGATGAAACTAGGACGCTATGTGGCCATGTGCGGCGATGGTCGGTACCGCATGAACAGCCCAGCAGACACCAAACAGCCGACTCTGCATCATATAACAGCGTGACAGCGTGACAGCGGAGGACGCGGGATCGAATCTGACTATGAACTACTCCCTCATTGGTCCACAGGCACGAACGACTGCGGTGCCCTCAAAGCTGCTCATGTTGGACTGGCACTTTCGAGCGCCGAAGGTAGGCTGCTGCCAGACTCGGATGGATCTTGCATCGCTGCACCGCAAATCCACCATCTATGCTGATTCTGCTCGGTGTGGCGGCGACAGCGTCCATCATTGCTCCGTTTACATCGGCCAAAAAGTCCATCTCAGACCTGCCGCTGCTGCTTGCCGAGGGGCGCTGTGCACTCGAGACATCATTGACTGCTTTCAAGGTGAGTGAGCAGATCCGTCAGCGCACCGGAACAGAACATGGGAGACCCGACAACGACCGAATCCATCCAGGCTGACATTGTTTGCTCTTCCGGTGCGGCGACGACAACGCTGCAAAGTACATGACCATGTATCCCTTGATCCAAGTGATGATTACCGCGACGCTCTATCAGTTCTCGACCGCCATATCCAACAACCAGTTCCTCTTTGACGACATGGTGATCGTGTTCTTGCTGGCGCTGCTGATGCTTTACACTGGGCCAGCACACCGCTTCACGATCGAGCGTCCGACTGATGATCTCTTCAGTCTCGGGGTGTTGTCGTCATTGCTGGGCCAGATTGCGATCTGCATGGGGATATTCATGTATGTTGTGCGCGACATGGTTATGGAGCCGTGGTTCTGCTCAGCAAAGGCGGCATCGTCTCAGCTGGGGAGCGACTGGAAGCCCCTCAACCCAGGCGGCCCAGCCAACGTCAGCTACCCATGGTATGTGCACTCGTACGACGAGCTTGTTTGGTCGTGACGGCTCGGCAGCCGAGGCGGCAGGAATCGCCCACAGTTGGCTCCACGGGCTCACCGCCGCAACCAGATCATGATCCAGTTGTTGACACTTCTGCCGGCACCCTCATCCGGAAACCTGCCTCTGCTCTCAGCTACCCGATCTCGCCCAACGAAATCAGCTTCCTCGGGATCCTGATTGCGACATACGAGAACACCAGTCTCTGGCTCTTTGCACACGTCCAGTTTGCCAGCGTCGCCTTGGCCTTCACTGCCGCCACAAAGTTCCGTCGGCCCTTCTGGACAAACCCCATGTACTCGGGATACTTGCTGCTGCTATTTGCGCTGCTGTCGTACATGATCCTGGCGGACGACAACACCCCAGGAGCCAACGGACTACGCCAGGTGTTCTCCCTCCGCGCCGGAGTGCCGTTCAATTTTCGTCTCAAGATCTGGGGCATGGTTGTGCTCAACGTGCTGGCGAGTGTGGTGTGGGAGCTTGTGGTGGTCGACAAAGTGGTGTCGTCGCTGATGAGGGAGCGCGAGGAGCTCGTCGAACTCGAGCGCCGATACCAAGAAGTCGAGTCTCAAAAGAAGGATCGCCGGGGCTCGGTCCGCGGCATCATCCGGCTCAAGAGCAGTCCGGACCACGTCATGGAAATCGACAAGTCGTTTTGAACGACGACAGCGGACTCGAGAGCGACTCCAACGGACGCAACTGTCCAGGAAGCGACATGCGGTTCTGCTGATAATGCAACTGGCCAATGTGTCGGGTAGGGCGGCACCTGTCTTGGATATTGACAAACATGCAAGTCAATAAAAGCTTGCAACTGCATCCAATTCGCCTTGAACACATCTGCGCCATGGATTCGTGACCAAGCAGGGCCATGAGAAGGGAGCAACCCCTTTGGAATGATCCACACAACAATAACACCAACAACCCCAGCCCAAGAGCCGCGGATGATGCATACGATCATGAATACGCAGTACCCCTGATTTTCTTGACGCCCCAGATTCCCTTGATTCATCTGATGATTATGATTCCCTCGACCACCTTTCGTCCGCACAGCCCTCCACTGATCTATAGGGCACAGGAGGGCAGGTCAAGCAGCATCATCGACCAGAGATCGTCACTGGGAGGCGGCAGCGTGATCTGTTTGATTGCATATGGATACAGTCACTCCAGAATGAAACGGGACAGTCACTTCCTGGCATCAGCGAGCTGAACTTCCACAGGCTCCAGTGGGCAAGCCGTGTGGTTGTTTCCCATCCTGGTTGGCAATATCTTTGTGTGGTGCATTCACTCGATCCTCTGGACAGTTCCATACTAACTCGATATCAAGATGCTCGGCCGTCTCGAGTCGCTTGCGGGGAGCCATCTGAGCGAGAAACCGCCCTTGATTCAGATCCAGAAACACATCACTGAACGGCCATACCCAGCGCGCGATGAGTTGAGTGAGAACATTCACCAACGGCCAAAATCCGTTTTTTATTGAATTGGCTGTATCATGTCCCATTACTCGTCATGACCAAACGATGTGTCTCAAGGAGCTGAGAGGCGGACCGACTCGAGCCACCCAAGTCTTGATATCGAGGAGTCGCATTTGTACGGAGCTGTCCAGAGGGACGAATGCACGCCAGCCGGTCGTCGCCGCAGGAGATCGACCGAGTGTATTCACGACCATGCTTCCCAAACCAACCAAACCAAAGAGATTACCAACCAGGACGGGAGCAATCACACGGCTTGCTCACTGAAGCTAACGGAAGTTCGGCAGGCTGCAGGCCTCTGAAACCAGAAAGTGACTGTCCCGTTTCTTTCTGGATGACTGTAAAGCAGGAGGCGAGTCTCTCCTCTTCCTGCTCCTCCTCCTCGATCCTGACGAGGACACATGAACGATACGGGGGGACGAGGCGATTCTCACGAGGAGCTCAAAGTTATCAAAGGAAAATAAAAATACGGGTGTCGAAGCTAATGTATAAGGGAGGATAATAGGGACTTTAGGGTGAAAGAGAGGCGCAACACATTGTAACGGAACATGAAAGAAATAATCCAGGGAGTGGGCGCTGGAGGCTCCGTGTTCTCAGGGGGTGGGTGGGAAGGATGAAAGTAACAATAATTCAAAAACGGATTGCGGGCGAAGGCTCGGCAGACGCAAGTCCAACCACCAGCTGTGAATATCGTGTGCGATTGGACGGCATGCATCATGCTCGATCGAGGCAAGCGCACCTCGGCGACGCTGGGACCGGCACAGGCGTGGAGCTCCAGAGACCCCGGAGTCGACGGGCAGCATCACAGAGGCCGATCCAGCATGCCGCCTACCCGCCACAGCATCATGAGGCTGGTCAGGGCCATGGTCAGACACACCCCGACACAGCCCACGAGGACGATGACGACGATCTGCTTCTGCTTCTGAAGCGCGCGCATCTCGTGGCGCTGGGTGATCGGCTGGCTGTGTCCGATGCCGAAAAAGTACTGCGAGGCCGTGCCCGTGTTGGAGAGCTGTCGGCGGCCGGACTTGGAGTCGCTCGCGGGATCGGTCTTGTCATGGCCGATGGAGTGGCTAGAGAGCCGGCGGGACGGTGCGGCACTCGGTCGCGATGCCGAGGCGCTGGCTGCCGAGCTTTCGCGCTCCATCGATGGGGGAACGGCAGCGGACTGGGCGCCCTGGCTGGAAGTGAGAACAATCCGGGGCGCCTCCGCGGCCAATGGCTTGGTGGGCGTTTGCGCCGGCGGCCTGAGCTCCGGGACCGCAGATGAAACTACAGCGCCGTTCTTGGCAGGCGGCGTGGAACTCATCCGGCGCTCGGCCGAGGACAGGATCGGGAGAATGGCGCGAGGCGACGAGCTGGCGACGGACTTGGTGCCGTTGGCCTGTTTCTCGGATCGCTCGTTCGAACTGGAGGCCCCGTCGGTCTTGTTGGAAGTGGTGCGCCGGCGCAGAATCGACTGCAGGGCCCCGCGCACGCCGCCCTTGCGACCAGGCTCGACTTCGTTGTCGGTGACCTCTTCAACGGAGGAGACCGAGCCTGGGACGAGCTTGTCCGAGGTGGTCGTGGATCGACGCTCGATTTGCGGGTTGCGTCCGGCATCGCCGTCGTCGAGCGGCGCTGCAGCGGACGAGGCGATGGGGACTGAGTTTGAGCGGGCATCCGAGGGCCGGGGTGGAACGGACGACACCCGGATCGAGGGAGGAATTACCCCTGTTGGCGACGCAGTCAGCGGCAGTTGCTGCTGCTGCTGCTGACGCAGGAGCTCGGATGTCGGGTCGGCGTGGGTAGCACTTTGGATCTCACGGACAATGTCGGTCTCGATGGTCTGGCTGCCTTCGCCAGAGGAGGTGTGTTCATGCGAGAGGGCGCCGCCGAGCTGGCTCTTCCAGACCCCGACCATGATCTCAAAGGCCTTCTCTCGAGAAATGAAGGTGGTGAAGAAGTACTGTGACGAACGTTGGACCGGATTGCATCCACAGGCCGTTTCGGGAGGTTGGATCAAAATGTCGGTTGCATAGGTGGGTCAGCGATGCAGCAATACAGACAATACAGTTGCCAGGGGACATTGTCAAAAGGCCGATGCCTCCGATTTGGACAGACACACGCAACCAAGCTGCTGCGCGGATCGGGAACAGGGAGCATCGAGCAAAAATGCATGGAATGTATGTGCACCTTGGTCTGCCGAGTCTTGACCAGAATGGCGTTCGGAACAATAAAGGCAGCCATCTTCTTTTCCATCGAGGAGATGTCGGCAAAAGGAATCACAAGCTACGAAACAGACGACGGCATGAATGAGCCAAGAGACGAGACGGCATGGCTGGGCGGTGTCTGGATGGCGTGCGACGCAACTCACAGTCGTGATGAATCCAATGATGTTGGCGTAAAAGCATAGATTGCTGGTGGTGATGAACAGCTTGCCCTGGATGAGGATGTCCTTCTGGAGAGCGCATGAAAAGTCTGGAGGACATTGGTCGGATCAAGACGGATACAGGGACATTGATGCGATTAGGACCGGGTGCGGATAGAGACCAGTAGCAAAGCCAGAGCAGCAGCGTATCCATGCCGAAATACGACATATCCGGGACATCCGACAAGCCAGGCACACCAGGCGCATCCGAACGATCCGACAAATCAGGCACATCCGAACGATCCGACAGAACGACAGCAGGCACTGCACTGCGCCGCACTGCATCGAGGGTGCGCCCAGGCATGCCGGCGACGATGGACGATGCAATCCCGGCCCAGTCGTACCGTCGACGTAGAGATCGTTCTCGTCAATGGACTTGAAAAGCCTGTGCAGCTCCCGGTTCTTCTTCTCCCAAGCGATGCGGTCCTTTGAATTCATGCTGGCAAAGTCCAGGAGCTCAAAATCATCGTGCAGCAGGATCGAGGAAGACGAGTTGAGCTCTGAGTTGTAGAGTTCTGGATCCGAATGCTGTTGCTGCTGCTGATACGGATGCTGCTGCTGCTGGTGTTGCTGCTGGAGCGCCTCGGGCGACTGGGGTGGCGAATAGGGATGCACCGACGGCTGGGAGGAGCGCTGATCCCGCGAGGGCGAGACGGGGTAGGCAAAAGAGGAAGGCAGATGGGTGTCGGATACGGAGCGCATTCGCCGGAGCGGCAGGCCCTCCACCGCAAGCGAGTCCTGCTGCACGGGCGATGGAGAGTGAGCCTCGGGCTCGGAGAGCTGTCGGGACATTGTGGAGGCGAGGCGGCAAGAGCAGATCCCTGGGACCAGGAGCAATCGGAAGCAGAGCAGCGACGGCAAGCACGGCGCTCTCGAGGAGAAGGAGGCAGACGGGTTCCTTGGGCGGGGTCAGCAGTTGGGTTTGCGCTTTGCGGGGGGGGGAAGGAAGCAGGTTCACGAAGCCGAGGGGGCCGAAAGGACAAGGCCGAAGAGCACGACGGGGGCGAGAGGAGGCGAGGCGGTGCCGCGGGGAGTGCTCGGCTGGTGCTTGGCGGGTGGCGAGAACACAACCGCAGACGGGTGTCGCTGCGGGTGTCGCTGCGGGTGCCGATGCGGGTGCCGATGTGAATATCGGTTGTGATATGCGTGCTGCTAACGACCTCAATGAACCAGCCAAGTGGCCGGCCGATTTGAACTTGATTCAACTCCACTGAACTTGATTCAACTCCACTGAACTCCATTGGGCTCTGTTGAACTCCATTGGGCTCTGTTGAACTCTCTTGAACTCTGTTGAACGCCATTGGATGCCATTGGATGCCATTGGACGCCCTTGAATTCGCTCGCGTCCAATGGAGCTCGGCTCGTTGTTGAACCTAATTGTGGAACTCGTCCGTCGCACCGACTGTTTGTGAACCATCCTCGAACCAGCGCCCCGAGCACACACGCTCTGCAGCCCCGGATCGCACAGGCGCAACGTGCGGTGACACGGCTGTCGCACAGTGTCGCACGGCAACTGCTGGGCCCTGCCGATTGGCTGCGGGCCGCCCCACGCCGGCCGAATCCGACGATGCGCACGAGCGCTCCCGCGATTCAGGCAAGCCCCAGTTTGGTCTGGAGGGCGATCCTTTGCCGGAGAGGCAGAACGGCAGAGCGCATGGCCCCGGCGCCTGCGTTGTCGAGAAGGGGGTTTGCATGGACACGGACGTCTCGTTTGGGCCTGCGGAGCGCAGAGCCGCCGCCAATGGCTGTTCCGGGATCGTGCAGCGAAAGAGATTTGGCAAATACAGAAACCGGGACGACTGACACACACACACACTGCACACACACACACACACACACTGCACACACACACTTTCCCACCATTCACTCTCGTCCATGATCCCCTGGCGCCCATTCTCTGCATCTTGCGACTTGCGTCTTGCATCTTGATACTCAATCTGTCGCTGCTGGACCAGCGATTCATCTTCCGTTCCCGAGCCAGCCGCATCGCCATTCAACACAACCCCCCGTGCCAGCGAGTCCATCTTCAGCCCGTCTCGGCTCCGTCCGACTGCATCTGCGTCGTTTCTGATCCCAGATCGAATATCGCTCAAGCCTGTTGAGCCCTGGCACGCCCTCCATGTCCATTCGAGTCGACACCGATGCCGCCAACAAGTTCTCGTTCCGCAAGCGTCGCGAGCGGCTCGACTGGAGGACCCTGGGCAGCATCCAAGTCGAGGCCGTCATCAACAACGCCGACGTGTCGCTGCTCCAGGAGATCCTCGACAACGTCGCCTTTTGCGACCTCGAGTACGAAGGTACTCCGTGCACATATTCTGGCTGTCACCTGTCGCCAGATGTGTCTCGCTCGATATGTCGGCTGCACCATCACCAGCGACGCGTATCGGCGAGTGGTTGCTGGAATGCATCCATCCGAGGCCACGCTCAGAGCCGCTCGCTGTGACTGCTACCCTCGGATTGTCTGCAGTCCTCGGCTCTGACACTCTTTTGCTCGCCACAGATCTCCGCTCTGTCGATCGCAGCTTTGTCAAGCTCTTTCGCCTCGCGCAGCTCATCATCGAGTATCTGCTGTTCTGCCAGGTTGGTCCATGTAAAGGATGACGCGTGGCCTTCTTCCGCATCATGACCACCGCACTCATCAATCGCTTGTGCACCGCAGTCGACCCTCGTTGGCGTCAACAAAAACCTCGAAAGCGAAAAGACCAACCTCCAGCAAGCCTTGGCCGACGCTCAGAGCGGGCTAAAGAGCAAGGCGAGTGTGTCTTGAGTCCCGCAACCGATTCCATCGTGAACCTGCTCGAGGGTGACTATTCCCCGGTGTTGTGGCCATCGGCTTTGGGGGCAGGCCGGCAACGGTTGCATATTTGATCCAGCGTATCTCTAAACTCGGTGTATGCCAACCCCGACACACACGCTGCCTAAACACCGTGTCCTCATCAGGACTCTGAGGTCCTGGCCCTCAAGAAGCAGTTGCGCTCTCTCCAAAAGGTCAACCAGACCTACCAACTGATGGCCAAGGCCTCCCCAGGCAGTGATCAGAGGCCTGCAATCTCTGTCCAGAAACCCACAAACTCTTCGCAATACGAGGTACTTCCAGCACAGCGATAGGCACTTGGTCGTCGTCACCGCAGCACTCAGCCGCTACTGCGACACAATATGACCACTTGCCAGAGATCCATCGTTCGCGCGAGCTCTCCATCCTGTCGTCCATGTTCCCAAACAGCCAGTCTTACGCAGCCCTTCCATCGAACCCAGCGCTGCCCATACTGTCGCAAGGTGTTTTGCACATTCGGGTACCTGGAGTCGCATATTCGACGCCGACACCCTGCCGAGCACGTCCCCTATCCCTGCAATCCCAGGCGCGAGGAAGGCGAACTGCCGGGATCGTTCTTCCGGATCCTCGAGGTCCTCGGCGAGCGACTTGTTGACAAGCTGACGGCCAACTCCACCGACACCACCAAGAAGGATCTCGAGCTCATTCGATCCACCATCGAGCAGACGGTAGGTCCCGACAGAAGCCCGTAGCACCCATTCACTACGTTGCCTGCTCATGCTAACCCGGATTCCAGATCGTGAACCAGCAGAGCGTGCAAAAGGACAAGCTGAATCTTGATCGCCAGATACAAGAGCTCAAGGTATAGCCCAGTATCCGCACAGATCCGAGAGTCTGTCCCACATCGTCTCTGACAACATGATAAGACCACGCACTCGGAACCACAATGCCACGACCACAAGTTGTCGCCAAAGGCTTCGCTCCTCGGTCGATGCATTGCACCGAGCTCGGCATCATAACACTGGATCGATGCCATTTCACAGTCACAGATTCATCTCGAGCTTGAAGAAGAGCGCCGCATCCTCCAAGACGAGCGCAAGGTCATTGAGAACATGGTGCGAGAGACCGATTTCCTTGGTGCACGTACATAGGGCATCTCCCCGCCCTCCTTCTCCTATACAGAGTGCTGCACTGCACGCTCCTGACCCAACGAGTCCACTGATGTCAAACGCCGTTGGCTCTGCAGCGACACCGTCTCCAGGAAATACCACCGGCGTCCAATATCGGCAGGATCGAGGACGACGATGACACTGTCGAGTCAGCCGAGTCGGCCGAGTCACACGAGACCCGAGAGCGAGCCCTCGAGGAGCTGGTCGCCAAGAAGCTCGAAGAAAAGAACTCGGAGATCAAGAAGGCACTCGAGGCGATGCAGGACCGCGAAATGTCCCGGCTCCGAGACGATCTCGCCAAGGAATATGTAAGGCAGACGGGGCACCACCTATATCCACGGACAGGGGCAAGCAGCAGCCATGATCATGCGGGTACACATGATATGGCGATTCTTTGATACTGGAGGTTGGTCGCAGTGCCCTGATCAACCCTGGCGACGGACCCGTATGCTATTAGGACCGGGACTACCGCAACCTGACAAGCCAGATCACAGACGCCAACCTCCAGATTCAGCGACTGCAGAGCCTGCTCATGCAGGAGCAGGCCAAAACGGTGGAGCTGACCCAAAAGATCGTGCAAACAAAGCAACCGCCTCTGGAGCGCGAGCCCGCACGCAAGCCAGAGGCCGTTCGACAGCCTTCGTTTGTGGAAAAGCCCAGCGAAACAGCGTCTCCTCCTCCTTTTCCTCAAAAGCAGGTTCGGGAGGACATGCACTCGACAGCACCCCTTTGATGAGCCTGATCTGCTACAATCCACCTCCGATATACTCATTAACAATGACGTTTGTTGTCTGCTCCCGTGTCGCCACATCGACTGCAACTGTTCGCCCAACGTGCCTGCTGGGTTGCATCCACCGTCAACGCACACCACTCTCCACTCTGATCGCAACTCCCGCCGAAACCCATCGCGCTGGCTGCGCTTTCGACAATCGACATCAATCCCCACTTCCCACACACACAGCCGTCGCAGCTGCGGCTTGAGATCCCAGCCCAGCCATCCGAGCCCGAGTCTGAGGTGATTGTTCCTTCGCGTCTGCACAGGAGTGCAGGCCCAAGGCAATGGGCATGCCGCAGACAGCCCGAGAATGCTCGCACAAACTGTCCTGAGTAGTGTCCGGAGCAACGCATTGACTCTGTGCAACATCCAATCGTATTCCAAGATCTCGACATCATCGCAGCCATCCAAAGTCACTCGCCCTCCAAACTGGCAGGACTGCTTGGCGTTCTTGGAAGCCCACACAGGTGGGGAGTCGGTGTGCACGCATATGGGGGCCCATCTGGAGTGTGTTGTTGCTTGAGCGAAAGAGAACTTGTCCCAAAGGGCGGTTGCGGTAAGATCTCGATTCAAAGTGGACGTATCCTTTGACCATTCGCTGATGCTGTGCTTGCTGTGGCTCGGCAGAGATATCGCTGGAAAACACTCCATGGTGCACGTCACTCCTGCTGCATTCGGAGGAGGACTTTCGTAAGAAACGACATAACCTCAAAGGCCAGGTCAGGAACGAGTATCAGTCGCTGGGGATAAATGAGAAGATTGACGAAGCCGAAATGGAGGCTGTTCTGAAGATATCCTTTTCCACCAGGGGCTGCTCGTCTGTTGGGGGTGGGACCAAGCATGTGCATCGCTCACGCTGACCCGCGATGTTGATGGAGCCAAGCCGGCGATAGTGCTTGACCTTCAACTCCAGTCTGAGAGCGCTGACTCGTGGATATGCTGGCGACTCGTGGCTGTGCTGGCGATTTGTGGTCGATCATTTGTTTTGTGGGTATCCTTAACTCTCAGCCGCAATCGCTCTCTCGCGTATCCTTTCGTTGAACACATGGTCGAAGAGTGGAAGAGGGACCACGGAGCCAACCCAAACCACAAGCGAATGCGCAAATCGCTCGAGAATGATGTTGCACTGATCATGGAACAGTTCTTCTATGAGCCTGAGGTGCCCAAAGACGAGCGCCTGGCACGACCGCTTGTCTTGTCCAAGTCGGCAAAGAGCCCCGAGCGGCCGGGCGCGGAGACCCCAGTCGTAAACGAGAAGCTCGGCAGCTTGATCAATCTGCATGCAGGTGGGCTTCAAAGAGCACTGCAGCCAGGTTTTCTAGTGCAAAACGACGTACCGAGCGGCAAGGTCTCCTGCCCTGGTCGGAAGCGGTCCCTCTCGTACACTGACACTAACACCAAAATGACCGTGTTTGCTTCATACCGCTTAAACACACTCCAGAGCGGGCCAATCTCCCTGCCGACGACAACGGCCCCGATGGTCAGCCAGAGCTTCATGACGACTGCGAGCAGCAACACCCCACGCATCTGCGGCCAGCAAAGCCCCCGAAACTGTCCATCCGAATCCCACACTCGAAAAAGACGCCGGCATATCCCCTGAGCTCGCCGCTCAAGCGTCGAGCCTTTGCCCAGCAGCAGCGCCAAACCCAAGTGGCACAGAGTCACCGGCGGGAACAGTCCGACGATGCCTCCCAGGCATACACTGAGGAATCCGGCGACAGCCACGAGCCCGGTGTCGACTCGGCGAGCCGACGTGGATACCAACAAGATCGCGAGTCAGAATCAGAGCAAGAGCATGAGCCTGAGCCTGTGCCTGAACCAGGCCTGACGCCCAAGACCAAGCGCAGCCCAATCGCAGGGCTGCGGGCACGATTCTCTGAGACCCTCTCCAGAGCCAAGCGAGGCCGTCGGTCGTCGTCCCAGAGCCCCGAACGAGTCCAAAAGGTGACCGAAAGCCAGGATCACAGCCACGATGACGACCAGGGCCACGGGGACGGCCACAAATCGCACTCGCGCCGATCTTCGGCATCGTGGCAGTTCTGGAAGTCCTCGCCCAACGAGAGCAAGCCCTCCAAGGCGGGCAAGGAACGAGGCACAAAGGGTCGAGCCAGCATGGATTCGGGGCTTGAGCCGCGAGGCGGCGACCGCGAGCACGACAGAAGCGATACGCACAGGTGGGTATGGAGGGAACCAAAGGTCGGATGAAGTGTGTTCGGAGTCGAGTCCCGAGCAAGATGTGCCATCGCTATCCAGCGTCTTGTCATCCTGGAGCCTCTGGAACTCTTGTATCATGTCGTCCACGAGCATCAGGTGCGCATGATTGACGGCCACTGGTCTGTCGTTTGTGATGCAGCATTGGCTCTGGCTCCACGGCAAGCAGTGAGGGTCCAAGTCCGATCAAGCCCCGAGGCGCATCTCCGTCGAATCAGCGAAGCAGCCGGATGTCGGTGTTTACCCAGGGCATCAAGTCAGCCTTGACCAAGATGGGCCACCGACGCAGCCGCTCGAGCCGTTCGGATGCCACTTCAGCTGCTGACCATGCTGAGCGTGAGACCGCCGTGCACGACATTGACAACTACCCCGACGAAGAACACTCGGTCGAGCAAAGCCCTGCTGTCTCTGCTTCGTCCTCGCCTCAGCCACACGCAAGAGAATATGGCCGCCGCGGCAACGACGACGACAGCGACAACGATGGCGACGATAACAACGATAACTGTGGCGGTCGCGATCGATCGTCGCCGCCTCCCCAGCGACTCGCACCTCGAGACACTTACGGCAACAGCCGAGCCGAGTCGGACTCGTTGCGCCCGTCATCCGCCCGCGGACTTCCTCTGGGACTGCGAGACTTCCAACAGCACAGCACTAACACCATCACCGAGGTCTCGGAGGAAACCACAGACTCGGCGAGCTGGCCGCGCCAGCCAAAGTCGATGTTCTCCGGTGCAAGCAAGTCACGGCAACCCGCGGCGTCGACCAACGGCAGCACCACACCACAGCCAACCCCTGGTCGGGGCACCAGTGCCAGTATTGTCAAAGGCGCACCACAAACCAATGTCGTCCAAGTGGCCCCAGGCAATACCCGGCCGGCCTCGCGTGGCGGGAGAAGCACACAGGGCACCGGCGACGACATGAACTCGTTTGACGTCACCGAGCTAAGCGAGATCAGCGCCAGCCTCGAAATTACTTCCTTCAGCGACATGGAAAATGCCGACCTCGTCCAAAAGTTCAAGGCCAATGTCCAGCCTCCCAGCAGCGATGAGGATGCGACCGCTCGAGATCGGGGCGGTCGCGGTGGAACGGCACCTGGGGGCTCTGGTGGAAACGGATGGACAGACCGATCGCCCGGTCCAGAGCGAAAGGCCTCGTCAGCACCAGCACCGGCCGTCAGCCGCCCGGCTGTGATCAGAGTGGCGGCGAATCAGTCCGACGACGAATCGCCGTGGGATGACGATGAGGAACCTACCCGCAGCCAGCGACAGCCAGAGCGCGAAGCCGACAGCAAACCACGAGGTGGGTGAACGCAGCGATGCCGAGAGTAGAGCCAGGCTGTGGGTGCGGCGGATTGATCCTCGCACTCGCAAGTCGGCATGCTTGCGTGGATAAGATGTGGCGCAGGTTGATAGAGGTCTTTATTGGCTCTGCCCATGCACCGCTGTCGCTGCTCACGCTTGCTTTGCTGACATCTTGCTTCAACTTGATAACCGGGATGCTTGGCGGGAACCTTGGTCGAAACTCTGGTAGGATCCACAACAGCAGCACAACAGCCACGGCTGGCGGAAGAAGACGAGTTTGACTTTGACGACTCAGAGCTCGATATGGAGCATGCATAGCAGTGATTTACTGTTGTCCTTACGTCTGGTTTTGAGTCGGCCCTGCCACGCTCTGACCGACTCGACCCTCGGAGTAAACGACAACACAGCTATGTATTTCGATGTACAGAGACGAATAGGACACGAAACTTTCTGGCAGAAGGGAAGGGGAGCAAGACGGAGGCGGGGAAGCCCCCACCAAGGAGGGTTGCTATGAACGATGGATATGGGTGCTTCCATCCAAACAAGTATAAACATTGAGTGCCTCGCTTCATGTTGTGTACGGGGGTGTCCCATTTCATTTTTGGGAACGCTGTAAACAGAGCAAGCATGGAATCGTATGGAGGGAACGGACAACATGGGTTGGAGTATTACTGCGTCTAGGCTTCAGTGGCGAATGTGCCTTGGTCCTCGCTGCTGCCAGTGGCAATCACTTTGGCATCGGCAGCGGCGCCCTCGACAGCAGGAGCATCAGTAGCACTATCAGCAGTGGCGCACTCGACAGCAGCGTCACCGGCATCAGCAGCATCAGCAGTGGCGCCCTCGGCAGGAGCGTCAGCAGCATCATCATCGGCAGCATCAACGGCATCATCCTCCGCATCATCGGCATGCTCTGGAATCTCGACGTCCTGCGCTCCAAAGGCGCGCAGCATCTCGATGATGGCTTCGTCCTCGTTCTCCTTGGCGATGGTCATGGCGCATCGGCCATCCTCGGTCTTGTGGTTCACATCCAGACCCTCGACGGTCTTGAGGACAAACTCGACAATCGCCGGGATGTTGGTCGCCACGGCCTTCATCAGGCAGGTCTCGCCGAGGTTGTTTGGTTGGTTGAGGGGTGCACCCAGCTTGGCAACTTCCTCGACCATCCGGATGGTGTTGGAGCCGATGGCGGTCATGAAGAGGTTGTTGCCGTCCTTGTCGACGTCGTCGATGGTGGCCCCACGCTCGACCAAAATATGCATTGTGTGGAAGCTGCCGCTCGAGACGGCCGCAAACAGGGGCGTCATGCCCGTGGCGGACGATCGGGCGTGGATATCGGCGATGCCACGCTCGAGCAGCACCTTGACGATGTCGAGGGAGTCGGCCGCGGCACTCTTCAGCAGCGCGGACTCGTTCTGGTCGTCGACGTGGTTGATGTCGGCACCCTTGTCCAGCAGGAGCGTGGCAAAGTAGGCGCTGCCGTCCTGGGCGGCACTGAGCAAGGGCGTGACGCCGTGCTGGTCGCCCTGGTTCACCAGGTTGGCGAGGTCGTCGTCGCTGGCAATGTCGATGAGATACTGGGCAACATCGAGCGATTTGTTCTTGACAGCGCGCAGGAGAGCCGTCTCGCCCTCCGGGCTGACCACCTTGCTGTTGGCGCTGGCGGGGTTGGTCTTGGCGAGGTACATCACAACCGAGAGGTTGCCGAGGCTGCAGGCATGCATAAACGGGTTGACCCCGGTAGCGTCCTGAGCCTCGAGCGAGGCGCCGTTGGTCACAAGCAGCCTGACCAGGCCCAGGTCCGAGACGCTGATGGCCGAGAAGAGGGCCGACTGGTTGCTGGCGTCAAAGTGGTCGATCACAGACTTGCTCGTGGGGCAGAGGACTTCGGCAATGTCGCGCTCGCCGTTCTGGCAGGCAATCATCAGGGCCGTCTTGCCTTGGGAGTTGACCAGACCGGCGTTGGCACCCTTCTCCAGCAGGAACTTGACGACGCCCAGGTTGCCGTTGGCCGCGGCCGACATGAGCGGCGTGGTGCCTTCATGGTCGGCCTGGTCGATCAGCCCGGCGTCGTGCTTGGTGCAGTGCTCGAGGACATACCGGAGCACATCCAGGTTGCCCGAGCCCACGGCGATGAGCAGGCCGGTCTCGCCCTGCTCGTTCACGTCGGTGACACGCGCGCCTCGCTCAACGACCAGCTGGATCAGCTCGATCGTGCCGGACGAGACGGCGTTCAGGAACACGGTGTTGCCGCTGTTGTTGCGGATATCGATCTCGGCGCCGCGCTCCAGGAGGGCCTCGCAGTAGTTGTGTGTCTTGCAGGTGGCGGCAATCAGCAAGGCGCTGTCGCCGTTCTCGTCACGGTGGTTGACGTCCGTGCGGCTGTCGCGGAGGATGCTGTTGAAGCCCAGGCGGAGCTGCGACTCACAGGCCATCATCAGGGGCGTGCGGCCCGCCGAGGTGACGGCATTGACATCGGCACCGCTCTCCAGGAGCACATCGACGGCGGCAGGGAGACTGCTGGCGGCAAAGATCAGGGCGGTGGAGCCGTTGTCGTCGGCAACGTTGATGGTTTCGCGCACCTTGTCGATGCCGAGGAGGTACTGCACCGCCTGAAGGTTTCCGGACTGCACGGCCATGTGCAGGCCCGTGATGCCCGCGTCCGCTCGCTGGGTGACATCGACACCGGCATCGACGGCGATCTTGATGAGTGAGACGATGCCCGTGGCGCTGGTCCAGTAGAACAGCCCGCGCTTGTCGTTGTCGAGGGCATGGATGTCAGCGCCCTTCTCGATCAGGCGGCGGATCAGAGGCTCGTTGGGCTGAGACAGGTTGGCGGCGGCAAGGAGGGCCGTGGTGCCGTCGTTGTTGTGGTGGTTGAGGTTGGTGCAGTCGGGGTCCTCGAGAATCATGTCGATCATCTCCATCGAGTTGGCCCGGACCGCTTGGATCAGCATGCTTGTGCCATCGCTGCTCAGCACGTCGAGCTTGGCGCCCTTGCTGCGCAGGAGCTTGTACAGACTCGGGTTGGTGTTGATGATGGTATGGAAGAGCGGGGTGTTGCCCTGGCGGTCGCTGCCGTCGATGACAGAGTCGAGCTCGGGCCGGTCCAGGCCCAGCAGGAACGACGCTGCCTTGGGCTGGTTCTCGCGGACGGCAATCAGCAGGGCGGTCTCGGAGTCAATGTTCTTGGCGTCGAGCTGCACGCCGCTTCCGACCAGGAACTTGACCACGGCCAGACTGGCGCTGCGGCAGGCGGTGATGAGCGGATCGTCGCCGGCGAGGTTGCGGACCTGGATATTGGCGCCGCTCTCGACCAGGAGCTGGATGATCAGCAGATCGTTGTTCTGGATGGCGTGGATCAGGGCCGTGTTTCCATAGCTGTCCTTGGCATCGATGTCGACGTTGTAGGTCTTCACGAGCTTCTGGACGAGCGGGAGACACTTCTTCTGGGTGGCATAGATGAGCACAGTGGTGCCGTCGGTGTCGCTGTCGTTCGGGTTGGCGCCCTGCGACAGCAGGTAGTCGACGACAGCCATGCCGCCGTACTGAGCCGATGCCTTGATTACCGGCGACAGGTTGTTGGCGTCCGTCTTTGTGAGCAAGGGACGAGCAGCCTCGTGCGACAGCAGCAGCTTGAGCAGATCCAGACGCGGGGTCTCGGCCACGGCCATGATGCTGTGGTAGCCGTTGGTGTAGAGGCGGTCGAGCGGGGCGCCGTGGTCCAGCAGGATCTTGACCAGGCCGAGGTTGCCGCTGCTGCAGGCGTATACCAGCATGCTGTGTCCCTCATTGTCTTGGACGGTGACGTCGGCGCCCTTGTGGAGGAAAAAGACAACGGCTGCGTCATAGCCATAACTGACGGCCTCGAGGCACGGCGTGGACTTGGAGTTGTTGGTGGCGTGCACGTTGGCGTGCGCTTCGTTGACGAGGTAGCGGATCAAGCTGATGGAGGCTTGGGCACAGACGGCGTGGAAAAGTGGGGTGTTGCCGTTGTCATCGGTCGCATTAACATCCGCGCCGGCTTCGACGAGAGCACGAGCGATCGAAGCAGAGACGTTCGCCTGGCACGCTACCATGAGCGGCGTCATGCCGCTGGCGTTGGTCTCCTGAACCAGGTCCTTGGGCGACTTGTCGCGTTTGAGCAGGTACTGCACCAGGTCCAGGGAGTTGCTCTGGGCGGCGAGGGCCAGACTACCGTTGCCGTCGCTGTCGCGGATCCAAGGGTCGAGCTCCTTGCTCACGATGAGCTCGACCAGCTGGAGGCTGCCGCTGGAATACGCCGAGGTCAGGATGTGGGTGCGCTCCTCAATTTCGATCGGGCGCGACGTCACCTCAAAGAGCTTGACAAAGATGTCGACGTTGTTGCTGGTGATGGCGTAGTGCAGGGCGGTGAAGCCTTCGTCGGACTTGACGTCAATGTCGACGGCGGGGTTCTTGAGGAGCCGCTCGACGGTGCGGAGGCTACCGCACTGAGCAGCCATCATCAGCGGCGTAGTGCCGGACGAGTTGTCCCTGTTGGGGTCGGCGCCGTGCTTCAGCAGATGGAAGACGGCATCAGGCATGTCGTCGGCGCAAGCCTGGAGCAGCGGCGTGCGGTCGTCGTCGGAAAGCTGATCCAAGAGCTTCTTGAGCTGGTCAGGGTTGTCCTTGGCCAGCTTTTCGGTGACAAACTCGACGATGCTGGCGTCGTTGGCGGCCACGGCGATGTGGACGGCAGAGCGGTCCGAAACCGTGCAGCGGTACAGGTCAGCCGACTTGTCGGCACAGTAGCGGACCACGGCCAGGTTGCCGCTGGTGCAGGCGCAGAGGAAAAGGTCGCTCTGGTCCTGATCACGCACGGTCGTGTCGGCCCCGGCCTCGACCAGCAGTTTGACCACCTCCAAGACTCCTGCGGTGGCGGCCGTCAAGAGTGGCGTCGACGCGGTGTTGTCGCGCCGGTCGATGCAGTCCTTGCGTCTCTCCAGAATGGCCGAGACCAGCTTCAACTCTCCGCTGCGTGCGGCCTCATGCAACGCAAGGGCGTTCTTGTGTTCGACATCGGCCCCGTTCTCGACGAGATACAGGGCAATGTCCCAGTAGCTGGACGAGACAGCCGACGTCAGAGGCGTATCTCCATACGTGTCTTGCAGGTTGATGAGCTTGCTGCGGGCCTCGGCGTCGCCTTCGAGGCAGTTCTCGACGACGTATTTGACGGTGTCAATGTCACCGGAATCGACCGCGATGTGGAGAGGCGTCATAAGCCGGAGGGTGCTGACAGACCATCGCTTCGCGCCAGATTCAAGGACCTTTTGCATCGTCGCGACAGAGGAGCCGGAGCAGGCATTCATGAAGGCATCGTTGCCCTGGTTGTCGACGGCGTCGAGCGCGGCCCCGTGGTCCATGAGGTGGATGGCGACCTTGTCCAGGCCCGATCCGAGCGCAGTCAGCAGCGGCGTCGATCCATCCGGCAGCTCGTGGTTGATGTTGGCGCCGGCATTCAGCAGATGTTTGACAATCTCGAGGGCCGCGTTGACGCTGGCGTTGGCCTCCTCTGAGTCGTCGTCCGAAGAGCCCCACGAGTAGTCGCGCTGGGTGACGAGCGTCAGGGGGGTCTGGCCGGAGCTGTTGATCTGGTTGGGATTGGCACCCTTGGTGAGCAGGTAGCGGACGGTGTTCTTGCCGAGGCTGCGGGCGGCACTGTGCAGCGGGGCATCGCCATCGTAGTTGATGCGGTTGACCAAGATCTCGGGCTTGAAGTCGCCAGAGCCGTAGTGCGGATAGACCTGCTCGAGGAGATAGCGCACAAGGTCGACGGGATCGGAATCGGTGTTGCTGCAGGCCTCCAGCAGCCCGTTGGAGCCGCTCCCGTTGATGGCGTTGCAGTCGCCACCCTTGCTGAGCACGAGCTTGACGGCCTCGAGATTGCCGCCCTTGCAGGCAGCAAGGAAGGCCGACTGGAAGTCGTCGTCGGTCACATCGAGACGAGCACCGGCGTTGATGAACTCCTCACTGACGCTGAGGTTTCCGGCGGCGAGAGTGTCCAGGAGCGGAGGCTTGTTCCGGCAGGCGGAAAGGTTGAGGAGAGCATCGATCGAGGCGGTGTAAGGGCTCTGTTCCTCTGGAGGCAGGGTGGGCTCGCGGCGCAGATGCTCGATCAGCAGCTTGGCCAGCTCGGCAGAGAAGTTGTTGTGGGCGGGACTGTAGTTGAACACGGTGTAGCCATTGGTGTTGATGCCCCGGAGACTGGCGCCACGGGCCAGGATGAGCTTAAAGACCTCGATATTGGGATCGAGGCAAGCGCAGAGCGCAGCATCCCACATCGTGTTGTCGATGGCGTGGACATTGGCACCAGCATCCAAGAGGACGGTGAGGGTCTCGACGTCGGGGTTGGAGTACAGGGTGCGAAGGAGGGTGGTCTCGCCGTAGGTGTTGAGCTTTTCGAGATCGGCGTTGTAGTCGCTGATCAAGGTGCGGACGATATCGACATGGCCGCTGGTTCGTGCCGCAGTCATGACAGGGGTATAGCCAGACTCGCCCGAAAGATCAACGAGCGACCGGTCATGGTCGAGCAGGAACTTGACAATGTCGAGGTGGCCGGCATCGGCAGCCAGATGCAGAGCCGTGTCCTGGTTGGTGGCGAAGCCCTGGACCACGGTGCAGCCGATGCTGGTCAGGTACTCGACAACCTTGAGCTGGCCTTCAAAGGCAGCTAGCATGAGAGGAGTGTAACCGTTGTTATCCTGGTCCTTGAGGCTGGCGCCGCGCTCGACCAGGAGCTTGACAATGTCGACGTGTCCCTCGGCGACGGCGCAGAGGAGCGGGGTCATCGACGTCGAAGTTTTGGCGTAGAGCGAGCAGCCGCGGTCGAGCAGGATCTGGACGATCTCGGTCTCTCCAGACGCGCAGGCATGATGAATGGCCATCTCGTTGAGGTTGTTGCGGACGCTGATGTTGAGCATTGGGTTGGCCAGGAGGGCCTTGGCAACTTCAATGTGCGGGTTCTGGCAGGCGACCGAGAAGGGCGTGTTGCTGGAGTTGTCGGGAATGTCGGGGTCGGCGTCTTTGCTGAGGAGGAAGTTGACAATGTCGACGTGGCCCTGCTCGGCAGCCAAGAACATGGCAGTCTTGCCTTCGTTGGTTCGCAGGTTGACCTTGGCGCGGAAGCGGATCAGGTACTCGCAAATCTCTTTGTTGTTGCTTTTGGCAGCGTAGTGAAGGGCGGTCATGTCATTGACAGGGTTGGACTCGTTGATGTTGAAGTCGGGGCTGCGGCCGACGATGAACTGCAGAGCGCGGATGTCGCCGACTTCGGCGGCTTCCCAGAGGGTATTGAACTCCTGGAAGGTCTTCTTCTTGTTGGCCTCGAGACGGCGGCGCTCAGACATGATCTTGTCCATCTTTTCGTGGATGATTCCGATGAGCTCGTTGCGGCGGTTGGCGGCGACCTCGGGCTTGTCGACGACGGCATCCTTATAAAGATCGTTGCAGATCTGGATACCAATGCCACTGTCGCGCCACGACGGGAGTTTACTATGGATTGGGCGAATTGGATGGACATGAGTGAATTGGATGGACATGGGTATCAGCAGTGGCGCTTGGGGTGATACACGCTCCTCGTTTGCATTGCAAATACAGAGACAAATCTGCACTTACGGGTCCTTAGGTGCGTTGGAGCCTGAGTAGACTTCCTTCTTCATTGCGTCCGTTGCACCCACTGTCCAAACCCCAGATGAACGATCCCATCAAGAATGTGAGTCAGCCCATCTCAAAAGGTGGGGAAGGATGTCTCCGTTCTTGCACAAGAATAATAGGGTGCCGGACATACGTACCGATAACAGGGATGATTTCGATGTTGTGGTTGGAGGCGAACTGAAACTCGCGTTTGCTGGGGAGGGGAGGCAGGGTCAATATATACATATATATATATGAGGACACAGGACACAGGACAGGACACAATGCAGACCAAGACATAGATCCTCACCAGTTTTTGCTGGCGGCGTATTCATCTGAAATGTGGGCAACGACGATGGCAGCTGTACGGACGATGACGAGATAGATGAGTATATGAACGAGGGGGAGGGGATGAGTCCAGAGAGTGGAGCTGTATGTCCATGCAGTCGGCTTTACCTTCATTGACCAAGGCGTGAGCGAGGTTTTCGAACAGCTCGCCCTGGCGACCGATGCCCAGTTCGTTGATGTCGAGCCAGGCACGGTACTTGCCCGTGCTCGTGATATCGCGTGCAAGGTCTCTGGGATCGAATCTGGAGACACGGCAGACGAGTGCAACGGCGGACGGTGAGCTTGATTCTTGTCGGCGAAATGAGATACCAACGGGGAGGCAATCGCGGCGCAATTCATGAAGCCACCACCGAGGCAATATGTCAAACGAACAGAGCAACGAAGCTGATGGATATCACACTTACAATCCAGCCAGCTTGATCAACTGCTCGGAGCCTCGGGTCTCCTGGACATCCTTTTCCACCTGGGCCCTGGGATGGTGGAGAAATGAAGGGGCGGAAGACTATGATTAGACCTCGCCAAGGGGACTGGAGACAACGTTACCGAGGTAGGGCAACCTACTTGCTGTTCTTCCAGCAGTAGCTGATGAAGACCTTGTCACGAGGCGGTTGGGCCGGATCGGCGGCGTCGTGGTCGTGGTCGTCGGCATCGGCATCGGTCTTGGTAGGAGGCTGGGCGACCGGAGCGGCAGGCTCGACACCTTTCGGCTGGGAGTCGTGAGCTTCGTCGGCAACGGGAGGCTCCACTGACTCGGCTTGCTGGGAACCAATGTCTCGACTCTGGGTTGCAACGACAGGGGCAACTGGGATACCGACCGGGGCGGGGAAGGAGTCGACGATAGGGCCGGTGGCTGGACGAGCCCTGGCGGCCTGGACGAACTCGGTGAGGAGACCCTCCTGGTTGGCGACAGTTCAAGCGACAGGAATGTGAGCGAAGATGAGGCAGCAGCAGGGCACACATAGCAATGTGTGGATTGCCGACATGTATGGACTGGATGGACTGGATGGACTGGATGGACTGGATGGACTGGATGGACTGGATGGACTGGCCAATGGAGTACATCGACTAGGGAATATGGAAATGTATGGAGTGGAAACGAAGGAACAACACAAGCCCATCGACGCCCCAGGTTCACCGTAATCTGCCCAGCCAACAGCAACAGAAAGCAAGACAGAAGGCTACTCACGATTCTGCCGAGCGAAGCGCGGGTGGCCTGCGAATCGAAAAGCCGGCAAGATCAGCAGGGCGATGCAGTGGGCTCGGCACGGCGGTAATGGGTGTTCTTCGATCCCTCTCTGGGTACGCCAAGGCGCCAGGACTTACCTCGTACTGCTGCAGAAAGCGGGCATCCTGGATCAGAGCAGACAAAGGGAGTGCAGAAGATGTCAGAGTCGCAGGCAGAGATGTGGATGCCACCAGGACTGCAGCACGATGCAGCAGACCATTACCCTTTCGACTTCGTGGATGTAGCGGACTTCCTCGAGGCTGAGGAGACGACCAAGCAGGCCAGCGGCCGAGTCGTCGAGGGGCTTGCCCGCCTCAGGAGTGGACGAGTCAAACCAAGACATAAAACTGGGCATCCCAGAGAGAAGCGGAACCGGGCAGCGGCAGTTGGCCCCGGGGAGTGATGGGATAAGGGTGAAGAGGGAAGGAAGCGTCCGAGCGACGAGGAAGATATAGCGCTGCCGGCCCAGAAGGCACAGCCGAGGCGAGGGCGATTTCAGTCGGCGAGGCAAGCGGGTCGCTTCGCGGACCGCGATCCATGGTCGCGATCGACGGTGAAGCCGTGTTTGTTTGGGCTGGGAGGCGACACACGGGGACTAGAAGGCAAACGGAATCAAGGACGGCGGTGTCGTTGGTGAGACAGCATGAGGCAATCAGCAAGAAGGAACCGGAACTGGGGGGTGCTGATATTGATGCATTGCGGGAGATTGGACTGGTGAAAGTGGGGCCCACAGCCGAGACACCTGGACCTGGATGTGATGAACAAACGAAGGGAGAATCGAACGCGATGATGGACATGGACCGGTTGATGCAGAACGGACATGGCAATGAAGAGCGGATCTATTGGTGAAGAATCGATATGGGAGATGCAGGGGTGGGAACGAGATGCGTTTGGGAGGGCTGTTGCGGCTGGTGCCACTGTGCCAACGGCAAAACAATGCGGGTGATGTTTCACAGACAGCGGACAAAGGAGGCGCAGACAGCCGGCACGGGATCAGCAGGACAGAGCACTCGGCGGGCAGACAGGGGGCCTTGTGGGGGTGTGGCACAGGATCTGGATTAGGAAAGTGCACGCGCGCGTGGCTGGGCACACAGGCGCGCTTGTTGGATCGAGTGAGCCGGATCGAGTGTGTGCGGATCGAGTGAGCCAGATCGAGTGTGTGTGGATCCGGTTGCGCCACGTGGACGGCTTCGGACGTGCTGCGCAGCGGTCGTGACACGATTTGGATTTGAAATCCAAAGCGCTGAATGTGACGGATTCGCCATTCGATGTGTTTGGTGTGTTCGGTGTGTTCGGTGTGTTCGGTGTGTTCGGTGTGTTTGGTGTGTTCGGTGTGTTCGGTGTGGATATGCAACGGTTTACGATGTGCACTCGCTGTGGTTATGCAATAGTATCAGATGTGCACTCGCATTGGGAACGCAGCAGTCCAAGCGGCGCCGCGGGCTCGGATGACATATTTGCCCACCGACGACTGCTGGGCTCCAAAGGCATGAAGTGGGGCGTGGCTGGGCATGATGTGATCGGCATGGCGGCCTGCGTTGTGCGATATGTCATCCGAATGGCCCAGCCAGGGCGACGCCAGGCCGACGGTGCGGGAAAAAGGGAGACCGAGAGAAGCCGCGCGAAGGATCACGATGGGAGAGGGCGATGCGAGCGGGGGAGGATCAGGCCGCTGCCGAGATGGGCCGGGGAGCGCCAACGGCCGTCGATGCTGGCGATCATGGCGATGGCCTTGGCGGTGCTGGCGACGGCGCTGCGAGTGGATCCATCATCTTGCAGACCATCGACCATCGACCACCAGAACCATCGACCACCGGCGGCATCGGCTGCGAGACCCCACGGCCCCACCAGGACGCTCCTTGGCAGCGCAACGGCAAAGCCAATGCGAAACAGCCACGATCGACGCCATGGGAACGGGCCAGCGACGCCGACTGTGCATCCCATGTCGCTTGCGCATGTGCCTTGTCCGTGGCCAGGCTAATCGGCGAAACCTGTCCGCCGCGACTGTTTCCGATGTTGTTCGGGGGCTGTCGATTGCTGCTGTCGATTGCTGCTGTCGATTGCCGGTGTTCAATTGGATTGTCAAGTGGTGTTGTTGTTCAATGGCGAATTGGCGACGGCAATCGAATGCATCGCTGCAATTGCGCAACTGGAGGACCATCCGACGACCATCCGACGACCATCTTGACGACCATCTCGACGACCATCTTGACGACCATCTTGACGACCATCTTGACGACCGTCCAGGCCGTTCGCCATTCACACCGTCGCCCACGCCGATCCAACCAACCATCCGCCCATCCCGCCATCGCACCCACGACACCCGCCCGGCTGCCCCTCCCGCTCCCCGTGGCCCAGCAAGGTTGCTGATATTTCCGCTCTCGGCACCGCGGGCCAACCAGCGCCCGCCGCTTTGTTCCGCCGTTGTTCTCGATAACTCCTTCGCACTGGTCCTCTGCGCTTGGCATACTACGCTTGGCGTATAAATACGCCAGGGTGTCCTTCCTTCCCGTCGATCGATGCGCATTCTGGCAATTCTATTGCAACGCAGCCCTGCCCCGCCATCACACTCGGTCCCATCCAGTCTAATACCCACTATCGAGTCTAATTATTCCCCAGTCTAGCTAATCCCCCCACTATCCAGCCTGCCTTGCTCTCCACAACTATCCCCGTCCCATCATGCAAACCGCGACGCTTTTCCTCGACGATCCCCGGGTCCTCGCGACCACCAGCCTCGAGTGGCCGGTCGACTCGGACTGGACGCTCTTCAATGCCTCGCCAGTCTCCAGCGCTCCTCCGAGCCCACCCGGCCTGCTGATTCCGCCGCTCTCGGACAAGGATTCCGACCCCTTTGCTATCTCGCTCCCGCTGCCCCTCGGCACCCGTAAGTCTCTCTGCATGGCCACCCATACTCCGATCGCATGCACGCATATGCACGCATGCACGCATGTCACCCTTCCGCTCTTGGCTTGTAATTCGTTGCAACGGGATTGCAACGGGCTTGCTCCGGGCTTGCGATGCCTCCTCGTGGCTCCAAACGATCCCTCTCTGTCTCATGTGCTCCGCCCGCCTCATGTCTCCTCGCTCCGGCTAATTTTCCCATCCTTTCGCCCCTCCCTCGGCTTGGCCCTGCTGAATCCTCGAACCCACCTATGCCACCTCCCACCACCACCACCATCGACACCAATCCGCAAATGTCCTCGACGCCAATCCTGCCGCTGTGTTTCCTATCCCCAGCCATCACCCCGTTGGTGCCAAAGTACGTCGCTAACGGCAAGAAAAAGCCCGGGCGCAAGCCGACCCTCACCGAGCCCCAGAACAAACGCATCGCCCAGAACCGTGCCGCCCAGCGTGCCTTCCGCGAGCGCAAGGAACGATACGTCCAGGACCTGCTCTCCCGCATCCAGGAACTCGAGGCCGCCGTCAGCTATACCCAACAGATCGTCCAGCCCGAGCAGCTCACTCGCTTCTCGTCGCTCGTCCGTGAAAACGAAGCCCTCAAGGACCGCATCGAGTCGCTCGAACGCGAGAACTGCAGCCTGCGCAAGCTCCAGAACCTGACTCTGCCTTACGACTCGCCGCCCATGTCCTGGGACTCGTCGCTGAACTATTCGTGAAGATAGCTGCCGGCCAATCTGCCGCCTTGTGCGGGTCCAAACCCCCGCTTCTCTGTCCTCCCGATGCTGGCCACTGCTGCCGTCTCGTCCACGTCCTTTTACGAAGCCGCTTGTCACAACCCCCCCCCGCCTGCCAAGCCGGAGACGTCGTCGTTTCCCACACCGATTCCATTGTGTCCCCAATGCCGGTTTACCTGCCACGCGTTCAACCCTCTCCCGTAGCGCCCCCCCCCCCTGATTGCGGCTGCTCCATGAATGTGAACCATCGGGATGGGCTTACGAGATCTAGTGCTCCTCTCTCAAGGCAACCTCGTCTCCTGAGCATGTCGTTCTCGGTATCTGGACAAGCTCAGGGATGGGATCGAGCGACTCCACCTCGGTTGGTCGGCCCCGATCATCTGCCGACCATGTGTTGCTGCATGCCAAACCGAAGCCTCCCACCCACCCACGCTCCGCTGGTTCTTCTGATGTTCTCTTGCTTCTACGTCAATAGCGCATGTTTTCCCGTTATCAGTACTGCATTCCTCCTCTCTCACCTCCATCATTCCGCTATCATTTACGTTGATTGCACGGTAGTTTCAAGATCCTCTCCCGCCCACGATATGGACCGATGTTGATACTCCCATCTCCAACGCCATGATCTTTGCCAAATACACTGCTGGTCTTTTCCGCTTTCAGCCATCGAAACAGTTGTGTGCTGAGTGCCGCTGATGAGTACGCAATCCTCCAACTTCCGAAACCCCCTTGGGCTCACATGGTTGTTCATGGAGGGGGGTGAAGTCCATTTTCGATTGCGCTTCTGAGACCCTCGCTGGCAGAGGTGCGCAAGGGCACACGGCCAACGAAGTAGTCAATGGAACAGCGTGTTGCGGAGCGCATTAACACGCCAGTCGAAGCAAACCATCCATCACTGGGATCACCAAAGGAAGCAACGGACAGGAAAAGGAAACGGGAGACACGGCACATCTGGAAGAAAAGGTAGAGACGACAGATCCAAATAGAACAAGAGACACGAAACACGGGATATTATCAAGATTATGAGGCATTCAGAGTCTCCAATCCACATCGCCGTGGTGCATCGGGCCTCAGTTGCGGCCGGTGCGGGTGACCGCGCTGGTCTCGGGATACTTGATCTTGAAGGACGAAGACGGGTCCAGGGGATCGCCCAAGAAGCGAACGTGGTGCAGATAGTTGAGACACTTCTCGACAACCTCCTCCAGCGAGGGACAGGGAGTCGGGTAGATCGAGCGGGTGTTGGCGTTGTCGATCTTGAAGGACATGTCCATCATGATGTGCATGAGCGGGAACAGGGCGTTGCTCTCGACGGCGGGATGGGAGTGGAATGCCTCTTTGAACTGCTCGCGGGTCTCGAACAGGATCGGCCAGCCATGGTCCCTGACAATCTCAAACAGCCGGGTCTCGGAGAGGACACTGTGGTGAGTGAGTGAGTGAGTGAGTGAGTGAGTGAGTGAGTGAGTGAGTGAGTGAGTGAGTGAGTGAGTAATCAGAGTCAGGATCCACCATCCACACCATATCGCACACCATATCCACATCACACCATATCACACACTCCTCACCTGTGCTCCGAGTCGCTGATGTGGAACACAAACTTGGACAGGGACTCCTCCGAGCCGGCAATCTCGGCAACCACCTTGGCGACGTGGTCGACGGGATCCATGGTCATCGTAACGAGAGTGGCGTGCGAGGGAGCAACACCGAGCTGGATGCATCCCTTGACATATCGCCAGATGTAGTCATCAGAGTTGGACACTGGGGCGATGAAGGGTGTGAAAGTGTCAGTTGGTGTCAGTTGGTGGATGAGTGGCACTTGACAATCGAGACCATCGATTCATGGCCAGTCCATGTGAGCGAATGAGACAACTCCACCACACCACATCTCCATCACACCACATCACATTCGACTCACCTCCGTAATGGCTGTCGCCAGCAATGACGGCTGGGCGGATGATCGTCGCAGGCACTCCCCTCGATCGTGCCTTGTTGACCAGCTGCTCAGAGACCCACTTGGTCTGCGAATAGCCGCCAGAGATGTTCCAGGCCGAGTAGATCGTCTCCTCGAGCGGCTTGTCTGCCTTCTTGGCCATCGGGATCGTGCCGATGGTCGAGATGTAGTGCAGCGGCTTCAGGTGGTGGGTTGTGGCCAGTCTCAGGGCCGTCGTCGTGCCGAGGACGTTGGGTCCCCTGAGTCTGTCATAGTCAAACAGCCAGTGGACCTCGGCGCCGTTGTGGACAATCATGTCGGTCTCCTCGCTGATCTCCTTCCATCGCTCGTCCGAGAGTCCCCACTTGTCCTGGGACAGGTTGCCGCACAGTCCAACGAGTCGAGACTTGAGGCTGTGGTCGAGGAAGGCTCTCTGGCTCGGATCGAGGACCAGCTTCTGAGCCGTGCTGATGATGCGCTCGACAGCCACCTGCTCGGTCGGGGCTCGGTCCAGGCAGTAGATCTTGGCCCGAGGGAACTTTTGTGCCAGCTCAAAGACCAGGAAGGCACCGAGGAAGCCAGTGGCACCGGTCAGGACGATGCCGCGAGGGTCCTTGGGATAGACAAACGGAGGGAGACCCTCGGCCGTCACACTCGCATCGTCGAGCTTGGCGGCTTCGGCAGCCAGATGGACGGTCGGGGGAATCATCGGTTTGTCGTCGAGGATGTCGACAACCAGCTGGGCGACATCAGTCGGTGTCATTCCGTTCGACAGCAAGATCAGCGGCGAGATCTCGACATTGAACTCGTCTTTGATGGCGAGGGCCAGACGGCCGACACTCAGCGAGTCAAAGCCGACGCTGCCGATGTAGTAGTTGCGGCCGTCGAGGGCGGCAATGTCGATGATCTGGCTTCCAAGTGTGGATATCTTGGCGGCAGTGCGGGACAGGGGAGTGTTGGCGAGTTTCAAACGAGGGTACTCGACCGACTTGCCGAACTGATCGACATTCTCGGCGATGCGCCTGAGCTTCTTGAGGTCGCGCTTGCCCGAGTCGTTGAAGGGGAACTCGTCGAGCTCGAAGCAGTTGTGGATCGGGAACTTGGCGACGTTTGTCAGCGCAAACATGTCCTCGGTCAGCTGCAGAAGCTCGGCAGGAGTGGGGTTGACCTCAGAGCCGCTTCTGCGGACAAAGAGCATCATGATCTTCTTCTCGGAGGTCTGGATGAAGGCACAGTCCGAGATGATCTTGGACATGTTTTCGTTGGCCAGCTCCTCGAGGGCGTTGAGGTCGACATAGACGCCGTTGACCTTGATCTTCTGGTCGAATCTGGAGTGATGGTGTGGAGTGAGGGAGTGGATGGCGTGAGTACTCGGGATACGTGAGTTGGATGTGTCCTCAGGATGCCAGATATGCATTCGCCATCAACGAGAGATGCAACACTCAGCCATTGACTCACCTTCCGACGACAGTGAACTGGTTCTCGCCAACCATCTCGACCCAGTCCATGGTGCAGATTCGAGGTGAGCCATCTTCGAGGAAGCCGAACGAAGCGAGTTTGTTGCCGGGATCGGCGTTGACAAAGTTGGGATGGTCCTTGATGGGGTCATCCTTGTCGACAGCCAGAACGAGCACACCACTCTTGGAGACACTTTGGTCGACAATGTTGCCCTCCTCGTCAAAGAGGAGACAGCGCACTTTGGGGTTGATGAGCTTGTAGACCAGCTTGTCTGTTTCGATGTCCTCCTTGGCACGAAGGCGTGTTACCGAGAGAGCACCCATCAGGAGCGACTGGAGTTGGAAGCAAGATGAGAAGGTGGATGTGCGCAACTTGCTCCTGCTCAATACGATATGTTGCTGGTGGGCCTACCTCACTTGATCCGTATACCGACACCATATCAGCATTTGGAAAGACCTGCCGAGTGATCTGGATGATGCTCGAAGGCACCAACTCGGAGCCCAAGCCAATCATTCTGGTTTTCTCCCACTTGACATCGGGATTCTGCGACTGGGCCACACTGATGATCACCTTCATGTAAGAAGGGGTCTGACGGCAGAGTTCAACAGGGCAGCATCGTGCGTTAGTATCCATATCGCGAACGACTCCTCCGGGACAGACTCGACAGCTCACCAGGTAAAGGTACGATACGCCATCGTCCAGCATTCTGATCATGCTCTTGACTTTGTCGACGGTGTTGGGCGTGGGCTCAGGCATCCAAACCGATCCCTTGAGATTCGTTGCACACAGCAGGCTATTGATAGTGGCAACAAACGACGGCAGCTGCCCACCAGGGTCGATTAGCGAGGGCGATGCTGTGCTCCAACAATCACTAGTCTGCCATGCTCCGCAACCTTACCTGACAAATCGCACCGCTACAATATGGAATAGCGACCGAGCTTCGATGGCTAACGGCACCCTTGTGCGAATAGGGATACCTGGAACGGTGGTGAGCATTGACATGAAGGGGTGATGATGAGCGGGCTGTAGGTCACGTATGATTCAATCGCAACAATCTTGAGATACTCACGATTTTGGGGTGCCTGAGGACTATTCCATATCGAATCAGGGCCATCAATTGTTCGGAGTGATCAACACAACTCTCTTCATTTCCAACCTTCACTCCTCAGTCAAGTGTGTCGCTGCTTCATCCGACTCATGAACAAGCTTGCTTACCTGTTGTCCCGGAAGTGCACTGAAGGGTCACAAACTCATCGAGAGGCTCACAGACTTCGAGGGACGGAGATGGAATGTCGTCCAGCGGCGGGAAGGCGGCGGCATCGACCAGCGTCACACCCTCGGTACGGCCGGGCTTGGTGTGGTGGTAGAGAATGTACTTGATTGCATGTCTGTCGGTTGGTGATGTGAGTGTCAGATCGGGATCGTGCATAGCTGGCTCGATTCAACCCCCGGACCAGCCTGCTCATCCTCACGACAACATGGCAGGGACATACCTCTCGCACAGGGCCCTGCGGGCTGCAGGAGGCAGGTTGAGGGCAAAGTTGAGTGTTTTCCTGGATGGAGTTCAAAGGACAGGTGAGACTCGACCCTTGACATGGCACGGAACAAGGGTTGAACATGTCCCTTGCTTGAATCAATATTCACGACTCCACATCACAGCATCTCACTATCCCAGCCGATACTCACTTGCCCAGCATCCACACGGCGAACGAGTAGATCGCCCAGCTGGATTCGGCCTCACAGAAGGTGCCGATGACGTCGTGGCCGTCGTCGTTCCAGCCAGGGAGAGCCTTGAGGGCCTGGGCGATGGAATAGGCTTGCTTCCACACCTGGAGATAGCTGAGTAGCTCCGAGGCACCGTTCTCGTAAGTGTTGATCAGGAGGGAATCAGGCTCGTCGCGGGCAGTGTTGACGAGACACTCGACGGGATGGAGCCAGGGACCCAAGGGATCGGGTTGGGAAGGGAGCTTTGGCTGTTGGGAGACAGGGGTCTGCGAGGGGACATCTCGGTCCTTGGGTGGGGTTGCGAGTCCTCCGAAACAGCAGGAGAAGGCTCTGAGCATGGCAGAGAGATGGGATGAGGAGAGACAGGAGGCAGCAATCGACGATGTGCAGACGAGGCCAGGAGAGCGGCGACAAAAGGAGAGAGCGACGAGGGGGGGAAACGGAGAGGCTGGATGCTTTCCCCTGTCAGGTGGCGAGCCAGGGGATGGTACCTTGAAAGGCACCCAATTCAGCTCGATACTGCGCAATTCAATAGAATGGATTACAATTCAATCGACGGCAGTTCAATCGATTGCAACAATACATGCATTTGGCTGGACAGAATGATGTCAGTCCACTTCCAAGGCAACCGGGGCAACCGGGGCAACCAGGGCAACAGGGCACCACAGCCACTCATGCATCCATATCTGCCCAAGACCCCGACCATCACCCTGGCTTCTCGGCTGACACCCGCAGTTCAAAATCCATGGGATGAGAGAGTCCGAGTTGCTGGCATATTCTTCTTTGGCCCGTTTGTCCTCCCCTGGTTCCGAGCTTGTTGTGACGCGAAACGAATGAACGAATGAACGAATGGACGAATGGACAAATGGACGAGTGAACGAACGAGCAACAACAGCCGGGGCAAGGGGCGGCGGACACATTTCCCGATCCTCCCCGCTTCGCCCAGATCTGCATCCGCAATCCACACACCTGCTGCATATCACACACATGTCCTCCTCTGAAACCCTCCAGTGCCTGGCTAGGTGCGCTGGGGTATCACCGGGGCTCGACTTGGCCGTTTCTGGTGTGATCGCCGTCTTGGCCCTGGCTTCGCTCCTTGCAATTCCTGCGCTGATGCTCCTCGGCCGGAACAAGCAGAGATTGCCAAAGACCCCTCGATCGCCATCCCAGCTGTCCACGTCGTCGGGTCTGCGGCCATCACCACCAACACCATCTGAGGCGGCGGCAGAGACGGAGCCCCTATCGCCGTTCGATACCAAGGAGAACTTCAAGATGGTAAGGGGCCTGCGTTGCGCCAAGCACAGCAACCACATCATGCGATAACAACGAGGTTTCAGGCTCGGTTTCTTTGACTCAAAGCTCTGCTCCTCGATGACCCTCTACACTCGTCTGGAGTCGCACTGCCAACGGAAATGACGAGCTTCGTTGTCGGTGCAAAGGGGCATTCTTTGATCTGGCGGCAAATCGATTTCGGTTCGGGGGATGATCGGCTCTGTCGATTCCATCGACAGCCGTCCAATGGCAACCTCAAGACGGGTGGCCCGGAGAACGGCTCTTCCGGACTGGAGTGTGTGCTCCGTCGTCCTCCTGCTGCATGAGGGTCCCGAACAGAAACTCGCCGTGCATTCCACTCATTCATTGCTCCCATTCACCGATCGCCATCTGCTGTACGGCCCGAAATAGACCTTGGTGATCCGAACCGATATCGACATGACCAAGGGCAAGATTGCTGCCCAGTGCTGTCACTCAACCCTGGCCAACTACAAGTCTGCCCTGCGGTCTGATCCGAAGGTTGACCCCGTGGTTCGCTTGGCTTGCCATGCAAGCTCTCTGAACGATCTACGATTTGAACCTTGATCCTGATCTTGATCTTGATCTTGATCTTGACCTCGATCTTGATCTTGACCTCGATCTTGCTCCTTACCGTCCCAACGACCCTTTCGGCTGTCTCTCTATATCACTACAGTCGTTGAGAGCCTGGGAAGAACGTGGCCAGGCCAAAGTCACGCTCAAGTGCAATTCCGAGTCCGAGATGTGAGTTGCCTGGCCGTATCATGCTCGGCGCTGTCTGCAGCCGCCAGTACGACGACAAGCCATTTGAATCGCCGATGTGGTCGAGCTACATCTCACTGCGGCAGCGGAAGGAAAGGGATTTGGGGGCATGGGGCTGCATACTTGGTCAACTCACATCACCCGCCCGACTGACACTTTGGGCTTTGCCAGGATCGAGCTCCAAAGGCATGCCAGGGCCCTGAAACTCGTCGCCAACATCACTCGGGACGCTGGCAAGACCCAAATTGCGGCTGGCACGCAGACCGTGCTTGCCATTGGACCTGGTCAGTACACCGAGAGCGAGAGTGAGAGCATGGGATGGAACACATCCATGGAACCCCAAGAGATCCAAGTGGATGCAAAGAGCCGAAGCATGGATTCAGCGGACCGCCATATGGGCAAGGAGTCGCTGTGGATACCGAGATGCTCCTAAACCTCATGTTTGATGCATCCCCGTCGAAATCGTCTATCGCACAGGCCCGGCAAGCGTTGTAGACAAAGTAACGGGCCATCTGAAGCTCTATTAGTCACGATCGGACGCACCGAGGCGGCCCAAGTGGGCTCAGCACCCTTACGGCGGACATGCATGAGAAAGCCCGTGTGCACCACGACAACATTCAGTTGATTCTCCTCCTTCTCCCACTCTTTCTACTTCGCAACGATGAACACGAACGGAGATGCGTTCACAAACGAGAGACGCACAGAGTCCATCATGCGCTCGACCGATTATAGATCGATCGCAGAGATATGGGGTATGGTGCTGGCTCGATGGGACGGACACACAGGGAAGTGACTCCATCCGCTCGCTCGTTCTCGGCGCTTGTCCGTGGATCCAAAGCCGGGACGAGTCGGATCGATCCGCCCTCCAGCCAGCCGCGCTGCCGGCCACGCACTGGCTGCCCTCCGATCGCCACAGCAGAAAAAACCCTCACTTTGTCTGCTTGCGCCCTGGCCATCCAGATCCTCGACAGCCCAAAACGCTTGCATCCCCTTTCGCTTTCGTCCTCAGCGATCCCGTGCGGCCCACCGACATCCAAGCACTCGCACTCACGACCGACCGATCGACCCACAAAGAGGCATCGCCCACACCACCTCCCAACCTACCCCCCCCTCCCCGACTGGATTATGACCGTGCCCCACCCGATGACTTCGGCAAAGTATTTTCGACAGGCCCTGGACGAGCTCAACAACAACAACCTGAAGCAGCTCAAGACGATCCACAAGCATGCCCTCGACCCGATCGTCCTGGCCCACTTTTGTGAGCGGATGGAGGATCTCTTCTACAAGGAGGCTTTGGGACTGCCGGATTACACTCGTCTTGGTAAGCAGCAAAGGTCTCTGCAGATATGGTCCTTCCCTCCCCCCGAACGCATGCGACTGTGGATGGGACTGTGCATGTGGGCGGGATTCAGGGAATCAGAGTCAAAGCAGGGGTGGGAGACTGGGCTGGGAAGATTCCAGAGAGCGAGATCGGAAGCGACACACAATCGGGTGTGCTTGGAGGCAGTTTGGGGTGGGAGATCTATCAGGAAGCATCCGAGAAGGACGATGGAGCCAGCGGACACAGATCGGGATGGGGTCGGTTGCCATGCGTCTCCTCTTTGATCGGCGATTGGGATCCAGAGCCACAATGCCGGCGACTGACTGCCGGACCAGCGAGGTTGCGACAGTGCTCGAGCATGTTCCAGAGCGACGATTGCCACGATCGGATCATAGCTTCCGATTGGATTACTGACCGCCCACCTGCTCTGATCTGTTTTGATGGAAACAATGGCTGCCCCAACTCATTCGCTGAACACATCGGTACCCTCGGCCATGTCCGTGATCATGCCCACCACTGCAATGCGTCGGAAATGCACCAACGACGGCCTGCCTCATCGATCCAACCCTCCCTCCCCCATCATGGAACGACACCCATCTCACTCTCCCGATCAATGCGCTCGACTTGATGGATCGCACCAGCCTACTTTAACGACATGTCGGTCGGAGGCATCGTCTGCCGGAAGCGGCCGTCAAGCCAGGACGGCAAACTGGAGATCCAGATCCTGACCTTGGCGGTCCTGGAGGCGTACCGCAACCTTGGGCTCGGTGAGTTGCCGCATTGGATAGCCGAACTGGTCGTACTGGTCGCATTGGTCGCATTGGCCTGGCCGTAGTGGCCGAGGAGAGGGACACCCCCCCCTCTGTTTTGGTCGATCCAGGGCCAGTCGCTCGATTCCTGGGCCCTGTGCTATTGGTTTCATGAACGGGTGGTGGTATCGTCGCAATCGTGACCTCTGCTTCGATAGCCAGAGCCATGACTTTGTGATTATGCTCGTCACGATTCCATTTGCCACCATGGAGCATGATCGATGCGTCGTGAGTCAGTACCAAACCCGACCGAACCAACTTCGGCATTCTAACCTTGTCCTCTTCTCATGTGTGCACCCTCGCCAGGCACTAAGCTCGTCCAGAATGCCATCGATCAGGCCACCGCCGACTCGGCCATCGCCCAGATCACCGTCTACATCCCCGTCGAGAGCCGAGCCCTGAGCCTGTTCGAGCGGCTGGGATTCGCCAAGAGCGACCAGCCCGTATCGGGATACTTTGGAAGCCACGAGGCCTGGCTGTTGGTCAAGCAGGTCTAAAGCCCACCGTCTCCACCCTCCATTCCCATCCTCTCTCTCGTCCATTCTCAAGCCCGCTGTGTCTGTCTCGCCTTTCTCCCGACCCGCCGCCGCGAGTCAGAGTCTATCGAGGCCACGGCGAGACCAACGACGAAGATAAATGAAAAACCAACGAAAGACTGGAAATAGAAGCTGGTACCCACAGTGCAACAGATCCGGTCTGGGGTGTGTGTTGGGAAACCGAGATACCAGCGGTGTCGGCGCCGGCGCCGGTGGCTGTGGATGGGGACAGATGACATGCCACTGAGTCGAGAGCAGCCGGGCGGGGCGATGGAGATGGAGATGGAGATGGATGCAGATGCAGATCCAGATGCAGATGGGAGTGAATGGGCCTGTCTCCCTCCCACATTGCCCCGGCCTGTACCTCCAGCTCGGGTGGTGGGATGTCCGCGACGACCCAACTCCACTGGATTTCCCGCGCTTGAAACCCGCACCGACCGGGCTCCTGTTTGGGGCCCTGGCGGGCGCCTTTGTTGTCGGGACCGGGAAGGACAGAGAAGAACCGGTAAGCATTGTGGGAACAGTGGACTGCAGGTGGGAGGGACAAACCACCGCCAGGGACCAGAGTGTCCAGAGGGAGAGAGCCAAGAAGCGAGGAGCAGCCAGCGCCATTGCCCTTTCCGACCGCCACGGGACCGACCCAAAGGGTGCAAGAGGGTTGTGCGGGGAGAAGAGCAAGGGAGGACGGATTGCAAGAAAGCGGGGCAGGATCAGATGATGGCTGTGGCTGGGAGTAATCCCGCGCTTGAGAGGAGGGCGGGAAGGACGGGATGGCGGCGAGTGGAAGCGGCGGAGGATGTGGAGAGGGCGGTCTGATGGCGGGCGATGGAGGCAAAGTGGTCGCTGGTCAAGTTGTCGGGATGAGAGACGATGGACTCGCAGTGAGTGCAAATGCAGTCGTTCTGAGTGCGAGCGAGCGGAATGCATCAGAGTGCATGCAAGAGGGACGGGATGGTGGATCGACGGGCGGGAGCGGGATGAGCGGCCGGAGGGGCGATGCTGCTGGGCGGGGTCGGCGTGGATATCGAGAGTGATATATGTTTGCATATCGAGAGTGATATGCATTCGCGTATGGCCATAATGCAATTCGCATATCGAGAGTGATATATATTCGCGACGGCATTCACACGTGAGCTGCCGTGGGTGGGTTTGGAGCTGCTGCGTTGGTCCATGCCGGACAACAATGTGGAGGCGAGGCCCTGGAACATCGCCGGTGCCTCGTCTCTGGACGAACGGCAATCCCTGCACAGAAGCGATGCGTCCGGCGAGCATGTTTACATGTCCGCACATGTATCGAGCCGTGCAAACCCATGCCGCGACGCAGGAGAGCATCGACGCAGCGACAGAGTTGAATATCGATTCATGGACGCAGCGGCGATTCCAGCGGAGACATTGACGCGAGCCATTCCTCCCTCCCCCTTGCTTGTCCGCGCAGACAGGATATGGCACCGACAGCGGCCGCCCTCCCGCCACAGCAAGTCCGGCGGGGCGGATGGGTGCTGCGACTGCCGATGTGCATCAGCTGCACGGGCGAAAGGGCATCGATCGCATGGTAAATATCCACATACCGACCAAGATGGTGGCAGCCATAGTCAACCGTCTATCGCAGTTGGCCACACACCACCATGGCGACCCCACCGGGCAGACCCGTCGCAGGGAGACGGTCTGTGTTGGGGGGGGGTGCCGCTGCGTCTGAACCCCTTTCAGACAACTGTTTGTCCGTCTGACCCGGCCGCCCATCCGACGTCTGTGGCCATCTGTTGACACTGCTCGCCTGGCTGCTGTTCGTCTGGCTGTTGGTCGTCTGGCTGTTGTTCGTCTGGTTGTTGGTCGTCTGGTTGGATGAAACAATCCCAATGAATACACCTCTCGCTCCTTCTCGCTCCTTCTCGTCCCCTCTCGTCCCCTCTCGTCCTCTCCCGCTCCCTTCTCGCTGTCATTTGAGCGTTTCCGTCCCGGCTTGTTCTTTTCGGCGTTGTCGTCTTTTCCATGTTGCCAATGGGCATCATGCAACCCCAACAACCTCCAACAACCCAACAACCTCCAACAACCTAACAACTCCAACAACCCAACAACCCAACTCCAACAACTCCAACTCCCAGCACCCCACACGGCCGGGCGTCCTCGCTGCCCACCGCCGACAGCGACCGCCCTCGCCTTGCTTCCGTCCTGGATCCCCTGCGGCCTTGGTTTTGGCGCCACGATCGTCCCGGCCATGATATAAGCGCCGTTCTCCGCCAGACTCCGATGCCATTCGTCCTGCGGGCTTCGTCTTGACGCTTTCTCAGCCGCGGCTTTTGTCGCATGTGTTTCTGCACTCTCCCTTCGGTTTAGTCTGTTTGTAGTTCCGCTTCTCTATCGATTCGCTGCTGTTTAATCCTTATCGTTTCGTTGTCGTCCTATCCTCAGCTCCTTATCGTTTCGTTGCTGTTCTATCCCTCAATCCGTATCGTCCCGCTGTTTCGCTCCTGCCCCCTCTGGTGCATCCTCCGTCGTTGCTTTCTTCCATCCCGCCCTCGATTCTGCCACATCCCATCTGTTCATTCAAGTGAGCCCCCCCCCCAAGCCTCGAGACCCATCTGCCTCCCTCCACATCTCCCTCCATCTCCCTCCCACCCCGCTGTTGTTCGGCGGTACTGTGCACATACCGCCCATCTCGCTCTCTTCCTCCTTCCTGGCCTCGTCCCGCTGTTCAGGCGACATTGCTGTTCCAAGGGCTTTCTGTATCGGCGTTTGCGCTTTAAAAACCCTCCCGCTCCCACTTACTTCCCTGAGGAGCATGCACTCGCTCCCCACCGGCCTTCCGTATCTACTTGGTTGAATCGTCTTGCCTCCGTCTCAGGCACCGACCTTTAGCCTCTCTCCTCCACCTATCCACAGCCCGCTGCCTGTCCTTGCACCACTCGGCTCGGCTCGCCTCTCCCAGACCTCACTCCCAGAACTCACTTCCAGAACTCACTCTCTCCGTCCACTCTTCAAACTCTTGCCACTTCCGCTCTGAACCGCCGGCCCTGGAATACCGCTTGTGCTTGCTGTATTACCCCGTTTCCTTGCATTGGCCCCGCCTGCTCTTCTGTCGCTGTCCCTTGCCGTGCCGTTCCGAGTATTTTGATCCCTTTGCCCTCCTGCCGCCTGGCCTTGCATCCGCCTTCTTCCTCTTGCCGTCTCTTGGTCTCTCTCAAGCACCGGCCCTGAGTACTGGTTTCCTGCTCTTGTTCTTCGAACCCATCAGCGTGCTCGCTGCCCTATCTCCGAGCTCTTGTCTCCATAGCCTTGCTTTGGTTCCGTCCAACTGCCATCCTGCCGCGACTACTCGGTCCTCACCGCATCCTGCACCTCCCCCGACGATACATCTCCCTGCCATCTGCACTTGAGCCCTCTCCATGATGCTTGCCGACTCACGCCCTGCCAGCGACCTGTCGAGTCTGCTGACACCGCCCTCGACGACGCCGCCCTCGCCCATCCCATGCCACCGACCGGCCCTCATCGCCGAGCCACCGAGCCCGCCCTCGAGCTGTCCTGACGATGCTGTAGAGACTCTCTCCGATGGCTCTGTCGGCTGCAGATCCAAACGGCGGGCCTTGGACATGGGCATGGGCATGGGCATGAACATGGACATGGACACGGACGAGCCCAAGAGCCCTCTGGACCAGGACAGTCTCTCCCATACGGCACAAGAGTATTCGTTCCCACCCAGCACCCTGAGCAGCACCAGCAGCACCAGCAGCACCACCAGCACCACCAGCACCACCAGCACCACCAGCACCACCAGCACCACCAGCACCAGCACCCTCTTCCGGAGCACCCCCAAGGCGGGCCCAAAGCGGCCCAAGAACCGCTCCTTCCCCAAGAAGCAGAACCGCCAGTGCGACTACTGCTCCGTCACAACCACTCCGATGTGGCGGCATGGCCCCATCCACTACCCGACCCTCTGCAACTCGTGCGGTGTCAAGTGGAAGCGTGGCAAGATCCTGCAGCATCTGCCTCCCGTCAAGCACTTTCACATCATGGGCGAGTCCGACAACCCCGAGTTGATCCTGAAAAAGTACCCAAGGGACCCGCCGGCGCTGTCGCAAACCTCGATGGCTTATGCCGGCCGTCCGCTGTCCCCTCCGCCGTCGCCGCCGTTCGTGAACGTTGTGTGCTCGGGCGTCCTCCCGACCACCTCGCAAGTCGGCGAGCTGTCTGCTCTGCTCTCGGCGCTACCGCCGCAGAAGCTCAGCGTCGTCGTCAACTTTATCCTCAGCCACTTGGTTTCCCACGACTCGAAGCGCGGTTTTGACCGTGGTGCCGAGATTGACTTTGATCTCAACCAGCTGGACGTGCAGCTCTTTGAGCAGCTCTTCCAGGTGGCCTCGGATTTGAGGGTCAATTAGTGCGGGCCCTGTCCAGTTGCGCTCTGCCATCGCCGAGACTGACTGGGACTGGGAGTGCATCTTGTTGCTTTCAATCCCATCTTCTCCCATCGGCGACTCGATTCGGCGCCTTGCTCGGCAACTTTCCCGCAAACTATTTATCGCCTGCCTACTCCTCCTCCTCCTCCTCCCTCCTCCTCCTCCATCCCGACTGCACATTCTCTTCTCCTTCCCGTGCACGATCCTGCTCCGTTCGCTTTCTTTGAAATCAATTCGACCTTTGTTTGCTCTTCAGCTCTCTCTACGGCGACCGAGGCGCCACTGTTGTAACTTTCGACCTCCACCGTTTCAATCGTTTATCGAATCGCTTCAGCTTCGCTTTGCACCATCTCTCTCCGTCCCCGAACGTGTTTACCTTGGTTCAGCTCTACACCTCCATCCCGCTGCATTGCCCATGTAGCCTCTCTTCATGTATGTATTTGTTTTGCCATATGGCCCATCATTCCCCACCATATTCCACCATTCTCTCTCCTCCCCCTCATGTCGATTCGCACTTGCCCTGGTGGCTCCGGCCTTTTCCTCCCTGCACATCCCTCCACTTTACTTCACTCCATTCCGTTCCATTCCACTCTATTCCACCGACCTACCAGCCGCCATCAATTGACAATGCTATATTTTATAACTCGCTTCCCCCCCCTTTTTTTTGCTCCGGTTCGTAATATGGGATCGCTTTGGAGATGAAAGCGGCAACCGGGACCACAACTCCCCCCCCCTTCGAAGAAACAGAACGAGCGATATTGGCAATCGGAAAGAAATATACACAAACATATACCAATTCAGTCGACTTGAGCCAAGTGAGGCGATGATAAAGGAAGGGAGGGGGAGGGTGAGGGGGATCCTGGTGTGTGGATATCAAATATCAATATGATCATGAGCAAGCCTGACGTCAAGAGGACGCCATCCCTCAAGACATCAGAGCCTGCCGCTCGAAGCTCAATCGATTCAAAAATGGGTCTACTACCGGTCCCTTCTTGGTGGAGAGTGTCGAGTTTTCAGGACATCCCTCGTTTTGGTGGAAGAATTTTCTCATCCACAAACACCTGTGAGCCCCGGCCATGACCATTCGCGGCACACTCGATTTCCGTATCGCCAGGTTACAATGCTATAGCCTCATCCAGAGTCTGCGCAAGGACGCCGCCATCTTCAGTGTGTCCACGAGCACCATCCGCCGCTGGCACCCAGATACCAGTGCCGCGACCTGGATCAATCACAGTATTCCCACAGCGAAATGGGAGGGAAGCCATTTCCATCCCCGCACTTTTCACCCGCCTGCGTCCGTCGCTCTTCTCTTTTCTTTCGTTCCTGGACTCTTGTGATCTCCCCGCACAAGGTCAGATTCCCATCGCGGCAATGCCCAAGAAGAAGACCGTCCCTGCCGACGACGGCCCTCCCGGTCGTGACGGCGGTGGCCCCGAACGCTCGCTTCGCAGATCGGCGCGGGCCGTTCGGAAAGCCAGCGAGCCCACTTCGACGGCCACCAAGCTCGTAGCCATCAAGCTCGAAGCCAAGAGCAGCGCCAAACGATCTGTGCGTCAAGCAGTCGGTTCTACAGCTCCCAGTTCGAGCACTCCTGTGAGCAGGTCGTCTGTCCAGTCCAAGTCCAAGTCCAAGTCCAAGGCCGAGTCCAAGTCCAAGGCCGAGACTGAGACTGAGGCTGAGATCGAGACTGAGGTCTGCACCAAGGAAGAGTGCGCAGAGCCGGCCCAGACGGACCCATCCCCGCTTGTCGACAGCAAGTCTGCGGCTGTACCGATCTCGCCGCCGCCCAGCCCGCTGCGGTTCGAGATCGAGCGCTGCAAAAGTTGATCCGTGTACAAGACTGCTGCAGACCGAATCACCAAGGTGAGCCTCGACTCGCTCGACTCTTTTGACTCGCTCGAGGATATGCCATGCAGCGTTGATGTGGCAAATCATGACTGGCGTCTGCACTTCATCGGTGGTCCTGAGCAGCCACCGCAACGACCAGCCAATTGAATCGACCGATTGATCCGCTGCGGCTGTGGGCTTTCCAACACAGGCGATCTTGGGTGTTTGTCCTGGGGCAGTCGTCGAGGTCAACGTCAGAAAGCCTCGATCCAAAAGCTTTGAAGTCACGATGATCCGAGATGGAAACGGTATGGGATGCGCTATTCCGCTAGGGTCTATGGCTGGCATGCTGCTTCAGGCCCCTGCTTGCCGTTGGTGTGTTCGGGATCGCCTCTTTAATCGATCTCATTCTCTTGCGTCTTGCTCGGGCCCGCATCACACTACAGAAACACTTCTCTGGTCGGGTAAGCCCCTTCGTTGGCAGTGAGTCGAGGGAGAACACCGGCATGTTGGCAGCCGGCATAGCGACTGCAGCCCCCCCCCCGACCCATCCGGCGCGAAACCCACTGATGTACTTCTTTCATGAATCATACATATCAAAGGAGTCAAGCTGGGCCCGCCTCGCAAACTCAAGTTCCCGTCGGATGAAGATTTTCTCTCCATCTTGAAGCCTCATCTGACTGCCTAGCAACTGACGGGCCCACACCTTTTTTTTTTCATTTCATTTCATCGTCCAATTCCCAAGCGAAACGCATGCTGCGAGATGACGGTACTCAGCGGAAAATATCTCTCGGATCGGATGACTGCCTCTCCTTGCACCATCTTGTTGCACGGAAGGCCATCACCCACGATCCCCCTCTGTGTGCTTGAAAATTTTTTTGTGGCGAGGGGAGATTGGAGGCACCGGAATCGACTTGGATGTCGTGGAAGGAGCAAAGTATCCAGAGCTGGGCGTAGTTGATTCATCCTGGCAGTGGCCGGAAAGTGCGGCAGCCAGCAGAAGCCGTGGCAAGTCCGCTGTGACATGTTCCCGATGCTCGCTCCCTGGCTGTTTCATGAGTCACTCGAAAGGCCCTCTGTTCAGCTGCTCTGCTCTTGGATTGCTTTTTGTTTCCCCTTGCGTCCAAACGAACCACCTGCCGCCTACACTTCCCTGCCATGGCATTCTTTGCTTCGGGCGTTGTGACTCCGTTTGCTGTTATTGTTGTGACTATATTTATGCTCCTAGACAGCTCCCTTCTCAAATTGCGAGTGTGCACAAGCGGTTGGCTCGCTTCATGAGTCAGTCTCTGATAGACGCTGGGCCGGAGGAAGAGGAAACAGGCAACCGCAACTGCAGCAGCAAAGTGCGGATGTGCGTATGAGGGCAGCAGCCCGCTGGGCTGGATATCGTCGCTGATTCGAGATGGGGGTTGGTTCAAAGCTCGGAGCCATCGTGGGTCTGGTGCACAGGCGGCTGCGACTTGGCACCGGCTTCGGTCTCGGACTCGGTTTCGGGCTCGGTGGCAGCGGTGGAACGGGTTTCGGCAGATGGAACGCTGGCGACACCAGGCCCGTCTGTGACGGCAGGCTCATGGCTTACACCCTCGGGAGCAGCTTCACTGGTCTCGGCAGCAGTCTCAGGAACAGCCTCGGGGGCGATCTCGGCGGCGACGGCATCACTCTCGTCAGCATCAACAGCAGTAGCATCAGCAGCAGCAGTTTCATCGCCCTGCTCAGCCTGGACCTTCTTCCCCTTCTTCTTGTTCTTGTTCTTGCTCTTGTTTTTCTTCTTCTGCTCGCGGTTGAGTTGGCGCGCCTTCTCCAGGAGCTCATCCTCCTCGGCCTTCTTCTTGGCCCACTTCTCAGTCTCGACGCGAGCGGCCTCGGAAAAGGACCGGATGATCTTGCGGATGCGCTTGTCGCCAAAGCCGATGTTGCCCAGGCGCATCGAGTTGGTCACGAACGAGAACGACAGCCGCAGCTCCGGGTTCCAGAAGACGCATGTGCCCGTCAAGTCAAAGTTGCCGTACCATCGCTCGCCTTCAACCACCCACTTCTTGGTCACGGCAAAGCCGCCGGCGACGTAGCCGAGCTGGCGACCGGGCAGCTGGAGCACGGCGTCGTTTTGGATCTCCTGGAGCTCAATCAACTTCGAGAAGGTCTCGGCGCTGATAAACTTGATAACACCGATCGTGCCGTTGTTGGCCATGACGGCGCCAAAGATCGACAGCTGCGGGGATGGGTTGATAGATCGGTATCGGTCAGTATCAGTGGTCTGCAAGCCTCTCGGAGCGATCCTCAGGCCGACACAAGACGATGCTGACCACAGACAGCAACAGCAACAGCAACAGCGACGCAGGACACCGCCTATGCGGTAACGCCAAACACACCACAGCGCTCTGCACACAATGACATACCGTGCGAGCCTCGGCAAACCCGCTCACGTGGCTGTTCCAGTTGACACTGCCTTGGTTCCAAACAGCCGGGAGCGACCGGTCGGCATCGGCCTTGGTGGGCAAGCTTTCGACGAGGGCCTTGTAGGCGACCGAGGAAGTGTTTTTGCGGATGCTGCCGACGGCGCGGGACATAGGTTCGTCCAGGACAAAGTCACCAATGACCCGCGGGAAGAACGAGGCCACGGTGGCACGGTCGGCAGGATAGCCATGCAGGGTGGCGATCTTGGTGTCCTTGACGGAACCAGTGGGATCGGTGCCGTATTGGAAGTGGGAGCGCAAGAGGGGATTGATTTCCTCGTCCATGATCTGGCGCAGATCGTAGTTCTTGGGATGAACTCGCTTGACGATTTCGTTGAGGTAGTAGTCGCGAGTGACCTGATGCGCGAGGACACCAATGTTTGATAAGAACATGGCAATGCGGGCGAAAGCAGGGTCGATGTGTCCACAAAAGACAACGAGGCGCTCCGGGGTGCACTCAAACACATTCGGTTCTCGATATCGAGGAGTGTCCCTCTTCCCCTTTCGCTCAAGTTGGAGCGCAACAGGTGCACGAAGGATGACCTACTCCATGGAAGGCCACCACCGGCTCGCCGTCAAAGTTGTGGGGCTGTCCCGCGATCCGGGCGGCCACAGTGTCGGAATCGAGCAGGTTGTCTTCGTAGTTGAGAGCGTGCTCGCGATCCCAGAAGGCGACGCCTGCACGGTGGCTCATCAAATCCTTCAGCAGAACATGTTCCTTGTTGCCGCGAGCAAACTCGGGCCAGTAGGCCGAGATTCGCTCGTCAAAGTCCAGGAGGCCCTGGTCAACCAAGCGGGCGACGATGAGGTTGGTAGCGATGTGGCTGGTGCTCTGGAGCGGAGCCAGGGTGGAGTTGGTGAAGACGTCTTTGTACGATCGGTTCTGGTGGCCGCTCCAGACGTGAATGACCATGGTTGCGCCGACTGCGATGGGAAGTCAATGCAGGCGTGGGGGCGAGAAGCCAGCCAAGGAGTTGTGTTTTATCGAAGTGCAATCGCAAAGAGTGGCGATACATGTCCATGCAACAATTCAAGGAGTGAAGTGAGACCGAGGATCGACAGGTTAGTCTCCGATCGGGCCATCAGACAGAACCAGCATCTCAGGCTGAACTCCATGCCATTGCAGACAGTATCATAACTAGACGATGACATGGCTGTCCGGTGCATGATATGCGATGGGACCAGATCGCTGCTTCCCCTGCTCCCATGGGTGCGGTACCTACCAAAGGCGGCAAAGCTGGCACCCAGCTCTTCTCCGCTCTTGAAGGTCATGCCAAAGGCCTGGCCGACCTCCTGATAGCCCTGGAGGGCTCCGCCATAGATGACCGGCTTCTGGATCGAGGGCGGGCACTGGAGGGCGATGAACCGGCAGAGAGCCGGCAGCTGGGCGCCCGAGGAGATGAAACCCTTGCCGACGACGACGAGGATGACGAGCAGGATGGCCATGAACTGGGCTGAGTAAAACTCCCATTTCTCTTGGTCGGTGGGGCCGCTGGACTTTGCCGATTCGGCCGGGACTGGGGCCGAGGAATCGCCATCGGGCTTTTTGGGATCGGTGGCTGACGACATCCCGCAAGATCAAGCTGGAAGCGAAAGAATGAAGTGGGTGCGAAAGATCGCTGGGAGGAGTGAGAGACAGTGGCAAAGCGGGGGGGGGTCTTGCTGCTGGTGATTGTTCGTTTGGCTCAATAGCCGCAGCTGATCGAGAATTAGGACGAGGCCGTATTGAAGCTGGAGAGACAGATAGAACGAGGAGGACCCAAAGGCAAGGTGGTGGTCAGGAAGTCAAGAATGATGCCCCGAAAGGAGAGGAGTCCCAGGGAGAGTGGCGAGCAGCGAGAGGGCAGAGAAAAGGGGAGGGCGAGGAAAGGAGACTGGTGCAGGGCAGGGCCGGCCAGGTCTGACGAGCCAGGAGGGCGAAATGCGTGGAAGGTCGCTGCTGTCGGGCACCGAAAAGGGAGTTGGTGCGATTGGGCTGGTGGACAGAGCGGCACCAAAGACAAAGGAGCCGCGAGGAGGACAAAGGACGCGGGAGGCGCGGGGGCCATTCGCCGGGAGATGACGGGAAGAACGGGCATGTGAGGATGTTGATGAGATGCGATGAGGGCGGAGGAGTGATGATGGAGGTGTTTGTCAGGATGTCAACGATGGAGTATCGACGGAGGAATTGTATCGGTCGCGGCGGCGGAGTGAGTCTGGTGGCGCAATCCCGAGCTCAGATGCGATCGCTCCTTCACGACATATCCCATCGATGATATCCGGAGCGATAACTGCAGTGAAGGTCGGAGATGGGACACACATTTGAATATCGCAAGGCTATGGAGTAACGACATCGGACCTGGGTCTGTTGATGGGGCAAAACATCAGAATTGCACAACGTTATATTGACTCGAGCCACACCGGATCGAGCCGGATGGTGGACAGGAAACCAAGTCGGCAAGGGAGACACCCAGCCACCACATCACATCATTGCCTCTCCTTCCATCATCCAGGCGACCTCTGCAGGCCCATCTCCCTCAGCAGACCAGGCAAAGCCGCACCGACTCGCGACTCGCTCAGCATCCGCGGCTGCAGAATGGATGCCTTTGACGAGTTCCTCGGGAAGGCCGATCTGGCCGGATACAAGAGCGTCTTTCTCGACAACGAATGCAACACCGTCGACCTGGTGGGTGACGCTGCGGATATGCTGTTGTTGCGGATATGGCGACGCTGCGGATATGGCGACGCTGCGGATATGGCGACGCTGCGGATATGGTGTCGCTGCGGATATGGCGAGTCCATGACTGCGCCGTGTGCTGATTGTGGTTTGCTCAGCTCCTTGCCCTCAAGGAGAGCGATATGAAGGACCTGGGGATGAAGGTTGGCGGGATCAAGAGACTCCTGAAGGCACAGGCCGACCATGGATCCGCCAAACCCGTCGCCGCCGCCCAGCCTGTCATTCCTGCTCCCAAAGCCGCCATCAAGCCACCAGTCCAGACGATGAACTCACAGGACTATACTCCCGTCGCTCCGGCCGGCGAGTGGAGGTGCCAGCTGGATTACGGCGACCACGATGTGTTCATCAGGTGGGCAATGTCGCCGCACTTGACATCGGGCCCACTTGACATCGGAGCAAACTTGGTCCACGCCATCGGAGCACCGCCATCGACTGACGACCGAGTGTCCACAGCTACCGGGTCGACAGCGACGCCGTCAATGCATCGTCACTGCACGGGACACTCGCAGCGACGCCGCACGGCCACCAGGCGCTCCATCCGTATCTCGACAGCCAGTGTCTCTGCAACGGGATGGACTGGGAACAAGGTTTCATCAACGGGCTGTATCGGTCGAGTGTGATTGTGGTGATTCTCTCGGAGGAGGGACTGAAGCGCACGTTCGAGGCCCACAACAGACCCGACAATCAGCTGCTCGAGGTAACGAGGTGATGTTGGTCTTGGAGGCATGGCAGAATCGGGGCTGGTCAGTGACCGTATCACTCACTCACTCACTCACACACTCACTCATTCACTCACTCACTCACTCACTCACTCACTCACTCGCAGATCCAGCATGCCCTCAAGCGGATGAAGGACACCGCCGCCTCCGACCACCCCGTCATCGTCCAACCTGTGCTCATGTGGTCGACTCGCAAGTTCGGCGACGAGACCCTCAAGAAGGAATACTTCCCACCCATCAACGAGTTTCCTGACTACGCACCGGTACACAAATCGAGTCCACTGTTCGATAATCAACCAATGACCGTCCAGCAGACATTCAAGGAGCTGTTCAAGCTCCAAGCTCTCAAGGCTGTCGATACAGCCACTCTCAGGCAGTATGTTGCAATGTCTCCATGTGGATACCACTTCCTATCGCTGACACAGAGTCTCTTCCAGCTTGGTTCCGGCGGTTCGGGAGCTTGTTACCAAGACCGCAAAGGCCAAGCGGGACGGAGCAACGTATCACCAAGGCGACAGTGTCGTTCTCACCGCCGACCAGGACCATGCCTTGCGACTCCTCCTCGATCCCATCGACTCCACTTCCGACAGAAGGGCACTCGAGGATCTGTATGTCGAGGGCACTCGCCAGTGGCTGTTCGACCAAACAACTGACTGGGTCAACCAGGATACCTCCGACACTGTCCTGTGGGTCAATGCCGTTGCCGGTGTCGGCAAGTCCGTCGCTGCTGCCCAGATCGCCAACATCCTCACAGCCAGCAATCAACTGGTGTCGGCGCTGTTCCTCAAGTACAACGACACCCGCAAGAGCGATCCACGAGTGGTGCTGAACACCATCGCATACGGTCTGTGCAAGTGGCACTCGCCAATCGGCCGCAAGCTCCTCGACGCCGGCCACTCCAAGGACAGTCTCGACAAGATGAGCATCCCCGATCTGTTCAAGGCCGTGATTGCCGATCCACTCGAAGCCATCGGCGAATACAGACCCAAGGGATCGGTGATGGTCCTGGTGGATGCACTCGACGAGTGCTCTCCGCGCGACCAGCTGCTCAGTCTGCTTGCCTGGCGCTTCGTCGAACTGAACAGGACCCGTCCGTGGCTCAAGCTGCTGCTGACATCCCGACCCGAGGACGACATCAAGGCAGCATTCGATGGAGTCCCGACCAAGACAATCGAACCCTCGAGCGAGGAGAACATCCGTGACCTCGAGGTGTTCATCCGCCACCGACTGCGAGTGTATGACACTCTCACTGACTCGGACCGCACCGAGGCAGTCGCCATCCTGCTGGACCAGTCCAAGACATTCGTGTGGATCAACCTGATCCTCAACACCGTCGATGCAGCAGCCATGGACGGCCCAGTGACACTCGCCACGATCAAGGACATCAACGACAGCGCCGCCGATGTCGGTCAGTTGTACAACAAGACATTCGCCAAGATCCACTCGCAGTCGAGCCACCCGGCCGAGCTGGTCACGGTGGTGTCGGCAATCGCCACGGCCCAGTCGATCCTGACCCCGCAGATCATCGCCGATGTGTTTGGACTCGAGATCGGCGTCGTTCGCGAGTGTCTCAAGAGCCTCAGTCTGGTCCTCGATCCTGGCGCCAATGGACTGGGTCCCCGAGGCAGCCAGTCCACCAACACCGAGGTCAAGTTCAACCACAAGTCGGTGGCGGACTATCTCCTCGGCGACGCATCGACTGGCCATCGGTGGCATGTGTCGGACTCGTTCCACACGGTGTTTGCCAAGGGATGTCTCGGAGTGATCCTCTCGCACGAGCCAGTGATCAACATCTGCGAGATCTACGACTTTCACGACGATATCCCAGACCTCGAGGACAGGGTCGTAGCCAAGATCACACCGTCGCTGCGATACAGCGTCGCCCACTGGATCACACACTTTGTGTGGTGTGTGGACGGAGAGGCCGAGTCGAGTCCGGTGTGGCAGTTGACCGAGATGGTTGATGTGGCAGCGGTGCTCACTCGGCTCGTCAAGACGCATGTGTTCTTCTGGCTCGAGTGTGGGTCGCTCACACATGTGGTCGAGCCGATCATCGAGCAACTGGCTGTGCTCCGAGGAGTGATCACCAAGGCACCCAGCACCATCGTCAACGACACCACGAAGGAACTGGTCAAGGACACGTATCGATTCATCCGCGAGTTTGCCGATCCGATCATCAAGAGTGCACCACAGGTGTACAATTCGGGGTTTGCATTCACACCGAAGGAGACGGCGATCTACAAGACATATGCCACCCAACTCGAGGACAAGATCCCGTTCCTGGTCACGGCTGGCCCAGCACCCACCTGGGATCCGTGCGAGATGACACTCACAGGTCACACACAATATGTCACCTCCGTAACGATCTCACCTGATGGAAAATGGATTCTTTCTGGGTCGAATGATCGTACCCTCAGAGTCTGGGACTCCATGACGGGGCAGCCGAAATACGGTCTTCGGTGGCCCAGAAGTGGTGTGAACGCATTAGCGATTGCCTCAGACAGCCAATTGATTGTCTTTGGCTCCGAAGACGGGACATTAATTGTCGGAAATATTGCTACCCACCGAATACTGCACAATCTCAAAGGTCCCAGTATCTCGGTGACTTCTGTGACTTTCTCATCCGATGGCAAGTGGATTGTCTCGGGCTATCGTAATAACACCATCATGGTGTGGGACGTTACCAGCGGCCAGTTGAAGCACACCTTCAAAAGTCACCGTAGCGATGTGCGTTCCGTGGCCATCTCGTCCGATGGCAAGTGGATCATCTCCGGCTCGCGCGACAATACCATCAAGGTGTGGGATGCCATCACAGGAAACCTCAAGGATACCTTCGAGGGACACACAAATAGTGTGTTCTCTGTGGCGATCTCGCCCGATGGCAAGTGGATTGTGTCTGGCTCATGTGATTCAACCATCCGGATCTGGGACCTCCTCTCAGGTCAGGTGAAGTTCACCTTGGAAGGCCACAACTTGGAGGTGAACTGTGTGGCAATCTCGCCTGATGGACACTCGGTGGTATCCGGCTCGGGCGATAGGCTGATCAAGGTGTGGGACGTCGCCCGAGGCCAACTGAAACTCAATCTCGAAGGCCACACGGGTCCAGTCACCTCTGTCGTCTTTTCAACCGATGGTCACTGGATCATATCCGGCTCTGATGACAAGACCATCAAAGTGTGGGATGCCACTGCCTGCCAATTGAAGCGTACACTTGAGGGTCACTCCGACCTGGTGAACTCAACGACAATCTCATCCGATGGCAAGCTGATGATCTCGGGATCAAGTGACCACACCATCAAAGTGTGGAACGCCGCAACTGGCCGAGAGATGCACACCCTAAGTGGACACACAAACTCTGTCACCGCCGTGGCTTGCTCCTCTAACGGCGAGTGGATTGTGTCTGGATCGAATGACACGACCATCAAGGTGTGGGAGAGCCTGACTGGCCAGGTGAAGCACATCCTCCTTGGACATACAGGCCCGGTGCGATCTGTGGCGATATCGCCAGATAGCAAATGGATTGTCTCAGGAGCCGGGTCTTTCTATCGATCAAGTGACAACACCGTCAGGGTGTGGGATGCCACCTCGGGCCGCTTGAAGCAAACACTCACCGGACATTCCAGCCCGGTCCGCTCAGTGTCATTCTCGCGCGATGGCAGCTCGATACTCTCCCGCGACGACACCAAGAACGACATTGTGTGGATCCGTCGAGGCAAATGGTCTTTCCGCCTCGGCAAATCTCCGAATCCTCCCGGGTTTCCTCTTTCCGAGCCATCATCTCTTAACTGGGCGCAGATGGACAAGCGACCTCAGTGGATTCGTCACCATATCCATATACTCAAGCTTCCTCACACACTCTTCGGTGACTGGGCAAAGCACATTGATACTCCAACAGGAGGTTTGCTAATTTGGACCACAGCTATTCCACGCCGACCTGTCATCATCCAGGTGAGTTACGCTCCTCCAATTGTCGCATCCTGTTCCCAACTGACGCCTCCGCTCTTGCAGCCCACCAGTCCCGACGGCCCCGATGTCCAGCTGACACGGTCGCTTGAACCAACAAACAACCAATCCGATATTTCTTCAAACCCACTGGCCATACTCCAGTCGTTCTTCAAGTTCACCCACTGAGCTGCTGTGATCGAGGTGTGCCGCCTCAGTGCCCAGAGAGTGAGTCCACCGCAACCCACTTTGCCGACCAACCGAGCCGACCAAGATCATGTGGGCAGCCTGCCCGTCCGCCAGTTCCACCGATCCAATCTCAGTTGGCATTGTGTACATCCCATGCCTCATGCCCATGCGGCACCCGTGCGACTCGATTGCATTTCTTCAACAACTTATCATATTGCATTAGTGGTAGCGGAAATGATGGTCACGATGTACATTCTTTGCCAGAGTGCAATGGCCAGCGAGTCGCTGCATCTGCAGGACAAAGGGCAAAGTTGCTGGAAAACCTCGACGAGTGGATAATACAGGGTTCGGGTGCCGATCAAAGTGGGTTGATTCACACAATCCATACAACCCCCACAACTCACAGTCATCCATGTTTGAATGCATCCCCCCCCCTCTCTCGGTCCATTCTCTCCTCTCTCGGTCCTCTCTCGTCGATTTCCGCATTTGGAAGAATGGAGCATTCGAGCCACGCGTGGCCAGCCGCCGATTGGCTTTCGATCTGGCAGTCGAATCACCACCGATCTGCGGCTCCATCATCCCGCCATCGGATCTGGCCGCCCTGTCCAACTCGACGCTGGTCAGCATCCAACAGCAAGCCCTTCTCACAATGGCGTTCTACAGAGGCAAAGAAGCGCCCATGGACTTTGAGCCGCACAGTCCTCTTTCCGCCCAGGACAGTCGTCGATCGACCCCGTGGCTCTCGGCCTACCAGGCCCTCTCGCAAAGTTCGCCCCAGAAGCACAGCGACAGCTCCATCGCTGGGGACCTCATTGTTCCCGCGACCTCCTCTCGGCTTGCCATTGGTGCGTCCAATTTCATCGATCCCCGGGAATAGAGCCAAAGACTTTGTTTCTTTCGCATCCGGGCTCATGGTCACTGACATTGCCTCCGCCTCCATCGATCGGCCATGCTTCAACCCTCTGCTACTCCAAATGGTTTACTTTCGGGCTACCTCCATCGACGGCTGTCACTGTTGCGAATCGCACCATCGGCTTTATAGATAATGTTTACGACTGGAATATGCGATCGCAAATTCTCAAGGGCTCGGCTTCCTCGCCGGGCGCAGCTCCGACAGCCAAGTCCGTCTTTTCCACACTTCCCAAGCCGAGCATCAGCGAGCGCAGCGTTCTTCAGCCATCAAGTCGGCTCGCACATTCAAGTGAAACCAAAGACCACCCTAGCGGAGCGACATCCACGCTTGGATTCTCGCTCAACCCCTTTGCGACCCCACAACGAGATGCGGTAAGACGAGCTCGGACAATGTCGATCCGCCCTGTGTTGACGTGCTGGCATGTTGACTGTAGATGGCGACTTTTCTGCATCGATGTGCCGATCTCGAGGCATTCTCGTTAGCAGCCCCGAAGCGCCCTGTGTTTCGAGGCAGACCAGTACATTGAGTACATGTCTTCTGAGACTTGACTTGCAATTTGAACCTGCCGAGCTTGCCCCGGACTTGCAAGTGCAAGGAAGCCTAACGAACTGGAATCTCATGTCTCTCCATGATCAGGCACGGAAGAGAAAGAAGACTCAAGACACTGAACCAGACCTCGATACCATTGATCTTCGAGACGAAGATGAGAGGGCCACTCCAAAACCTCACCGCCGCCAAGCAGCACCGCTGCCCAACGCCGATACATCTTCGCCACCAGATGAGCCAACCCCAAGACCCTCGGAAGAAACTGACCCACATTCTGCTGTGTCATGGAGACAGAGAGATATGCCCGACAAGCCAACAGCCGCTGGTCCTGTTTCCCGGACTAATCATGCCAACATCCCGCTCATCATTGGAGGGTACGTCAGCCCATTCGATATCGTGCACCCTCCACAGCGCACTTTCGATTGTAGACCGAGTATATCGAGTATATCGAGTGTAACTGGTGCGGCTGTCGATCCAGTGGGCCACTGGCGTGTAATAATCCGACCTGGATGCCCTATCTGACTCGATGCTGACTGTGGTTGCAGATATCTGCAGCTGATCGTCAGCCTGTTCATTTTTGCCTTGATTGCGTACTTTGCGCTGCAGCTAGTATGGGCGATTCAGGATGACATCCAAACCAAAAGCAGCAAGCAGTCACATGGTGAGTTGCTCCGACTCTTGGTGCACTGGCAGTTGGAAACGGTTCTCTCGCAGTCGATTGCGAGCGCTGCTGACACCGTCGCCATCAATGTTCGGACTCAGTCAACTTCCAACAGAGAGAGGCTTGCGCCGACAACTTCAACAAAAACGGGTGCATCAGACCGGTCCCAGCTCTGGAAGAACAATGCCGCGAGTGGGAGTTTTGCATGAACAAGGATTCTGAGATCGAAAGGTAGGTTCTCCACTCCTATGATCTTCCTCGAGACTCGAAATCGCTCAGACGACTCAATGGCAACAGTGCGCATTCTGACGAGCCTCTATTGCACCGCCATCAAACCAACTCATTGCACCCAATGACAGGGTCCAGATAGCAGCCGAGATGGTTGGCGAAATCCTCAACAAACTCGTTGAGCCACTCTCTCTCAAGACGCTGGTAAGTCTGTGTTTCATTTTACATATGATATCCCAGCACCTCAGCTCCCATTGTGCTAGTCTCGATGCATGCACACCAATCCTGTAGTTCAGTGCCGCGCATCGCAGCCTCCGCCGACTGGGCCGAGCTTGTCCAGCGACCCATGTCCTAACGCTTCAGTACCTTCAATCGCCCACTGGTGGCCACGCTTCAGGTGTTCCTTTCGACGCTATTTCTGGGTGCCATGATGATGTCGTCGTCGGCTATCGGCTTTTTCCGATCCAGCAAGACCCAGACGCCGCCTCCCGCTCAAGTCGTCCAGCCCGTTCACCATCACTACATTGGATCACCGTTGCCACCGACGCCGGGATACGATCCCCAGCATGATGGGATGCCGGTGAGTTGCCGTGAGAATCACACTGTCCGTATTCACCTGTCCCGAACCCGTATGTCGTTCGTGCTGTGCCCAACTGTCAGTAACATGGCCATTCGCTCGGGAACGGGCGGCAGGATTACAATCCCTGGATCCAGACACCGCCAAGGATTCGTAGTAGGCCGCTCTCGGCCCGACCAACACCCACAACCAACGAACGGCGCATCAGCAGAGGCACTCCCAGCCGTGGACGGGTGTTTGGGCTCGATTCGGAGCCAATGTAGCTGCCGTCCACGAAACGAAACGAGCTATCCTGCTTCTGGGGACATTGTCCGCATCGTCTGGATCTCGAATACAAAGGACCCTAAATCCTGTGGGATAGTAGACAACGAGCATGCCTCTAATGCTCTGCTACCATCCACAAGCTCGAGTGGCAAAGATCGGAGGGGTTGATAGAGAGTGGCAATATCCAATCGCCCCTCCCAGCAATTGTGGGCACCATATTCCAGAAACCTGCATGTCTCAATTTCATTTTGTTGGCTTCACGGAGCTGTCCCGACAGGCGGTATCAGACCGTGGCCCCAGAGGCGGGGATTTGCTCCCTGGTCTGCATCACATCCTGTTGGCCGCCATGGACAATGCCCGGGACTGGAGATATCGAGGCGAAGGCAACGCAAACATCGTTGTCGCCTACGGCGGCTCCGATCCGCGATACGTAGGCATCTCCCTGGTCGTTTCAGCTCTCTCGTCTCGCAGTGCCTCTCCAACGCTTGTAGAGCCAGCACCAACCCAGGCTCGCCCGTTCTGCGATACCACCTGCGTCAGATCGGCACCGCCCTTCGGATCCGAAAGCGGCAGACCAAAGGTGCCCCGGTTGATGAAAATGTGCTGGCCCGTTTCTCGCCCATGGTTATTGAGAGGCTCTTTGGACGGCAATACCTAGGGCTGTGGGTAAGGATCGAGGAATCGGTCCGGCGTCGCCTGGAATGAACACCATCTCGAATGGATGGCACTTCGCATGAATGACATTCTGATGGGCTTGTCGATGGGCCTTGGTTGTACTGGCAGTCGACTGCGGCCGCACTCTGGATCACTGCCAGCTCTCGCTGAATCAAACGCACAACAGGACGTCGTGGACTTGGAGCCGGGTTTCCTCGCCGAGCTCGAGGGGCTGGTCGAATCCTCTCGTCCACCTACCCGAAGAGCCAAGCACGGCATCGATCTGTCGCAGCAACGGGCCGTGCTTTGCGACGATCTGGCTTTGCCAAGGAGGTTGACCATCCCCATCAAGGCGATCCACGACGCAGCCATCGAGGTCGTAGACGACAGACCAGCGATCCTTGCGATCGAGATCAAGGTACATGGAAACCGCCCTGCCGATATTCTGCATCCCATCTCCCCGTCCACACTCCAAACATTAGCCCAGCAGATATGTGATCGAGCTGACAGGACCCGAACGTAAATCGATGCACTGGCGGCTCTAGCCCAAGTGCGGATTCCTCCCAGCCTCCAAATCCATTCCTGCGGCCAATCCCAAGCTGAGCGAGTGTCGATTCTGCATGCACCAACACTGGAAGGCCCACCAAAACCCAGGGTGGGTCAGGAGCCGCTATTGCCCTCTGGATCTGTACTCTGGAAACCCCGCCAAGATTCGGCTGGCCCTCGAAGCCCTTGTGAAGTGCCCGCAAAACAACTTGAGGATCTTCGCAGACGGGAAACCGGTCGACGTTTCACTGGTAAGGCAGAAATGCCAAGGACCCAGAGCGGCACCACCAACGCTGTGATTCGCAGTTGGTGGGGTCGCAGCAAGTCTTGGTGGATTGCGTCCGCTTGGGTGCTCTGCGAGCAGTGCTGATCGAACGTCCAAGCTGACTCGGCACGACGGCGACCGGAATATGTGCTGGCGACAACAGGAAAGCACCCAGCGAACTCTGTGCCGATTCTTCAGGTGCGAGTCCGCCGAGTGTGGTCCCGGGCATGGACAATATGCAGCCGCCGGTCTGCAGCATGCCTCCAGTCAAGCCGATTCGCTTGACCAACCGCTGCTCACGAAATGAGCCCATTGCTATCTGAAGGCACCTGTCCTCATGCTGGCATCCTCATGCTGGCATCCTCATGCTGGCATCCTCATGCTGGCATCCTCATGCTGGCATCCTCATGCTGGCATCCTCATGCTGGCATCCTCGCCAGCGTCTTACACTCATGCTTCACATTCGTGTCTCAACACCTGGTCCAGGTCTGATGATGGGCATCGGTCTCTCGTTCAAGTGTTGGTGGATATTCTGCACCAAGATCGACTCCTCGGCGCTTTGCGGGACTTTCAGGCCCAGCTCGACTCTCACGACATCCTTGGAGTCTATCAAATATACTCGGAACTACGCGACACGGGGAGCCTGGACAGATCTGAGCCGACGCTGGCCCAGTGGGAGCGCATTGTCGATGATCTTGCCGCTCGACAGCAATCCAGCTGCTCTGCAAACGACGCCAAGGAGAGAGTGGCAGAATCGGCTTCAAAGGCGGACTTTGATAATGACGATAGCAATTGTAACGACCGCGATAGCCTGCTGCAGGCCCAACACCGTCAGATCCACGAGTTCCTGCTGGCAACCACACTCAAGGACTGTTCGATCATGATTGCGCTCGGCTGGCCCCAGCCAGATGCATCGCCCGTCTCCGCAGCAACACCAACAGCATTAAGATGCCCTTTTGAGATCAAACTTGTGGACATGGACCCGAAATCCATGCGCAAAATGGAGCATTACTACGAGCTGGACGAGAGTATCACTCGGTAGGTGTCGGTATGGGTTTTGATGACAAGGACCTGAGCCAGCCTGTGCCATTGATCCGACTATATAAATCGCTCATGTCGGATAGCCACATGGCATAACGGCGATGCTGGCGTGCCCTGCTCAAGATCGTACGGGCTTAACACTGACCTGGGTGACGCTGTACTCTGCTTTTTTGGTTGTTGAAGGCACTACTCCGCAGTGGCTACTGCCCAAACAGATTGACATGGCGATGTCTGTTCTGAATCTCGTAGAAGTTGCGGGCTTGGCACAGGATCTGATGGATGCGATGCATTCGCCCAGTATCCTCAAGCACACGACCACTGACTTCCTGAGGGACATGGCCTCCACTCTGAGCGCACACAAGGGAACCACCATCGCAGAGCAGAGGAGGACCGTCGGTACAGTCCTGATGATTGTTGTGATTCACAAGTCGATCATTGCCAATAGAGCACTCGGTATTCAATGGATACTCTCTCGTGAACTTGCCATCGACAGCGGATTGCAATAGAAATAAATGATCCAATCAAAAACATGAACTTTGCCGTGACCGACTTGGCTATTATTGATCTCAAGCATTCGGTCGCCCTCGCTCCAAGTCATTTCTTGGAGGAACTGCACGCGGACCAGGCCGAGTCCCCGCGCTCGGAAAGTGGTGCTATTGAGAGCGGTTCGTCCTCATGGCTGAGCAGACTGCTTGCGGCTGTGAAACTGGTTTCGTTGGATCTCGAGTTCGGTGACCCAGGAGATGATTGTGGGGTGCTTGAACTTGCCCCGGGTTGAGTCGAAGAAGGACTGCAGATCTGCATCGTTTCCTGGGCAGAAAAGGGAATTTGCGAAGGACCAGTTAACACTCGGCCGTCGCTTCGACCAGATCTCCGAAGAAATATCCTTGGTAAGATTCAGAGGCCAGATGACTTCGTGGGGTGATGATGGTCAAGTGATGAGGTGGAGTTGCGCAAGGGATGCCGGCATGCCGGTGGTAAGCACCAAACCCGGACTATTGCCATTCCGATGCTCGGGGCCCATATCGAGCGGCCACCGGCAGGAATAGAAAACTACCCTTCAAAGGGAAGCACGACTTACTCTGCTCGTACTCGAAGGCCTGAACGATCATCTCAAACTTGTCGAGATCTTTGACGATCACGGCCTCGGGCGTGGTCCCGTCTTCGTATTCCATGAAGAGGCTTTCGATCTCTCGGGCCTCGAGCGAGCCTTCCAACATGGCAACGAGCGAATCCATCGCTTGCTTCTCGAGCTGGGCTTTGGCTTCCTTGGACATGCCGCTGCTTGGAGCAATGTCGCCGGCGATCGACTCGGCCAGGTCGTGCACGATAGCCATCTGAATCACTCGATTGCGATCAACGGCCGGGTCGTTGAGAAGCATTGCCATAACACCCTGGATCGGGACAAAGGCAATAGGGTACGGCACAAGCGGTGTTGAGTGGAGGGCGGTGATGGTGAGGGCAAAGAGGCCTGAGCGACGGAGAATGGCTTGGGATACCAGAGGGGTCTGGAATGAACTGTCCAGACATACCATCCGGTGCATGTGGTCAGCGATAGACTCGGGGTTGGCGATTTTGTGCTCAATCCATCCAGTTCTCTTGGTGACCTATCGGAGGGACGACGTTGTACATCAGAGTGGGCTCGGCCACAAACAAGAAGAGCATGAACGGCAAGCAGCGGTGTCGATCGGTCTGAAGTGATTCACTGGTTTGAAACGAGGGCTGTGCTGAGCCATCGAATGCAGAGTCGCGATCCAGCGATAGAGGCTCAAGAGGTTCGAGGGCGAGGACTCGCAAGTTGGATTGAAGACGAAGCCGCAAGGAATGTCCGGTACCTTCAGGTTTTCGATTGTGTGGAGGAACTGCATCAACCAGATCAGGGAACGGTCATGGTCAGAAGGTGCCGAGCGGCCAGGATGGGTCGGATCGATTCGGCATGTGGATGGACATTGCGAACCTTCAGGATGTTTTTGGGTTGTGTCATTGTCGGGATAGGCAATGGCGGGATGGAGGAACGGCGATGGGGAGAGATGAGATGCGACGAAGGCGAAGGACAGCAAGACAGCCGCGCGGCTGCTGGGGCCGACAGGAACGACTGTGGGATCGTCGGTTGGTTGCATACCTTCGATCTGGACACTGCACCCCAGGGTGTAATACACTCTACATGTGCACGAGCAAACGGGACAGCTTCTCTATCCCACATGGCATTGTAGTATGTAATGGCCTGCGTCCGACTAGCCACATGCCATTCAGCAGATCACCTCCGAGCGAGACCTCTGGTCGCTCTCTGGTTTCCACAGTCGACCTGCACTGCTCAAAGCCATGGGCACTGGCGTCGAGGCAGGAATAGATGCCGATGACATCATTCATGATGACACTCGTGTCCTAGCAGAAGGTCTGGATCAAGAGGAAGCGATCCTTGCCCTTCGTGATCCAAAAAGTCCTCTCAGTCGCCAGGCTGCACTGCAGTGGACTGGTTTTATCCTCGCATGGTCTTACCACATACACTGGCGTGCCCCGGCGTCCCTGGGTCGGATCAAGGCTGGTGGCTTGCTGTCTGCTTTCCCCGGCACCATGTGACGAGGGATGGTCTGGATCGTGCTAACTCTTTCCACCATCCATGGTTGCAGAACGAGTATCGATTGTAGTGGTAGAGTTGTCGCTGTCGAGTCATTCGAATGGTTCTCTTGGTTGATCAACATGAGCAATCGATATGGGACAGCACTATTGTATATTGGATGTATTGGATTTATTGAATGTCAAATACAACATCACTCGGCCGTTGCCGCTTCATCGGAATCACTTTGCAAGTCCACTGTTCGGTATCATGGTGTTTGGGGCGGGTGTTGGCGGCGAGGTTGCTTGGCTGTTTGCATGTTCGGTGTTGAGACGATCGTTTGGGAGTGAAGCTCGGAGGGACTCGGGAATCAGGGCCACTTGCCGAGTTGCTTGAGGTCGTAGATGGCATCTCGGAAACCCTGGTCGACGGACTTGCGGAGCCAGAAGACGGCAGTGTCGATGTTCTTGGGGACACCTTCGCCATCCTTGTAGCGGTTGCCGAGCCACCATTGTCCGTATCGATTGCCCTGCTCGGCCGACTTGCGGTACCACTCGACTGCCTTGGTGTGGTCCTGGGCGACTCCGTATCCGTTCATGTAGCAATAACCAATCCTCCACTGCCCATATGAGTTGCCTTGGTCGGCCGATTTGCTGAGCCACTCGAATGCCTTCTTGTTGTCACTCGATACTCCAAAGCCATTGATGTAGCACCTTCCGATCCAAAACTGGCTGTCACTGTGGCCTTCGTTGGCGAGCTGCTCGAATATGCCGGCTGCCTTCTTCTTGTCCTCGATGGTTCCGAATCCATGGAACACACACACGGCCGTGAGATGTCTGCACAGCCAGTCTCGATCTGATCCCGGCTGGCACAACTCGAAGAACTTGCAGGCTGCGGGTGAGTCAGACTTGATGTTGCTCCAATGCGTTGCCAGACACGCTTCTTCTCCAAACATGAACTCATCCGATCTGTTCTCTCGGATGATTTCGACGCCCTTCTGCTTGTCCTGCTGGGTACCCCGGCCGAGATAGTGCATCCAGCCGACCATGTGGGTGGCGATGGGCTTGAGAACCGGGTCATTCGACTTGGTGCTGACCTCCTGCCAGTGAGCAAGGGCAGCTCTGTCGCTCTGTTCGACACCGTGACCCAGAAATGAGCACCATCCACGGAGGAACTCGATGTGGAGCCGACCATCTTCGCTGCCTTGATTTGTAGCCTTGGTGTACCACTCAATGGCTGCGTCAAAGTCTTGATCGACACCTTCGCCACTTTCGTAGCAACTGCCAAGGACAACTTGGGCCGGAGGTATTCCACGTTCTGCAAGCTCTCGATACAGTTCGACAGCCTTGGGGCGATCTTGGTTGACACCGAGTCCATTGCGATAACGTCCAGCCAGATAGAACTGAGCCACGGAATGATCAGCTTGCGTTGCCTTCTCCAAATGGTGGAAGATTCGCGGCGGGGTGGGATCCAGCTCAAACCAAGTCGGATATCGCTGCTCACCGATCTCAGATTGCAACACCCGAGCCAAGAGATATGATGCAGCAGCAGTGCCTTGTTCAGCTTGATCTTCGAGCCAGGATCGATCGGCTGTCTCTTGTTCATCACAGCGCAGGGAGAGTGCAATCTGGTCACTGGGTGTGAGGCCGATCCGCATCTGTCCATCTGGACGACAGAATCCAGCCTTCTGGCACCAGGTGAGGAAGCGAGGCACCTTGGAGCTCAGGAGAGACTGGGCTCGTTTGCACACTCGGAGGAGGACCTTGATGGTGCTGTGGTCGAGGGCAAGCTGGAAGCTGTCGTTACAGCAGATGATGGTGAAGATGTCTGGGTTGTGTTCGAGTGAGAGCTGAGCGATATCGGGCATCGACGAGGTTGGTTTGGATTCATCTTGAGCTTGGTGGGCGGGAGATGCTGCTGTGTTTGGAGCAGGCTCGTTCATGCTTGCCATGTTGACGGAGACAGGAGGGAGGCGAGTGGGTGATGGAGATGGACAGGAGACAGAGAGGCAGGTTGTGGCGAAGCAAGCCAGACCCTGGCAGGCCAAGCACCACCACCAAACACACACACAAGCCTGGCTCGATCCGATGGTTTGCTGGCTGGAGTCGTTGTTGCTCAGGACATTGCCACAGGTATCGCCACATGCATTGAACATGGAATCAGACATGGAATCAGACATGGAATCGAGTCTTCCTATTCACAGCACAGAGTCGACCAGACTCGGTCATGAAAAACAAATATGGAATGGGATTAGTGTGAGAGTGCGAGGTACAATCGACTCGAGGAACAACAATACTGGCCACATCTCAACCAGGCACGCATTGGAGAGTTGAGCGGGGTTGTGTCGTTCATTGGTGGGATGGAATGCGCAGATGTGACTCGGGAGTGAGGCGCGGGAGTGAGAGCGGGTGCAAGCATGGCAAAGGGTGTGCAATGGAGTCAATGAGAGGCAGGGACCATTGGAAAGAGAGTGTGTTCGCAGATCGCTCATAATCTCCGCTCCTTGGGCACCACTGGTCGCCACAGCCCTTCAAGATGATCGTGGTTGTGGACAAGTTGCCATTCATGTTTGACTATGGCGAGGGTGACTCGACAGTGTTTCGCAGGTTCAATCGAGCGGTCGTCACCAACCCGCAGGATCATGTCCTCAACTCCAGCGAGGTGCGAGTACTTCGACACTGATGCCCTGGTTGAAAGAGCCGAGTGGGCAGCGGCATTGCTGGGCATGCTGGTGCGTCGCTACAAGCAGACGATATCACCATCATCCAGCCCATCGGTTGAGTTCGAGTGCTGCCCTGAGAGTGTCACCAAGGCCACAGTGGTTGCTATCCCCAGTACAAGCCCCGCTCCGAGTAGATGGCGCCCATGGAGAGGATTGTCGAGCGAGTGCGAATAGAACAGCGACAAAGACAAGCGCAGGTGGCATGCTGTGGCTTCGTGCTGGGTGCGCTGCATCAGTACAGCCATCGGTCAAGTTCACCAGATGTTCTTCCGTGCTGGCCTCGCTGTACTCAATCCCCTCTACATCCTCTGAATCGTCGTCAGTGGCCATGTTTTCTGGGCAAAATGCTCGAGCATCGCCTGGGCGTACGTGAATCCTTGGGCTGCAGCCTTTGAGAGCCACTCGTCCGCTTTCTGCTTGCTTGCCGTCGAGTGGTTCATGTGTACTTGAGCACATGCTCAATGATCTCTTCGTGGTGGTCAAACACACGACCCTGCATGTAGCAGAAATCCAGGTACGTTGGCTCCATCGGATATCCAGCAGCTGCTGCTCCAGGGAGAAACATGAACACCTGTTGCCGTCTGATGCGATGTCGTGGCATGCATTCTCGTTCCGATTTGGTGTCGGTCTCATCCAGCACAATGGCCAGAATGTACATCACAGACACGCTTCCCCTCTCGTTGTAGGGAACAAGCCAGGAGAACTCGCACTTATCCTCGTCTCGGCAGAATCGAGTCAGCCTCGACATCAAGAATGGCTTGGGGCACCTGCACACGAGAAGGAGCTTCTCGATTCTGGCAAAATTCAGAGACATTTGAAAGTGCTCGTTCATGAGCAATGTCGAAGGCAATGGGGCCAACAGGCGACCAGGTGAGTCGATCATGGAAGTCATGGTGGATAGGATGTGGGGAGGTGAGGCTCGTATATACTCTCCGTGTTGGTGCAGTTGGTACGAACGAAATGGGACGATTCCCAATCCCACAGCTCAGAGCCGAATGGGATGGCTTGCGCCCGACAAGTTGTGCCCATTCGAAGAGATCACCTCGGCAACATCCGTGTCACCCTACACAGGATGATCATGTTGTACGCCGTCATGATGTGGAATGCCATTCTGGAAGATGGTGACTGCTTGTTCGGCTGCCCCAATCATTTGTGTGAACCTTGTGTTCGTTGGGCTGCCATCCACGCGGTGTGGCTTGACACTGCGCATGTGGCTGCGTGACCATTGCGCAGCACATGCAACACGCTCTCGTGCTCCCATGTTTCGTGTCACTCTGTCGGATCATGCGTCATGCTTCGCCACCTCTATGGAGCTCCAAACAGCCAGAATAAAAGGGGCGGTGCTGCGGAATGGAAGGCTTGTTCCTGGGAGACGTTCCTGCTTGATCGTCATCCCTCCACAATCATGCAAATCCTCGAAATCACTATCATTGCCAGTGAAATCACTGCACTCGCCCACCATTCCGATCGCTCCCTCCAAGGCCTCGTCCAAGTTGTCTTGGCGTTCCTCGCCGCTGTCCAGCAGGCGGACGAGAGCCAAAAGTCGTGGGGCGTCCTGGCCCGTCGTTCCCGCGACATTTTGATCGCTCTCTCGCAGTCTCGGACCGTTGCGCCTGGATTCTCCTCGCAAACGGACAGGCTTACTGCCTTCTTCAATACCATCCAGGAATACTACACCAACGAGGTCCAGGCCTTCCACAGGGTCGAGCGGGTCTTCAGGGCCAACAAGATCCGCCGCCGAATCGAGCAGTTCTGTCGAGAGCTCAGTGTCCTCTGGCAGGGTGTGAAGCTGGCCCTCAACATCAACAGCAACGACATGCTCAACGAAGCTGACCTCCGCCAGGCTGTCCAGCACGACGACGCCCAGAACCAGGCCCTCATCGCCCAAATCACCACCCTCCTCCAGCAGAACAATACCGCCGTCTTGGACCAAGTGGACATTCGTCTGAACCAGCAGGAGTGGAAAATCCGCCAAGCCACCGACGCCATCCAGAACCTCCTTCAGGAAGGCGACGTCACCCAACGAGTTGTCGAAAAGGCTGTCGCTCCGCTCCTCCACATGCTGCAGAACCAGTCCTCGGTCTCTCGCTCCATGAAACACGAGCTATGGCGCATCCCCGCCGGCTCCATCACGAACCGCTCCCTTGAACCGATCGCCCGCGGCGGCTTTGGCGAGGTGTTCACCGCAACCTACTATGGCTCGGATGTTGCCGTCAAGCAACTCCTGACCAGCTACCACGAGACTGAGATTGCTCAGTTTCGCCGTGAAATCGAAGTCTGGTACAAGCTGAGCCACTCCAACGTCCTTCCGCTCCACGGTGCATGCGATACCACCAAACGTCCTTTCATGGTCTCGCCGTTCATGCCAAACGGCACACTCCGTGACTATGTCGCCAATAACCCACGCTCGCTCGACGATCGCCTCCGCCTCATGTACGAGGTCGCTTCCGGCATGTCCTACCTCCACGCCAGAAGAATCATCCACGGCGACCTCAAGGCAGCGAACGTCCTCCTGGACAAATCCTTCCAGGCCATCGTCACTGACTTTGGCTTGTCCAGAACCAAGCACACCTCGGCCTCGATGAACCCCAATCGCAATGGCGGCTCCACTGGAGGCAGCGAGGGTTACATGGCTCCCGAGATGCTCGACGAAGAGAATCCAACTGGCACCACGATGAAGACTGATGTCTATGCATTCGCCATCACCCTGTACGAAGTCCTGAATAATGCTAAGCCCGTCTGGGTAGCCTCAAATGGTCGGGAATTGGAAGCCGCTCAAATTTTGTCACGGATCATCCAGCAGAAGCAACCCAATCGGCTGGATGACATCCCTGATCACATCTGGTCGCTCATCGAAGCCTGCTGGCACCAAGACCCCGCCATGCGTCCCACCTTTGGGGACATCGTGTCGATTCTCGCTGCATTCAAGGATGTCACAACGCCTCAACCCCCAATCGGCAGCCCCCGCACTCTCTCCGACTTCTCCCGGCAGATGCGGGGTTTGAGCACGGACCTCACCGACTCGCGCTCCTCTGGGTACCCTGCCAACGCCTCACTGGTGCCCCCGGCCTTGGCCCAGAGACTCGGCACCGAGTTTGTCCTCCCACGGGCAGTGATCATGGGCATCCAGCGTGGTGATACCAAAGCTCATACCACGGCTGCACGCAAGATCTCCGAAGAGAAGCCAGTTAACGATCCAGCCTGGACAGCTGCCGCCGAGTTGTATCAGATCGCCGCCGATAAGGGCGACGCCGAAGCCGCTTTCGAGCTCGCCTGGCTGCATTTCACCGGCATCGGCATCACAAAGAGTGACACCGAGGCATTCGCCTACTGGCAACTGGTCCACGACAAGTCGACTGACGCCATCATGAAACCCATTGCCACGTTCATGATGGGCTGGTGTTGCTACCTCGGCCGCGGAACTCGCCGTGATGAGATAAAGGCGAACCAATGGCTTATCGAGAGTCGCACACCCGATTTTGAACTCGGAGAGTACTCAGTTCGACTCACCACCCTGATCGCGTCATCGAAACCAGCGGCAGTTCGACTATTTGAACTCTGTCAATTTGGATCGCAGCACGATTGGCTTTGCAAGCATTTGGTTGCACGATTCATGGTCGGTGGCTTTGGAACAGTCGATGACCGCCAAGCCGCCGCGTGTCTGTTTCAAGAGCTCGCCGATCAAGGACATGCAATGAGCCAGTGCCTTCTCGCGAAATGTTATGCCGAGGGATATGGTGTCGACCGGGACGATACCAAGGCACTAGAGTGGTTCACCAAATCGGCCGAGAAAGGCAACTCCTGTGGTCAAAACGCAGTTGGCGTCGGCTGCTCCAACGGCCAAGGAGTCACCCGAGACTATGACAGGGCTGTGGAGTGGTACACCAAGTCGGCCAATCAGGGGAATGTAGATGCGCAGAACAACCTCGGCGTCTGCTACTACAAAGGCAACGGTGTCGCCCAGGACTTTTCCAAGGCATTCGAGTGGTTCACCAAAGCCGCCAATCAAGGATACGCAGGTGCCCAGTTCAATCTCGGCGTCTGCTATGAGAATGGCCAAGGTGTTGACCAAGACAATGCCAAGGCTGTCGAATGGTATACTAAGGCCGCCGGTCAGGGGAATGCAAACGCCCAGTTCGGCCTCGGCGTCTGCTACTACAAAGGCAACGGTGTCGCCCAGGACTACACCAAGGCAGCCGAGTGGTACAACAAGGCCGCCAATCAGGGCAATTGCAATGGTCAGTTCAACCTCGGAAGATGCTACTCCTACGGTAGTGGTGTCGCCCAGGACGATGCACTGGCTGTTGAATGGATCACCAAGTCTGCAAGTCAGGGACATTCTGCAAGCCAAGAATGGCTTGATATTCGTAATCAATATGCAAATTCGATTACTGGACGTATAAACAAGTTTATCGAGACCAAGCACGATTTTGAGTTTCGCTTCTGGATGATCCCATCTGTTATTCTTTTGATTGCAATTCTGTGGAATATGAGTCAACCTTCAAAATCCGCCTTGGAAATCTCGTAAGCGACCCCCAACGATACCATCGGCGCTGTATCAAATCGTTTGACATAGTCGAGCGAACGGCCCAAACAGGAAATATCCGCGTTCAGTTTCAGCCGCGCCAACTGCGACGATGAAGGCAATGGCGTCACCCAGGTCTACGCCAATGATGTTCAGTGGTATACCAAGTTGGCCAATCAGGGATACCCATGGTCAAGACAACCCGGCATCTGCTACCGCGACGGCAAGGGTATCTTTAAGGGTAACAAAACAGCCAGATCCTGGTATCAAAAAGCAGATGCACAGGCCAACGGCTACGTCCAACCAGTCACAACAACCTCATAGTTACACATCCCTTCCGTGAACCTCCTTGCGCCAGTTGAACTTGCCAATATAGTCTTTCTCTACCAATAACCCTCCCCTGTTGTCCTTGGCCATGGGGTGAATGTTGGTGTGAATTGGGTTCAGCATTCACATTTCCGATAAGTCTATACCTCCAGCTCTCTGAGTTCCTTGACAGACGACTCAAGTCGTGGTTTCTATTTCAAGGAGAAGCTATCAAGGCCTGGTCGGCCCGAATAGTACAGAGAATGGAGGACAGTGACTGTAGACGTTTTCTTTCACGCATACAGAACTTCTCGCAGCTCCCCCTTCCAAAGAGGAATCGCCCTGAGATGGAGGACTATCCAAAGAACCGGTTACTGCATTGCGTCAGGGACCGATTAATATGCGGTGAGCCTGCGGTCAACGCTGCTCACCGAACAATATCACCGCCGTGTTCCCATGAAGCGGATTGACAACCATTCACTGACTGGAGAAGCGGGCCAATCACACGACGTTATATTGACTCGAGCCACACCGGATCGAGCCGGATGGTGGACAGGAAACCAAGTCGGCAAGGGAGACACCCAGCCACCACATCACATCATTGCCTCTCCTTCCATCATCCAGGCGACCTCTGCAGGCCCATCTCCCTCAGCAGACCAGGCAAAGCCGCACCGACTCGCGACTCGCTCAGCATCCGCGGCTGCAGAATGGATGCCTTTGACGAGTTCCTCGGGAAGGCCGATCTGGCCGGATACAAGAGCGTCTTTCTCGACAACGAATGCAACACCGTCGACCTGGTGGGTGACGCTGCGGATATGCTGTTGTTGCGGATATGGCGACGCTGCGGATATGGCGACGCTGCGGATATGGCGACGCTGCGGATATGGTGTCGCTGCGGATATGGCGAGTCCATGACTGCGCCGTGTGCTGATTGTGGTTTGCTCAGCTCCTTGCCCTCAAGGAGAGCGATATGAAGGACCTGGGGATGAAGGTTGGCGGGATCAAGAGACTCCTGAAGGCACAGGCCGACCATGGATCCGCCAAACCCGTCGCCGCCGCCCAGCCTGTCATTCCTGCTCCCAAAGCCGCCATCAAGCCACCAGTCCAGACGATGAACTCACAGGACTATACTCCCGTCGCTCCGGCCGGCGAGTGGAGGTGCCAGCTGGATTACGGCGACCACGATGTGTTCATCAGGTGGGCAATGTCGCCGCACTTGACATCGGGCCCACTTGACATCGGAGCAAACTTGGTCCACGCCATCGGAGCACCGCCATCGACTGACGACCGAGTGTCCACAGCTACCGGGTCGACAGCGACGCCGTCAATGCATCGTCACTGCACGGGACACTCGCAGCGACGCCGCACGGCCACCAGGCGCTCCATCCGTATCTCGACAGCCAGTGTCTCTGCAACGGGATGGACTGGGAACAAGGTTTCATCAACGGGCTGTATCGGTCGAGTGTGATTGTGGTGATTCTCTCGGAGGAGGGACTGAAGCGCACGTTCGAGGCCCACAACAGACCCGACAATCAGCTGCTCGAGGTAACGAGGTGATGTTGGTCTTGGAGGCATGGCAGAATCGGGGCTGGTCAGTGACCGTATCACTCACTCACTCACTCACTCACACACTCACTCACTCACTCACACACTCATTCACTCACTCACTCACTCACTCACTCACTCACTCACTCACTCGCAGATCCAGCATGCCCTCAAGCGGATGAAGGACACCGCCGCCTCCGACCACCCCGTCATCGTCCAACCTGTGTTCATGTGGTCGACTGTGTTGACGAGCGACGGCAGAAAGGCGTTCATCAAATACTTTCCATCCACGAGCGACTTTCCCCGGTACTCACCGATTCATAAGCACAGTCCACTCTTCGATAATCAACCAATGACCGTCCAGCAGACATTCAAGGAGTTGATGAAGCTCCAGGCTCTCGATGCTGCTGATACCAAGGCACTCAAGGGGTGAGGGCAGTTTGCTGCCATCCAACAATTTCCTTCCGACAGGACGTTGCTCATCGACAAAACTGCAACCATCGATATAGTCTCACCTATTTATTTGCTCCCCCCCCCTTCCGTTTCAGGCTTGTCCCGAGCATTCGTAGCATGATTGTCAAGATCAAGACGGCTGAGGACCAAGGAGCAACGTATCACCAAGGCGACAGTGTCGTTCTCACCGCCGACCAGGACCATGCCTTGCGACTCCTCCTCGATCCCATCGATTCCACTTCCGACAGACAAGCACTCGAGGATCTGTATGTCGAGGGCACTCGCCAGTGGCTGTTCGACCAAACAACTGACTGGGTCAACCAGGATACCTCCGACACTGTCCTGTGGGTCAATGCCGTTGCCGGTGTCGGCAAGTCCGTCGCTGCTGCCCAGATCGCCAACATCCTCACAGCCAGCAATCAACTGGTGTCGGCGCTGTTCCTCAAGTACAACGACACCCGCAAGAGCGATCCACGAGTGGTGCTGAACACCATCGCATACGGTCTGTGCAAGTGGCACTCGCCGATTGGCCGCAAGTTGCTCGACGCCGGCCACTCCAAGGACAGTCTCGACAAGATGAGCATCCCCGATCTGTTCAAGGCCGTGATTGCCGATCCACTCGAAGCCATCGGCGAATACAGACCCAAGGGATCGGTGATGGTCCTGGTGGATGCACTCGACGAGTGCTCTCCGCGCGACCAGCTGCTCAGTCTGCTTGCCTGGCGCTTCGTCGAACTGAACAGGACCCGTCCGTGGCTCAAGCTGCTGCTGACATCCCGACCCGAGGACGACATCAAGGCAGCATTCGATGGAGTCCCGACCAAGACAATCGAACCCTCGAGCGAGGAGAACATCCGTGACCTCGAGGTGTTCATCCGCCACCGACTGCGAGTGTATGACACTCTCACTGACTCGGACCGCACCGAGGCAGTCGCCATCCTGCTGGACCAGTCCAAGACATTCGTGTGGATCAACCTGATCCTCAACACCGTCGATGCAGCAGCCATGGACGGCCCAGTGACACTCGCCACGATCAAGGACATCAACGACAGCGCCGCCGATGTCGGTCAGCTGTACCACAAGACATTCGCCAAGATCCACTCGCAGTCGAGCCACCCGGCCGAGCTGGTCACGGTGGTGTCGGCAATCGCCACGGCCCAGTCGATCCTGACCCCGCAGATCATCGCCGATGTGTTTGGACTCGAGATCGGCGTCGTTCGCGAGTGTCTCAAGAGCCTCAGTCTGGTCCTTGATCCTGGCGCCAATGGACTGGGTCCCCGAGGCAGCCAGTCCACCAACACCGAGGTCAAGTTCAACCACAAGTCGGTGGCGGACTATCTCCTCGGCGACGCATCAACTGGCCATCCGTGGCATGTGTCGACCTCGTTCCACACGGTGTTTGCCAAGGGATGTCTCGGCGTGATCCTCTCGCACGAGCCAGTGATCAACATCTGCGATATCTTCGACTTTCACGACGATATCCCAGACCTCGAGGACAGGGTCGCAGCCAAGATCACACCGTCGCTGCGATACAGCGTCGCCCACTGGATCACACACTTTGTGTGGTGTGTGGACGGAGAGGCCGAGTCGAGTCCGGTGTGGCAGTCGCCCGAGATGGTCGATGTGGCAGCGGTGCTCACTCGGCTCGTCAAGACGCATGTGTTCTTCTGGCTCGAGTGTGGGTCGCTCACACATGTGGTCGAGCCGATCATCGGGCAACTGGCTGTGCTCCGAGGAGTGATCACCAAGGCACCCAGCACCATCGTCAACGACACCACGAAGGAACTGGTCAAGGACACGTATCGATTCATCCGCGAGTTTGCCGATCCGATCATCAAGAGTGCACCACAGGTGTACAATTCGGGGTTTGCATTCACACCGAAGGAGACGGCGATCTACAAGACATATGCCACCCAACTCGAGGACAAGATCCCGTTCCTGGTCACGGCTGGCCCAGCACCCACCTGGGATCCGTGCGAGATGACACTCACAGGTCATGAATATTCGATCCACACGGTTGCAATCTCCTCCGATGGGAAATGGATCGTCTCAGGCTCGAGTGACAACACCATCAAGGTGTGGGATGCCATGACGGGCCAGGTGAAACACACTCTCACGGGACACGTCCACTCAGTGAACGCTGTGGCGATCTCGCCCGATGGCAGACTGATTGCCTCTGGTTCAAACGACAGGACTACCAAGCTATGGGATGCCGCAACGGGCCGGCTGAAGCACACCCTTCTGGGACATACCGATGACATGACTGCTGTCTCCTTTTCATCCGACGGCCAGTGGCTCGCCTCGTGTGCTGCAGACAGAACGGTTATACTCTGGGATGTTGTCAGCGGCCAGCTGAAGCGCACTCTCCAAGCCTCCAGCAATCATCTGACTTCATTGGCAATCTCACCCGATGACAAGTGGATTGTCTCGGGATCGTCAGACAAGACGATCAAGGTGTGGGACGTTGCCACTGGCCAGCTGAAGCGCACGCTCAAAGGACACACAAGCTGGGTGAACGGTGTGGCGATCACGCCCAATGGCAAGTGGATTGTCTCGGGCTCGGGCGACAGGACCGTCAAGATGTGGGATTCCACAACAGGCCAGGTGAAGCACACCCTCGAAGGACACAAAGCCTCTGTCTTCGGCGTCGCTGTTTCGCCAGACAGTAAATGGATCGTCTCGGGCTCTCGGGACAACTCCGTCATGATGTGGGATGTTGCCACAAGGGAGGTAAGGTATGTTCTCGAGGGACACATCGGACCTGTAAATCACTTGGCGTTCTCGCCAGATAGCAAGTGGATCGCATCCACTTCATTCGACAAGACCATCAAGGTGTGGGATATCACAGCCGAACAGGTTCAGCACGATACTGACGGGCACGGAAAGTGGATCAATGCTGTGGTGGTGTCCTCCAATGGCAAGTGGATCGCCTCAGGCTCCAGTGACAACACCGTCAGGGTGTGGGATGCCACCTCGGGCCGCTTGAAGCAAACACTCACCGGACATTCCAGCCCGGTCCGCTCAGTGTCATTCTCGCGCGATGGCAGCTCGATACTCTCCCGCGACGACACCAAGAACGACATTGTGTGGACACATCGCGACGACGGGTTTGTTCGCACCAACCACTCCGCACGCTCGTTCTCTGCCGCGCCAACAATCTCGGACCCACGAGTGTGGCTCAAAGTCGAAGGTGCTCCAAGGTGGATCCGCCATCGAAACCATATCCTCCAAGTTCCTCACGCTCTCTTCGGCAGCTGGACTGAGCGTGCTGTCACCTTGTCCGGTACCATAATCTTGTGGACCACATCGTTTCATCAGTCACCTGTCATCATCCAGGTGAGTTACGCTCCTCCAATTGTCGCATCCTGTTCCCAACTGACGCCTCCGCTCTTGCAGCCCACCAGTCCCGACGGCCCCGATGTCCAGCTGACACGGTCGCTTGAACCAACAAACAACCAATCCGATATTTCTTCAAACCCACTGGCCATACTCCAGTCGTTCTTCAAGTTCACCCACTGAGCTGCTGTGATCGAGGTGTGCCGCCTCAGTGCCCAGAGAGTGAGTCCACCGCAACCCACTTCGCCGACCAAGATCATGTGGGCAGCCTGCCAGTCCGCCAGTTCCACCGATCCAATCTCAGCTGGCATCGCGGACGTACCCTGAGCCTATGGTCGACATTACCTGAGAGGTTCTTGCCTCAGCGATAATTTTATAGTAGTTGCTTATATCCACAAGGCCAGGGTATCTTGCTCTATTCGCTTCGATATTTTCCATTAGCATTGTGTTTTTTTATTCCTCAGTTATTGCTCAAAAGTAGTCGTCCCGCTCCTCCTCGTACAAGACGCCGTTGTTTGTGGGCAGGGTGAGCTCCGGTCGCATATAGTCCACGGACTCGCCGCGGACTGCTTCAAAGTTGACGGTTGCTGGGCGGTTGATGATGTTGCGGCGGTTTCTTCGTCATCGGCGGTGCGATATTGGGTTTGTGAGTGTGTAGGAAATGGATTCATGGAAGGGGAGGGAAAGTGCGTGAAAACGGCGAAACAAGCAGTGCGTGTGAGGAGTCCGATCCACTATCGGGGATAGGTGCATGTGATAGCCATCCGAAGATTTCGAGGCACCTGTGCCGGATCTCACTGGCAAAACGAAACGGGCATGTGGCCACCGGGACTTACTTGGACCACATTAGGAACAAACGAGCGAATTGCATGCCGTTGCGGATCACCAGCAGGAGGGTATCGGCCACAGCTTCGCGCGAGCGGCTCTTGGAACACTCGCCAAAAGTCAGATAGCCCAGGGTGATGACACAGAGCACCACGATGCAGATGTCGAGGACATTCCAGAGCGAGCTCCAGTACATCTGAGAAACGGGTGGGGTAATGGCGTTGAGTGCCGAGATCCGGCTGTCAAGGCGACAATGGGGAATCGGGTGTGTCCGGCCCGGTGGATAGAGAATCGCTCAAATCGCATAGCGAGGACCAAGCTGAACCGAACATACCTTTCCGAGTGCATAGAATCGAATGGCGACCTCGACAATCATGACCAGGTTCACGATGGCCTCGAGAACGTAGAACCAACCTGACGGGCTGTCATGGTCGTGGATGATAGTGGCGGGATGGGTGAGATGAGGCGCAAGTGGGCCATTCGGCAAGCCGGACGGATCATTATGGGGGCCGAGCAGGGTAACCGGTCTCGGCGACACATTGATCGGCGCAGCTACAACAATGGTCCCTACCATCGCTCGACAATCGACTGGGCAGCGGACATTTGTTATCCAGCGCAGTTTCGTTGGGGCAAAAATGGTTTCAGATGCGGGAAGAGAGTTCGGATCAGTTCAAGCCCAGGCGGATCCAGTCAGCCCCGGGAAACGAGAGGAACAACGATGTGGAGGCAGATGGCTTACCAGGACCACACAAACGACCGAGATGATGCCCATCACCAGATATACAATCTGGTACATTTGCGAATGTAGGATCCGGTTTGCCAGAGAGTGGATGGCTTCGGACTGGGTCATGTAGACCCTGGCACCGCTTTCGACATTGCTGCCGGGAAGTGGGAGGCGGGGGGAGATCGACGGGTGGGGTTTAGGGAAGCTTGCAACAGACTTGCACTCTGGATCGAGTTGCTTCGACTGCCACCGCCACCAACAGGTGCGTAGATGATAGGGAAGAGCAACAGACAGAGGATCATCCGATGTGCAGAGTCGTCGGGCCGAGTCTGGGATGAGGAGTGGGCGATGGCTGTTACCTGAGGTACTAGCGGCCAAGCAGGGTATTTGAGAAGAGGATTAGATGGGAAAATGAATGCATGTGCATTGGCGCAGCGGCCTGGTGCAGGATCGACACACTGGTCGGGAATGCAGCCCAGCGATATGGGCAGGATTGCAGGGGTGGTATGGCCCTGGAGCAAAGTGCGGCGGGCTCGCCATATTGCTGGCCGATGGAACATCGTGCGAACGGCGGACATACGGCGGCCTCGGCCTCGTCGGTGTCGACGGTGGTCAGCAGCGACAAGAATGAGTTGGATCGGTATTGGTCAGGACGGGATGCCATTGCGGATTGATGTCGTGGATGTGGTATGATGTCGTGGATGTGGTGTGGTGTCTTGGATGCGGATTGATGGTTTGGGTGGTGGGACCAAAGGGGAAAGCGCCAGCGAGACGACAGCGAGACGACAGCGAGACGACAGCGAGACAGCAGCGAGAGCAAACAGGCAAGAGAGCAAACAGGCAAGAGAGCAAACAGGCAAGAGAGCAAACAGGCAAGAGAGCAAACAGGCAAGAGCACACAGGCAAGGCGCAAGGCGCGCCGCGTCTGTGCGACGGGTCACAGCGTTGCCGGGTCTGTGTCCCCCCACGCGGCGCTGTCGGTGGCGGTGCGCTGTGCACCCTCGCAGTGCGTGTGTGCGCAGCGACGCGCCGACGGCACACACACAGCCGTGCGACCCACAGACAAGGCCGCAGCAGCTCCTGTGGCTGGCCAGCAACCCGGTGGCGCTTGGCAACAGAACCGCCGATTTGGCCTTGCGGGTCACAGTACCGAGCGACATTGTCTGGCTGGCCAGGGGCCCGGCTGCTGACACATCCCCGCTCGTCGACCCCGGGATGGTCTGCGTTGCCGTTCGATATGCGGGATCCGAACTTTTAATCTGGATACTCTAACCTGCTCTAACCTGCTCCATCCTGCTCCATCCTGCTCCGTCAGGCGACTTCATCTGCATGCTCCAACCTGGTGCTCAATATCGGGCTCATCCTGGGCACCATCTGGCTCCGACTCTATCTGCGTGCGGTGCCTGTCTCGCCTTCCTGGCCGCGCCGCGCTTTGACCGACCGTCGGGCTTGTCCTGCTTTGGCATGGTTGGGTGCACCGCATCAACCCATCGCGCAGCCCACTCCAGCAACCCACTCCAGCAACCAACATCAGCTACTCTCACAACCGACTGACCCTATTGTTGTTGTTGTTGGTTGGCGCAATGGGCCGGTTGTGCTCTGTGCCCACTGCGGCTGTGGTTGTTGCCGTGTTTGTGTCCCAGCGCCTTGTCTGCCGCCCACCGCCTGCTTCGCCCCCCCCCATTTCTTCCCCTCGCTCGTCTTTCTCGCAATCTTCTTCGTTCGTCTCCATCTCCATTCTGCTCAAGCACAGGTATGCCGTCCTCCTGCTCGATCGATTGCCTGCAGCGCTATCGACCTCCCGCTGCCTTCTCAATCTCCTGCTGCTCTCCGCCGACCAAGACTGCTCTGTCGTCGCCTGCTCCAGTGCCTCCGCCTCATTCCTTTTGCTCTGTCTCCACTCGCAGTCGCTCGCCATGACAATCTACTATTACGACACCGGCTACTATTACTACGTCTCCATTCCGGTGGTGGTCATCGTCGTCATCACGATCATTATCTGCAGACGCCGTTCTATGCAAAATGCAGCAGCCGCCGCTGCTTCGGCCTCTGCGGCAGCGTCGCAGAACCAGTCTACGAATGTGACTGTGGTCGTCCCTCCAACCCCTCAGGCGCAACTCTATCAGCCTCCTCCTGGCAGTTACTATCCGCCGACCTTGCCTGATGGCAAGACCGCCCCCGTCTACGGCGCTCCTCCTGGCACTCCCGTTGCCCAGCCCGTTGCCTACCAGCCTGCCAACAGTGTCCCCTACCAGCCTGCCAACAGCGTCCCCTATCAGCCCGTCAGCAGTGTCCCTTACCAGCCTACTGCTTACCAACCTGCTTCTCAGCCGGCTCCTTACCAGCAGTCCTACACTGCCTCGACCGGCTCATATCAAGATGCCCCCTATGGCGCCCCCAACCAGCCCCAGTACCAGGCTCCCTCCGGCCACCCGGCCTTCGCCTCGGCCTTTGCTTCTGCCGGCAACGTTTCTGCTACCGCCGATGTTCCTCCTGCGTACAACCCGACCTTCCCGCTCACCACGGGCAACAACGCCCCTTACGACCAGAAGAAGGGCGGCCAGTAATATGGCCGCCATGGCGACGACTGCCTCATGTCGGGCCGCCTCAAGTTTGCTGCGAGGCTGCGTCCGTTATCCCGCTGCATCCCCGTTCTCCTGCTCTCCTATTTTCCTGCGCTCCTGTTCTCCTGTGCCTGATGCTCACAGTCTTGCCGAGCTCGTCCACCAGCAGCCTTCCTATGTGCCTTTCCTTTATTCTCTCTCATTGATTTAGCTTCTTTCGAGTTTGGTCGCTTGATTTGTATGAATGGCTGCTTACAGTTTCCCAGATTCCAGTACAAAGGACGCCTGTATTTCCTAACCATGCAGAGCTTTCAAGATCTTAAATATACAATTCACAGCACCGACACATTGCAGGGAGACATCTGATGCGGCGATGGGCCTTGTCAGCTACCCGGTATTCTGGATCGGGAGTGCATACATTCGCCCGTTCTTTCTTTCCTTCCAAACCCGCTCATCATGTTTGCTCGATGCTCCAAGCAGAATCTTGCCGTGGTGCCGTGCCACCAGAAAACATGGCCCTGGGAAGGCATTCCCATTTCCCTCAGACCGCTCAGTCTCCTCCAAAGCGACCGTTGCAGTGTGCTCACAACCTCGCGCCAATGCAGCCCTCGGGCCAGACCGTCCACCCATCAGCCGAGTGTATTGAATGCAGCCCGCCTCGTTGTCCTCTGGCGCCATTGCCGATTCTGCATCGATCGGCCACGCGGCTCGGCCATGGATCGCTGGCCTGTTGCCCCTGCGAAGAAGACATGGATCGCCCGCAGTCCGGGGTTGGATCTGAGGGGGGGGGCGCTGGGCTGGTGTTGCGGGGGTTGGTCGAGGGGGAGCAAGGCGACATCCACATGACTGAGGTGTTGGGCCTCGGTGTCCCCAGCATACAAATGCTCCCGTCGCCTTCCCCGCCATCCTCCGTCCTCCATCCTCCATCCACCTCATTCCCTCTTCCTTGCCCTTGCCTTCGTCCGTCTTGACTCTTGCCCTCCATGAGAATCTTCTCGTGCGTCCTCGCCAGCGCCGCGCTGCTGACCGTCTGCACCATGCAGACCATGGCCGTCTTGGTGCCGCCCAAGGGCATGGACATTGAAAAGTGGCTCCAGTCCTGGAACTCGAACGCCACCCCGCTCCGCTTCGATGGCGATCAGGTGTGGTCGCTCTCTGTCCAGTCTGAGGCCCAGCTTGAGATGCTCAACATCATTGCCGAGGTTTGTACCATTTGTGTCAAGACCGATGCGTCCATTGTTGTCGGTTGGCTTTTTTTGTGTCGCTCGAACGTCGATCCATTCGTGTGTGAAGCACTGGCCGATGGCCTCTGGGCTCTTGCCTATCGACCGCCTCGCTGCAGACCATCATCCAATCTGCTGCGCTGAGTGCTGCGTCGAACGGAGACGTGTGTCTATTTTGCCGGAACGCTCGTTTGGTTTGCAAGGCCCTTCCACTTCCCCCAACTAACCATCACCGACGACAACCGGCTGTTGGGCTCATTTCTGGACCGCCGTCCTTCGAATATCGCCCCGGCAATATCGCGCCTTACCCGATCAACTTTCCGTGGCAACCCATCGACTCTCTGGGTATCCAGACCTTTGCTCTCGATTTCTGGACTCCTCTTCGTATTGGCCAGGTTGATGTCCGAATCCCGTCCTCGCTCCAAACCGGCTTCAAGATCCTGTTCTCTCCCTTTGAGTACAGTGTTCGCATCGACGACGTTCAGGGCCTGATCGATCTCCAGGCCGAAGCCGCCGGGCCTGCCCTGGACTCTGACCAGATCGTCCTCGATCCGTCCTCAACGCACGACTCGGTCAAGTCTTGGTTCAAGCAGTACCACACCTACGACGAGATCCTGAAGCACATCCATGAGCTGCAGGACAAGCACCCGCACCTCATCCAGTCTTTTACCGTCGGCCAGACCTTTGAGGGAAGAGATATTCATGGCTTCAAGGTCCACAACAACGCCAGCTCGGCCCATCCAGTGCGCGACATTGTCTTCCACGGCGGACACCACGCTCGAGGTTCAGTATCCGTCCATCCCACCCTCATGAGGCCAACAGCAACTTCCTCCGATGTGTATCCGCACGCACCACATGACGCAGCAGTGCCAGCTCGACGGGCCTGAGCCGCCCTGAGCCGCCCTGAGACTTACACCCTCTTCACTTTGTTCTGTATCAATCTGCCCTTTGCCTATTGCAGAGTGGATTGGCCCCGTAAGTCAATCGACATGGCGACTCGGCTGCATAGTGCCTCCTCTGACACCGGACCGGCTCTTGGGCAAACGTTTGCGTGGTCCAGCGCCTGCAAGTGTTTTGGTGGTGTGTAGCCACTTGTAAACGATACCGATGCTAATCTCTGCTCATCGTTGCGGTGTCTCTCCCACCACAATCCGGCGCCACCCAACTCTTTCCATCCGATAGGCTGTGGTTGTTTACATGCTCACAGAGCTGGTTGAAAAGTACAGTCATGATGAACGCATTACCGCCTTGGTCGATACTTTCCGATTCCACATCATCCCCGTCCTCAACGTCGATGGATTCGTCTACACCCACACTCACAACCGCATGGTAGGCTCTTGACCTTCCCGTCGAATCCGATCCATGCTGCACTGTCACGTCCTCTGCAGATGTATCATCCTGCTCCCCATCGTCGCAAAGCTGCTTGGCTTTGGGAAGATTGAGGCGAGCATAATGATCCTCCAATGGAGCGGGGGTCTGCGGCTCACCCACTGCCCTCCCCATCGTCCCTGTCACAGTGGAGAAAGAATCGCCAGCCCAACAACTTGTTCTGTATCGGCACCGATCCTAACCGCAACTGGGTAAGCTCGACTCTGAGATCGGATCGATACGGCCTCTCGTTTCGGGCATCGTCTGATTGCTTCTGATCCATCTCTATGTTTGCCTGCACTCTCGCGCACATGCATCGCTGGCGTCTATGACTGAATACTGATCCTGATTCTGCCGCATCGTCAGGGATACAAATGGGGCGAGAAGGGCTCCTCGACCAACCCCTGCCGTGAGGACTACCAGGGTCCCTTTGCTTTCAGGTGAGACCAGCTCCGGGGTGATGGCGACCATACCCAGTTCATACCGCCATCCATGCCAGATGCTTGCGGGCGATGGGCCAACCTAGTCATCTGGGGCTGATCAATGTGCCACAGCTGTGATGTACACTGACCCACTGACTCGGTCCCTACGCTTCCTGAACCACGCTCGCCCCTACAGTGCTCCCGAGAGCAAGAACATGGCCAACTACCTCGCCCAGCTCGCCCCTAACGTCGTCTCATACATTGACTGGCATGCATTTGGCCAGGTACTCTTGTCTCTGCCGTACCGCCATTGTCGTGAAGGCAGGGCGACCGTCTCTGCGGCTGCTTCATAGCTCGTAGCGTCTCTGTCCATCTTTCTCACCATGCGACTGAACTCACACACCTTTTCCGCCTTGGAACGATATCGCAGATGTGGATGTATCCTTATGGCGCTGACTGCGATCGATCTGTTGAGCCCGTCATCGGCGAGGCCGCTCAAGCTGCGGCCAAGGCCCTGAAGAGCGTCCACGGAACCAAATACGCTGGTATGTGTGCCCTCGCTGCACCGTCTGATGGCATCTGGGCATGCGTGGATGAACGAACCATCGCCGCCATGGCACTCATGCTTTTGGATGGCTCCCGTGACATGCACAATCACCTCACGCCTCCCCTGGCAATGCATGACCCTTGGTGCAGTTGGGTCCATTTGCAACGTCATCTACGTGGTAAGTGCACGATGCGCATATGTATGTGTGCTCTAGGAGTCCGTCAATGTGTTCCGCTCCGTTTGCATATCGCCTCACACCTTGGATCGAGCAGATTGTCTTTCCACTGGCATCGCTGGGACAGCATCTCTGACCTGGTCTGTCTACCCCCACATCCGTCTCGCTCTGGGACAGGCCAGCGGCTCCTCCATCGACTGGGCTTATACCTCCGCCAACGTCACCTTTGCCTACGGAGTCGAGCTCCGCGACACTGGCAAGCACGGATTCCTGCTCCCTCCCGACCAGATCATCCCCACCGCCGAGGAGACCTTCGAAGGCGCCTTGACCCTCTACGAGTTCATCGCCAAGCACGAGAAGCAGCAGCTCTAGGATTCCGAGGGATATCCGGAGCCTTACTCTGCTGCGATATGCTGTGCCACGGTGTGATCGGTTGCGATGTTGTCCTCCGCCCTCTCCTACGACAATTGCTTACTGCTCTGGATGTGCCGTGAACGAATAAATGAATGTGTGAATATACTTGGCCATTCCAGTCTCCATCGGCCTTCATCTCCTTGCAGACCCATTCATCGATGCGAGGTGATGCAGGACGAGGCGATGCATGGCTGTGGAATCGAATCGATCCCCTGCGACGTATCGGGGGGCAACAGGGTATCCGAGTGTATCCAAGCATCTCCGAGTGTATCCATGCATCTCCGAGTGTATCCCAGCATCGCCGGGTGCCAAAGTAACCTGATCAAGAGTCGATACGGTTGTGTGCCTGTGCAAGAACCGAGACACCGACCATCCGGCGCTCCTGGCCAAGTCCATACAAAAACGATTGTGTGCAACCGGTTTCATGTCGATGGTGATCGCACGCAGCCCAACCGCCGCCCCCCCCCCACACCAGCCCAACATGTGCTGCACGACATTGAGTGTCGTGCATCTTGCGCCGATGTTGTTGGTCTCCACCGCTGTCATCCCAACCATCGCCCCCCCCCTTGGATCGATATCCTCGCTGCTTGCCCAAGCGTCGCCCCCTCGGTCTCTGGTCCACTTAAATCCCTGTCGCCGTCCGCTCGCATCTCGCTCCGCAACCGCCCCGACTCTTCCCTCCACGGTCCTCCATCCGCCCTCGAATGCCCAACCACGACGCCGATTCCGAGGCAGCCCGGCCAATGATGCCCTCCTCCCAGTCTTCCGCATCTCTCGCCCAGCCGAGCTCCAGTGCTGGCCTGACAACCGCCCCAGCCTCGTCGACAGAAAACTCCTCGCTGTTCTTCGAGGAGCACTTTACAGGCTACATCGAGTTCCACCCGCCTCGCCGCTTCTCTGGTGCTCTGCCATCCCTTCGCCGAGTCTACCTCAAGCACCAGGAAGATGCTCGTTCGAGCCGCCATCCGCTTCGGTTCACCGTCAAGGTGCTGATTCCCGACTGCGTCCATCTCTTTGGCGGGATCCGGCCCGGCAGCATCACCGGCACACTCGAGTCCTCGGTGGCCTTTCCGCAATCGTTGACTGATACCAAACCGGAGCTCTCAGTCGAGCCCAAAGTCGAGCCCAGGCCCGTCACCGGCTCCTCGTGGCCGGTGGCCCAGACCTGGCGAGCCGACGGCGGTCAGTTCAAGCTCTTTGTACCGGACCCGAGCCATGCCGAGACCAGCCAGATCATCTACGACTGCCCGCTCTTTGGCCCCGACGACCCTGAGGCACCGACGACCGTCTCCAGCGTACCCCAGGGTGTCCCTCGGAATGCCTCTCAGGGTCGTCGGCAGCTGCGTCTCCTCGGCACCAAATGGATCAACCAGCGTGGTAACATGTACAGCCAAGCTTCGACGCTGTACTTTGACCTCATCGACATTGCCAGCAATACCGTCATTGGCAGGGGCATTATGGGCCCGTCCTTCTTGGGCACGATCAAGACGATCTACGACATGACTGTAAGCCTCGCAGATGGGGGCTTCATCAAGGCCCCATCACCGTCTCGTGGAAGGCATTCGTTCGCGACGCGGATAACATCGCATGCTGATGTCCTGTATCTTCCCGCCTTCCTGACGCAGTCCCCGGGCAATTCTTGGATCCGCTCGATCTATCTCAAGCTCGTCTATCTCACTCTCTTTGTCAAGTCGCTTGCCCCGCACATGATCCCTCGCCTGCTTCCGCTCGAGTATCCGGCACCAACCCAACCTGCCGCCACCTTTGCTGCCCGTCGTCGCTCGCCGACTGAGACGTGGTCGGTGAATGCAGCCGTGGGGCCGGTTCTGTCACTTGTCCGTCACGGGCAGACCTCGGGTACCCCGATTCTGCTGGTGGGTGGCCAACGTGCATGGTTAGCTTCGTTGCTGGACACGTTTCTATGAGCGCTGTCCTCTGTCGCGGCGAATCCATCATGAACTGCAGATGCACGAACGCCTCATAGAGCGGCAAGCTCTCACGAGCCGCCGCTCTGGCCACCTCGCCGCCACTCGTTCTCATTGAGCCACTCTTACCCGCCCACCTCAGATTGCCGACGTCAAGGCAACTGCCCGAATCTTTGATAGCCCCCATCTCGAGAACAACCTGGTCGACCACTTCCTCAGCCAAGGTCACAGAGTCTACGTCCTCGACTTTGACAGCGCCGAGAATCCACTGGCGTCCGTCTCCAGCGACACTCTCAGTCTCTCCAACACAGCCCTCCGGATCGCCGCCGTTGTGTCCAGGGTGCGCGAGCTCGAAAACGGAGCCGAGATTGCTCTGCTGGCACACGGGTACTCCAGCTCAGCCTCGTACCTGGGCCTGCTACAGGGCACGATCGTCGGAGTCAATCACTTTATCAGCTCTGGCGGAGTAAGCAGATTGTGGTGGGAGTGGCTGCATTCATGGGCGGAGCGGGTGTTTGGATTGATTTCTGCGGCTACGCCTTAGATGGCGCCATGGCTGCTTCTGGAGCCCACCGGCGCAGCTGTCGACAGTGTTGTTCGGTATAGCTGCTGGTATAGCTGTGGATGCGGCTGCTGATGCGGCTGCCCGGTATGCATGTGCAGCTCCTAACGCTTGGGTGGATCCACCGTAGGGCCTCGTTGCACTGCCCACAATCGCGAACGACATCAAGGGCTTCCTGCAGATTCCCGAGATCGTCACCTCGATCGCCCCCCATCCGGCACCCGCCGCATCGGATTCGTCCGATGATGCGTCAACTCTTATCGGCACCAGCTACCGTCCATCAACCCTCTGGCAATATCTTGTCGACTGTCTCCTCCGCTTCTTCCCCATCGGCGGACTGCAGGAGCGGTGCCGCAGTGCTTGCTGTCACCGAGCTTCTGCCATCTACGGCCGGCTGTGGAACCACGACAACATCAGCGAGATGAGCCACGAGCTTGTTCCTGAACTTGTTCAGCTGTCTCTGGATTCCTCCGTCATTTCGCTCGTTACTCAGAGCCAGAATGTCACCAAGGCGTTTGGGTCTTCCGAGATTCGCAAGCTCATCGAGAACCGACTCCGTATGCCCATCATCATCATCCACGGCAAGGACGATAAAGTGTAAGTGCCGAGCGGCTGTGTGATGGCATACCTTTGGAAGGACTGAGCGCAGTATCTGTTGGCTGACTGGGACGGAGGTGCCTCGAGTCATGCAAATGGGATCCAGTCGGCAGTTTCGCTTGGCTCCCCAATGCGAGGCAGCGCATCTGCCACGCACCTGGTCGGACTCTACTCCCATACAGACTGAGTGGCATGCGATTTCGGGTATCTGATCCAACTCTCGCCTTGCGACACCACTTCCACGGCCCCACTGCCAATCCAGATTCAGCTCCCTGAGCGCGCAAAGGGACTATGACCTGCTGACCGAGGTCAACGGACTGAATGGATACTCACTCTGTATCGTGCCGAGCTATGGGCACTTTGATCTGTGGATGGGCAGTCGGTCGTTCAAGGATGTCTACCCTCTGATTCGCATCTGACCGAGTCGTTCGGTTTCCAGGAGGATTCCAACTTGTTGATCCAAGGCCACGCCTTGGCTGATGCACAGCCGACTCTTCATCCGTTGCTGCCACCTCCATTTCCATCTCTGCTTTTCTTGTCCAGTCTTGCGCTGGCTGTATGTACCTCATATTCTCTCTTTAGGGGCTCCGTTTCTCGTCCCCTCGGCTTCGCTCAGACGATTGCCGACGCCACCAATCTATGCCACCGTTGTTGAGGACAGCGTTGGGGTTTGGTGACATCACACGCAGCCCAGTTTCGCGCATGGTTGCGCCTGCGAGTATCAACTTTTCCTGCCCACTCTCTGGCCCAGCCCGGTCTGTCACGTTCCTCATTGTATACTAGGCAGAGTCCAAGATGGACGAATGCCATTGAAAGCATAGCATGATGCGGAATCAATGCATTTTGAACCAACAAAAGTGGGCTGTATGTACATGGAGTGTCCTGGTCAGTGCCAGGCGATGCAAGTGTCAATATGTCTGTTGATGGCAGGCAGATCGCTGATGCTGACGGACTCGAGCGCCCGATTGCATATCGGACACTGGAAGACACTTTGTTCGGGATGGCTGCCGTCGAAAAGTGGCAAAGCTGCCTCGGCCACGGAGTGCGAGGACTCGGTTGGGCGGCTCGCTGATACACCTTGCCGCTGAATCATATGAGCAATACTCTGGCTCTTGGATCTGGGCTCTGTTCCGAGCGAGCGCGCTGGCTCGGCCGGGGCAACTTTCCGTTTCTTCGGCGGACGTCCTCTGTGAGGCGCCTCTGCATGTCGCTCTTTGGAACTTGGCTGGTGCTGGGGCTGAGTCTCGTTGCCGAGACATTGGTCCACGTGGGCATTTTTGCGCTGGGGAGACAATGCGGTGATATCTTCCGAGCAGATTGGACAGATAACCTGTTCCAAGCTCTGGTTCTCGGATGCAGGGACCTGCACAACCGGAAGATAGTGAATGAGGAGGATGTCTTCGTTCTTCCTGGGGGGGGGGACGCTGCAGTCCTTACCAGATCGCATTTCGAGGACTCGCCCTCGCGCTTCGTCAGGTACTGATGGTGGAGACCCCGAATGAGTGGGAGTGAAAACGATCGTTCGATTGACAAATGGGTTGCATCGGCAAGTGAGACGAAGCGGCAAGAGTCAATATCGATGCTGTATACCCCGAATGGCGCTGTCGGTGCAGCATATCGCGTTGACTCGGCACTGCCAATCGGCGAGCTGGCCAAGGATCATCGCCTTGCTTTGACTCTTGCGACCCACCTTTTCGATACCATGCTCATCATGCACAGGCCCCACGTGAGAGATCCGCAATCCCATAAGTCTCAGGTTGAGATCTTGCTTGTTCTGGAACTCCTCGATGACGTCATCCAAGATCTGCCGACCGACTTGATGCAGATCAGATGAAAGCCACACCGACTTTGTGAGCGTCTTGGACCGCTGATAGACTTGGAAGTTGCTAGTCTTGAGCTTCAGCGTCACAGTTTTGCCCTGCATGGCGATGTGGTGGCCGAACGATGAGTCGCTGTGTGCAATTTGTCTGTGATGGACATCGAGCGTGGATGGATATCAAGCATGAATGGATATCAAGCATGCTCACTTTCAGGTCCTTTTCCTTCAGATCATCGGCGAGCATCTGCGCCAAGACTTTGACCATCCTGTGCATTTCGCCATAGTCGCTCATCTTGGTGAAGGTTCTTGGTGTTTGCGACGCATGGGTGCGAATGTGAGTATGTGCTACTTCTGTCACATCTGTTGATGCTGCTACGGAAGATGGGTGAATCGGGAATGCATCCATACCTTTCAACGCCAATACTCTTCTGAGGCGAATCTCTGCGAGAAACAGGAATCCCGTCAGCCAGGAGCTCTAGGACCGCAAAAGTGAAGCAAGCTCGAGCAAAGACAAATGAACGAAGAGCCTTGTGCTGGCGCCAAATAAACATATCCACGCCGTCTCCACCATCGAATCCACCATCGAATCCACGCTCCGCATGGCATGGTGCAAGCCGGATGGCTTACCTATCGAACACCGAGAACCTCGATATCCCGATGGATACGCGCGACAGGAACTCATACATCTTGGTGCCAAACAGCCGGTGGACATACGGCAGTTTGTCGTGCTGTCCAAGTTTGCCACGACAGTGCAATGGCAAAAGCGGCAAGTCAGCGATCGCCGCTCTTGTTGCTGTTGCTGCTGTCGGATGCCGTGTGTCTCATTTTGCAAAGCACTCGCGTGCTCACCAACTCTTTGATTGTCTTGATATCAAGTGCCCCAAGCATCTGCTCAGAAATGTATCCAATCCCTGTCGGTGCAGACGACGGGCGAGAAACAGCACAAAGTTTGGACGATCAGCTTGGTCGGCACGACGATGCATGCGTCCTCGTGAGAGCAACAGCCACTGATGTTAGAGTGGTCTAGAGTACTGGAGAGACGCAGTCAGGCTCTTCAAAGAACAGAGCTAACCTGGGATCTTCCGGATAGGTAGATTCCATGTGAAATTGACCACGGTCGTGCGATCGTTGAGGAGGAACTTTTGCCCATTCGGCTTGTTGATGTCTGCAATGGCACAAATCGCGCACCAGGGACTTGGTGACGGAGCTCTGGTCATCCGTGCAGCAGAGTCGCATAGCAGTGCATACCTGAGCAGACCTGATGCGAGCAGATCACCCGACACGCCACCGATCAAACAGCAGAAAATATATACAAGGAGTATCGGCGCAGCAGGTTAATGGCCGCTCAAGCGAGTCGTGTCCCGCTGCCTAGGTGGACGAATACTGCGGCGCTGTGCTATCGGCCGGCGCGCTGGGCTGTACTGCGTACCTTGGCCAAGAAGGGATTTGGAGCGATGCCTAATCCACGAAGCAGCCACACCGAGTCCATGCACGGTCAGTCGATGGCGGCGTGCTGATGCACTTTACTTCAATCGCCACTGCCGGCTCGATCAGACGGCGCCGACATAGTTCATCGCCATCATCGGGACTGAGGACACCAGCAAAACTGTGCTAGCGCTTACCTGCGCTCGCTGTCAACCCTGTTGAGCTGTCACAGCAACACGAGATTATGGTGGGGCCACATCAGTGGCTCGCGCGTGTAAGTTGTTGTTGTGACCACGAGCAAGGCGCAAATCAGAGCTCAGCTACAGGACCGACGACGCAATTTCATGAACGAAGCAAAGTTCAACGATATGCAAACCTGAATATCCGATCCCGCAGCTCCTGGGCAACCTCGGGTGGACTTTGGCCCGGGTGTGCAGCCAAGTAGTCCGTGATATCGAGATAGGCTGTATCCAGACCACAGAATCAGGTGTCAACGAGGAGAAATGGGCCACGAGCCACGCCAATAGATCAGCGACAGCCAAGCCATTCTCGAAAGTGCCAAACCTTCGTCCAAGCTGGCACTCCTATCCATTCAAACGTGTCGAGGCGCAGTCGATTGTGTGGATTAGAAAACGCGATCGGAGCGGACCAGCTCGGCAATGGGTCGTCATGTTGTGATGTACCTGTAATTTGGATCGTATACCTGGAGGCATTCGGAGGCGACACATCAGCGTCTGGTTCCGCGGATATCAGTGCATCGGTGTCGAGCACAAAGCATCCGTGACGACGCACCCACCTCGAATACGCCCCGGACGATTTTGGCGTATTTCAGATACTTTTCAAAGTTTGGACGAATGAGGATCAGCTCGGGACATAGTTTCTGATGGCGATGATAGGGATGGATGCATATCTGTGATTAGAAATACATGGCGATGCTTGCCGTGTGGAGGACGGCAATTGGCACACCACACGAGCTCCATCGAGCGCATATACATACCAAGGCAATGTAGCCTGTTGGCATGCGATAATCACAATAGAAGCAATCAGTCACAAGCATCTGAAAGCGGCGTGCAGGCCAGCAAGAATCTGGACACACAGGCCCACCTGGCATGGCGGACCGGACGCCGTATTTCCTGTGGCAAGAAATGAATGGGGCACGGAGGTGGGAGAGACTGCGAATGAGACTGGTGCAGAAAACAGGTGCTATGCAAGCCGATGTGAGGGCTCGGGCGGACGGATGTACTCACCTGGCTTTAATAGCCCAGCCCAAATCAAGAGATACGCATTTGGTTGTGAGTTGGAGAGAGTATCCCAATGACTGCTCTCAAGATCCGCCCGGTGGCCAAGGAGCAACGAGGTTGTTCGATCACCTTACCTTCATAGTTGGCGGTGCAGAGGACCCCGAGGCCGGCTGACTACGATTGATACGGAGTGAAAGAGCGGTTAGCAGCAAAACCCCCTGCAAGCCATCGGCAGCACGCCGGGCGGGCCGCAGGGCCGCTCGAACATCGACACAAGACATACCCCGACTCCCATCGGCTATTGGAGGTCACAGTGTATGTTTGGAAAGGATGTGCAGTCAGAATGTGCCCCAGAACACTTTTGGAGTGCGATGCCGAGCGGTCGATTGTGCTTTTCAGTCAGACAGAGAGGTACTTTGCTGTGCGCAAGAGTGGCATGCCTTTGTTTTCAGCTCGGGTCTATCAAGCTCCTCGACGCTTGCATAGAATGCTGGTGTGAATGGCAAAGGTTTGAGACTCGAGAGATCGTTTGTCGAGCAACCAGACTTGTTCGATGTGACGCATTATCGGCGATGCTCATGGCGAATGATAACGACGGCCACTCCCATATCTTCGCCCCCTTCCTCACCATCCTTGATCACATCGATCGAGTCGGAATGGTACCGACCGATTAAGCCGCGTCAGCCGAGGCAAGTTGCATTGATGAAGTTGAGCCATCGCCGCAGCAGAGACAAATGGAGCAATCAGTCCGAATCGAATGAAGAGTACCAGCGACCCTGTCTCTCTGGTTGTGCCTCCACGGCTTTGCTCCTTCCTCACCATATCGACATGCACAACGCAGCGCTTCAGATCCCTGGACTCTTCCAGCTTTGCGAGTCGCTTCTTGACAACACCCTCGCTGATCTCGAGTTCCGCCTTGGAAAGCTCTGCTGCTTGTATCTTGATTTTGTCAATCTTGGCCTCGAGGACCTTGTCTCGCTTCTGCTGGTGGACGAAAAAGGCAGATCCCTTTGGGCATGGTGGTGAGTGTTGGTGGCGAGAGGACGAATAATCAGCAGATGCCGAACGTGGAGCCCGATGCCGATTTGCTCAGATGGGGCGCTTCGAGCACTGCTCTTCCCCGCGCCCCCTCCGTCACAGAAAGCGACACTCACCTTGGTGATCTCGTAGACAGCTTGGTTGATCTTTTCTCGGTTGGCGCCCTGCGTGCCGGCTTTCTCTGGATTCCCCAGGCGCAGGAGCATCGGACGGGTCTGCGTTGTCAGGGCTTGCTCTTGCGCTCGTTCCTGAGATCCGTCGGCAGTCGCTGCGGAAGCCTGTTCGGGCGGATCGGCATGGGGCAGAGTCTCGTCCGACGGGGGCGATTCTGGATCGAGCAGTCGGATCGGGTCCGACGCTGCGCGGACGTCTGGGGCATAGCAGCCATCGTTTGGATCGAGGTCCGACCAAGACTGGCCGATCCAGCTGTCATGGACGTAGTTGTCGTCGTCGTCGATATGGTTGTCGTCAAAGCGCGAGTCGTCGCTCGATGGATCCTCGGTGCAGAGAAAGTGGGCTGGATCGCTGCGAGCCCAGCGGCCGTCCCGATCGTCGTCGCTGTCGAAATTTTCCGCCATTCTGGGCTGTTGCTGCTGTTATATTTCTCTTCTTCTTCTCTCTGACCAGCTATCAGGCTGTTTGGGACGGCGATGGGTGAGAGGCTGTATGGTTCAGCAATCTGGAGCACCGCTCGGGCAAGGTCCGCGGCAGGCGGATGCGAAGTCGTGTTGTGTGGGTTGGGGAGTTTGGCGTGGTGGTTGTGGCCAATGGATGATGCCACAGCATGTTGAAGAAAAATGGGACACATGGTCTCATTCGGACAACACGGCGTAGTCGGATCCGATCACACACCCGTTCAAATAGGTCAAATGGATATAATCATTTCCCTGTGTGAGGGAGATGCATGGAGTGAGCGGCTACGACGGATTATACTTCACACAACCCACACGAGCCACGCAATTCAGGAGTGTGTGAATGTGTCCTGTTTCATAATATGTTCGCAGTGTTCAAAGACCTGCTCTCAACGAACGGCGCTAACGAAGAGAATCGACAACGTCCTGCAAGAAGATGAGCTCAACGCCCAGTCCGTCACCATCATCATCACCACCACCATCACCACCATCACCACCCACCATCACCATCGCCAGTTTCGGCCGCATTTGCCTTCCCTCGCAGTGTCCAGCATCCAATCCTCTCACCCAGCAGAGTCTCGGTGGTGAATTTTTTTTTTCCAAAACACGCTGTTATTTTTCTTCATAATTTTTTTCTGTGTTTCGCTTTTCCAAACATATATATATGGCGATTGAGAAATGAGCGGAGGGAGGTGGAGGGTGGGGGAGAAACGAGAGATCGAGATAGAGAAAAGGGGTGGCTGGGTGGGTGGGTGGGGAGTGGAGATCCCATGTGCGCTTTTGTTCCAAAGCAACCAGATCGACCGGGTCCACCGGAAAAGGCAGAAGGCGGCTGTTCCTACATCCGATTCTATTCTGACTCCCCTCTCCATATCCCGCTCTCGCCCCCTTCCTCCCCACTGGGCGAGCGAGGGAATGTGGATGAGTGAGAGAGAGAGAATGAGAGGAAAGAGAGAGAAAAAAATGGTGATAGCGAAAGAGAGAATATAGAAAGAATAGAAAAAAAAAGAAAGTCGAGCTTGAAGAACGCGAGAAAAAGAAAAAAAAGAGAGGTTGGGAGAACGAGAGGAGATAGAGAGATGGAGGAGAAAGGAGAAAGGTAACAGGATAGAGGATAGGGGTGGGAGCGGCGAGGGGGGGGGGAGGGGGGCGTTCCTTGTCTTTCCTTCTGTGCCCTTTGGGAATCTGGAGGAGGAGTGGTAGCGCTCGAGGTGCTCACTCCTGCCCAAGAACGGCATGTTGGATGGTGATGGGTTGAAACTGGTCCAGGTCTATTCCGCGGGCCCGGAGCGCGGCCTCGGCATGAGGTGGGACGAGCTGTCGGTTCAGGTCGGGTCGTATGGACAGCTCTGTGGGTGTGTCAAGAGAAGTATCGAAGGTGTGCCACGTGGGTCAGACGGCGAGGCAATTGGTACTTTTGGGCCTCTTCCCTCCTCGTGTGCTCAAAAGCAAGTAAAACATCGCTGCACGTTTCGTTGGGGCGGCACACCAGGATCGTCGCCCATTGTGGTTCTCACTGAACCCAGCACTGTGCATCCTTACCCAGCGCCGAAAAGTCGAATAGCAGTGGTAAGTCCTTTCCGTTGGGCATTTTTGTGTCAGGCTTGCGTAGTTCGTCAAAGAACGGGTGCACCATGGCTTCGATTGCGCTCAAGCGGTTGTTGGGGGTATACTCCAATAATTTACTAATCAGATCCAGTGACTCGGGAGTCGTGGTTCGTGATCGGAATACCTGCAGCGGCCAACAGAGACGCGGGAAGGTGGGTGGGAAGGGTCAGCAACGTATCCCGTGTCGAGTGGCGGGTGTCGAGCGGCGAGAACAGACCACTTTCAGATTCGCAACGAGCACAGCACGAATAAGAGCCATGTGCTTCAAGACAAGCACACAGACAGAAGGACAGGCAGAGAATCCAAGGTCGATACTACGACAGGGACCGGATCTCGAGCCGCCCTGTTTTCTTCCCATCGTCGCTTGTCGTCTGCCTCGTTTCTCCCCTTTCCGCAATGCGATGCGATGCGATGCGATGCGCTCGCCGCTGCTGTGCTTCCTCACCTTGCTCCAAGCGCAGGCCTTGATCTGAGGGAACTTGTATTCCGTGTAGTTTTGGTTCATGGCCTTGATCTGCTCGCGGGTTGGTGTGCCCAGGACCTTGATGATCTCAACAAGCTGGTCAACTCCTGACTCGCCAGGGAACAGGGGCTGTCCCAGCATCAGTTCGGCCATGACACATCCTGCTGACCACACGTCTGTTGCACGGCGATGGGCGGTAGCAATGGCAGAGCAGGCCCGTATTGGTGTCAGCACGGTTTCAACACGTGGGCTGCAGGATTGCATGTGTCGACATAAGGGAAGCGATGTGCACGTGAAGAAGGACGATCCACCAGAAGGGTGTGGCTTCTTCAGCCACCAGGCTGACCGCTCCAGTTACGCCACCGCCGTCAGCCACCGTCCATCGGGGGGGGGAGGCTGGGGAGTTGGAGATGGAGAATCGACTCTGGCTTGTTCGTTTTGCTCCACATTTGTCTTCACTCGGCCCAAGATCCTTACCGATATTGACCACGTATCCGGTGCTTCCAAAAATCAGTTCGGGTGCACGGTAGTACCGGGAGCAGATGTAGCTGACATTCGGCTCTCCAGCCACCAGGATCTTTGCGCTTCCGAAATCGCACAGCTTCAGCACTCCGCTGGTGGGGTCGAGCAGCTGGAGGCGCGGGGACAAGAGCAGGAGCAAAACGCAACGCAACAAAACCAAAAACAAAGGGACGCATGCAAATGTGCGGCCCGGAGTTAGCATTCATAATTCCAACGAGAGAAGAGTTCCCGGAGTCACAGCATGATGGCGCTATTTGCATGCCCCTCTCCTCTCCTCTCTTCTCCTCGTTCGGCCATCACATTCGATTGTATGATCTTGGACCGCCCGAGACATGGCGAGGCTACTTTTCGCGGTCCCCTCGGAGCATGCTTTGGTGGCTGATCAGGGTGGCAGAAGGCGGAGTAATTACCAGATTCTGCGGCTTGATATCTCTGTGACAGATGCCGAGGGCATGGATGTAGGCCAGGGAGCGGAACATCTGGTACATGTACAGCTGTCGAGTCGATCGGAGACCACAGCAGCACGGTCGGCATCGCCGTCGAAATGGAATCGAGATTGTTTCAGGGAGCACAGGAAATCGCCAAATATATCGTGTCAACAACGACAAGGAAACGAAACCACAGACACGGTGCAGGCAAGGGCAGATGAGGGCTGAACGAAGCGATATCGAGGCCACAGAGCTGGGGGGGGGAAGCAGGGAGAGTGAAAGGGATGGAGGAGTGCGTACCTTGATACAGAGCATCGGCATGGTTTGCTTGATTTTGGCATAGTGCCGGGACGCGCGGTAGATGGTTTCGGGAATGAACTCGAGCACCAGGTTCAAAAAGACCTCATCCTTCTTATCGCCGTTCGAGTAGAAGAAGGCCTTCAGCGCGACAATGTTGGGGTGGTCCACCAGTCGCATGATTTGGAGCTCTCGGTTCTAAAGTTGACGTGTTGAGGTGGGGGGGGGTCGAGATTCGGCAACAGCACGAGGCGATGGATCAATCGCAGTGCAATGCAGAGCAAGTGTATGAGGCAGTCCAAATGGAAGTCGAGGGCAGTGTCAGTATCAACGTATCGACTGCGTGCGGCGTTCGCGACGACACCGAGACTGCTCGCATAGAGATCCGGGAATCCGAGCATTGAGGAACACAGCCTAGACACGAATGGCGGCTAGATGACGTCCTGGAGACACGGTCGTCGTGGTGGCTGAAAAAAGCCGGTTTTGCAAAAGGGTCGTGCTCCAAGGCACCGGAACCACGAATAGACGGATGGAGGCATTCTCGTGGTTGCAAATGAGAACTCCACAGCGGAATCGGCCACTGGATCCCGCACGAAGCCTCAACCGTGCGTCCCAGGCCATCGCGCATCCTCAGCACCGGGCCCGATGCCGCGATCCGAATCCGGGTATCGCTCCTGGGCTCAACGTTACCTTGAAGCGTTTATCTTGCAGAACCTTCTTGATGGCAGTTTGATCTCCCGAATCGACCAGCTTGGCTTGGAAAACCACACCAAAGGAGCCATTTCCAATAACCTTGTAGCCTGTGTACGATAGCTCGATCGCCTCGCCAGTCTTCCCACTATTGGCCTGGACGGTGACGATTTTCGACGGGTCCGGCTCGTCTACGGCCACACAGGGACGAGAAAACAGCACAAACATAGATCACAGGCATCGAGAAGAGTTGTGGACAGGGGCGTCGCCGCAGAGTTGATGACGGTGATTGTCATTGGTTGATCGGAATCGGTGGGATGGATCGCGTGACACAGGGCGGATAAGACATAGCGTTTCCGGGTGAAAGGTGTCCGATGCATCGAGGGATCACCGACCGTGGCGTTTGTGGTGGCGATCGCGGATAGTTGTTGGGCCAAGCGGTGTATGAGAGATAAGGGCAATAGATCCAAGTTAGTGACTCGAGCGAGTAGATCAACAAGTGAGCGAAGCAAGGAAGGATCAAAGTCAGGCCAAGATCGGCGCCCAAAAACAGCCGATATTAGAAAGGAGGTGCATCGCTTTATACAGACGCTCGTTGGTGAGGGTTGGTGATTGATCACTCCAACCAGGACGAGAGACTCGCCGCGTAGGAAGCGAGGATCGATCACGCCCCCGCCCACCGCAGAGCACAGAGCAAGCGGATAAGGCCAACCAGCGGATTGCAGCGGAGGAGCGAGCCGGCGTTCCAGTGATGAGCGCGGGGCAAGGACACAGTGAGGGGGGGGTAGCGAGGAGCCAGGGCGAACAGAGTGATGGTTGCTGCAGGAGTTCCAAGCTCAACGGTGGTTGCAACACGAAAAAAGAAACCGGCTTCGATGCTCCAGTCTCAGCCTCCACCTCATCCAAACACAGGCGGAAGAGACAGAATCAAGAATCGACGAATCGATATGCAGAAGCGACAGGGGGGAGCCGGTGGTTTGTAGAGGGAGGGGAAACCGTTCGCGAGCGACGGGGGAAGCGGATGCTTACTGCTTAACTTGATGCCGTTGATCACATTGTTACTCGTAGAGCTCGCCTTTCCGGACGTAGCATCCATTGGATTGGCCACGGTCCTCTTCTTCTGGTCCAGGGAATCCAATTTGGCGGTTTTATCAAGGGAGCACGAGGGAGGCGATAGGTCTCAGAGAGCGGACGAAATCGGGTTGCCGGGATGAACGGGAGAGCACGATTTCACCACTCGATGGAGCGGGTAAGGAGAGAGGCTCTTGAGGGTAGGAGGGTGGAAGGTGGAAGGTGGAGGGATGCTGAAATTAGCGAGGGAGGAGGGGCGTGCGTAAGACGACCAAGTGGAGGCGAACAGCTTGAGGAGTCTGTTTGAAAGTACAGAGCCGAGTCGAGGCAGGTGGCTCACGGGATGCTGCGGAGGCTCGATCGGAACTGAGAGTCGGGGCGAGAAGGCAGCCAGGGAAGGACGATCGAGAACGAGAGAAAGAGCGTGAGCGTGAGCGCGGGTGAAAAGGATCGGCGATCGGGGGGAGCGTGGTGACGTGAGAGATGGAGCCCGAGGGTCGACAGAGACGAGCGACAAGAAGTTCAGGCGAGGGGAGGGCGAGGGGGCGAGACGGGGACACAGCACTGTTGGTCGGATCAACGCCGATCAGAGAGGAGGAACTTTGGATGAGGCGACACGAAGGCAAAAGAGCAGCCGGAGCAAAAGCAAGAAGTAGCCCCGAAGCCAGAAGACGTTCTTGGACACGGGACAGAGGAGGGAAGCAGCGAGAAGTGGAGGGGAGGGGGGCGAATGGAGACGAGAGTGAGGCGAGCAGGCGAGACAGAGGGCGGGAAGTGGACCAAGTCGATATCGCCAGGGCGGGGAGAGGCAGTAGTGGTGCGGCAGTGCCCAGGGCAAACAAACGATGGAGAGGGGTGTTGAGCAAACAAGCGACAGGTGTAGGCGGAAGACGACTGGGGGGCGAGTCTCGAAAGGTTCGAGAGAAACCCCCTGGGCAAAGGGCGAGCGAATGCAGCGGAAAGGTGCCAGAGACGAGAGACGATGATGTGGGAGATCGGTGGAGTCCAAGGGAAGGCAAAGGGTGGCTGTCGAGGCGCCAAAAGCAGTCGGTGCAGAGGAGGGGATGAATGTCGATCCGGCAGCAGTGGGGAGAAAGGGTGCCGAGACAGAGGCAGGCGTATACAGGGATGCAAGTGCGGGAGCACAGGACGGAAAGCGGCATGGGCACCGGGGCAGTCAAAGTCAACGAAAGGGAGTCGGCCGGGCTTGGACAGAGCAAGTGCAATGCCCCAAAGCCAGACCAGCGCAACGACAAAAGCAGCAGAGCAGCAGCAAGAGGCTTCGACGCACATGGACAAACCAAAGAGCGGCAGTCGTTGGGCGGCCGCTGAAGAGCAGAGGTCGAGGAGTAAGAGGGGATGTGTTTGGGGGCAGACGGAGAGGTGTGGGTCGCAGGATGAGAAGCGACAGAAAACGCAAAGGACCATCAGAGGGGGGGTCAGGCCGGGATGGTGCATGATCTCCGAACCGAGCCAGAGGACCACGCCAGTCCCTGCTCCTCCCAGCGCCGCGGCTGGTGGTCCAGAGGTTGCTGGCGCTGGTCGGAGGCCGTCTCCGGACCCGACAGAGGGAAGGAAGGGGGTCAGGGTGGGTGCGGTGGGATGACATGGGGAGGGGAGGGAGGCTACTGAAAGATACTTACATGGACGATGAAGCTCACAGGGGCAGAGACGACCAACAGATGTTTCCGGTTGGGAGTTACTGATGGCGGAAGCGGGCCGGCACCAGATCAAGGGTGGGCGAGGACGGGTTTGCAGCAGCGACGGTAGCGGCAGCGGCAGAAATAGTGAGGATATAGAATGGCGAGCGGGCCACGATCGATGGACGCCGATGTATACCGATGTATACCGATGTTATGCCGATGTTATGCCGATGTATGCCGATGTTGTGCCGATGTTGTGCAGCACCGATGGATTGAAATTAGATGAGGACGATGCAGTGATCGCACAGTAGGTGGAAGATATGGAGCCGGCGGTGGGAGAGATAGCCGAGTAAGATACGATGCGTAGAATGAGACAACGAAAGCCGAAGAGCGGAATGGCGTGCGGCAAAGATTACAGGATTAGGATGTGGTTAGAAGATGCAAGAAGCGGAGTGCAGACAGCAATGCAGGCGGGGCAAGATGAGAGCACAAGATGTAGGCAGGAGGGAAGTAGCCAAGAACAGAGAAGCAATGTGATGTGATCGAGTCGATTGACAGCAATACAATGGCAAGAATAGGTTTGAAAAACAAAGCGAGACAAGTGGAAATGGGACGATCGAGATCGAGCAATCGTCCAAGAGTCGAGAGGGTTCGAGCAAGACAAGGTCCAGGAAGTATGCGCAGATGGAGGCGATGCGGATTATCGTTAGAAACACCGTCCAAGTGGTACGGGATCCAGCCAGCGACCAGACAGGACCGTGAATTGCGAGCAAGCGCTGAGGGAGGCAGCACCCAAGGAGAGTTGGAGGACGGGCCGGTCCAGATGCAAGACCAGGAGCGAGGCAATGTGGCTGTGAGGGTACAGAGGTGATGGCCGAACAATGACGTCGAAACACCGTGGCGACTATGGATGCTGTGTTGCGGAAAACAGCCCGAGAAGATGGGCAGTCCAGGACGGATCGCAGAACGGGTCGCAGAACGGGTCGCAGGACGGACCGCAGGACAGATCGCAGGAGGGAGAGGGGAGGAGCAACGCCAGACACACCGCCGACGGCTATCTGGAGGAGTTCGGTCCAAGATCAATGTGTGCAAGCGACGATGGAAGGGAAGGAGGACGAGGAGGAGGCGGAGGAGGGGAATCTTGCTCTCTGGCCAGGCCTCCCAGCCCCGACCCGGCGCTGGCTGGCTGGCTGGCTGGCTGACTGTCTGTCTGTCTGTCTGTCTGGTGGGCTGGCTGGCTGGAGAAATGGAGGAGGAAGAATGTCGGCTGCCTGGGCTTGGAGGCAGCAGCGAGAGGACTTACAGAACAGAGCGTACAGTGCAACGCCGACGAGGACAGCGATTCAGGATCAAATAAGGTGCCGACGACGACCGTGCAGGAGGGCCAGCAAGTAGATGGGGCCGCAGATTGGAGCGGCGGCGAATGGAGCAGCGGGCTATTGCTCGAGTGACAGCAGCAGTGACGACAGTAGCAGCGGCGACAGCAGCAGCAGCGGCGAGAGCAGCAGCAACGGCGGCGATGGCAGTCCAAGATGGATATCAGAAGCCGCAAGGCAGAGGCGAGGTGTGCAAAAGGCTGCACCCGATGGAAGAGTAAGAGTCGCCAGCGAGGAGACCGGAGTGTCGACAGGTGCGAAATAATGGGGGGAGGGAGCGACGGGATCGAAACGCGATTGAAGCGACAGTGTATTGTGCCTGGTGTGGCTGTCGGGTTTGTGCAGCGACTGGCGGCCGGACCGGGACAACAGCAGCGCACAGCTGGATCAGGGCTGGACAGGACGAGAGAACAGCAGGCGGGAGTGTCGGCGAGCGAGGGCGCCAATGTGCAAGTGTGTGAGAGTTGCAGATCAACATGTACGTCCAGGTGGCAGATGAACATGTGCATTGCAGTGTCGATGCAAATGCCAACTGCGTCGATTGCGATGCCGAAATGAATGCAAATCCCTGGCTGGGTTGTGCACAGTACACGAACAACGGGCCGCGACTGTTGCAAATCCTGCGGCTGCTGCTGTCGATGTGCGTGCAACCGATGCCGTGCACAAGCGATGCGACAGGCCGAGTGTTGTGCATCCAGGCGATCAATCTCGCAGAGACACGAGCGCCACGGGTGTTGTTCCATCGCTGTCACATCCACAACAGCGCACACAGCTGCATCGCCCGCAAAGCACACCCTCCCAGCAACCACCATGTCCATCCGCACCCTCTCGCAGCAGAACTCGGCATCGGACCCGATATCGGACTCGATATCGGACACAGCACCAGACCTGGCACCAGACCCGGCACCGGGCCTGGCGCCAGACTTGACGCTCCCGAGCTGCGACCGAGAACGGCACCGGCTCTCGCGCCCGCTCGGCGAGATGCGCGCGCTTGGCCTTCTGGCCGTGGTCACGGGGCCGGGCACCTGGTCGGGCGGCCGCCTCGCTGCAGGGCCCCGGTCATATGTACAGGGTGCCGCGACTGATTGGTGCGGCAGCATTGCCGCCCCCCGCCATTGTGCGTGGCCGACGCGAGTGTGTCTGACCTGATCAGGGCCTGGCGCGCCGCACAGTGGCATTGTGCTGTCATGGGTATTGTGTTCTGCTGTGTTCTGCTGTGCTGTGCTGTGTTGCGCCGTCGTGCAAATCCACTGTGCAAATCCACTGTGCAAATCCACTGTGCAAATCCACTGTGCAAATCCACTGTGCTCTGCCGTCGTTGTCTTCCCTGGGGCGCCGTTTCCCACAATCCCGGCAGCCGACAGCTCGAGCGAATGCATATCCCCCCAACGCAGAGATGGTGGTCATTATGCACGATGACGGTGTATTCCATTGCATCTCAGCAACAGCAGGCGTAGGGCGTCCTGCTTCATTTTGTGAGCGCTGCGACCCAAAGATATCACCAATGAGGCCCTTGTCGAGTCATTACGAAGTCTTGGGTGCTTCTTTGTCTATCCGTTTGAATTTGAACTGTTCCAAGGGCACCGACCAACGCTTTCCAGCGTCCGAGTCATCGCCAGAACTGCTCGGGGTTTGCTGCATTGGCTGCGATGTTGAGGATATCCCTCGCCAGGGCCGGCTCTGCACGGGGAGGTTCGGATTCGTCAGGGCGGCTTGGCTGTGGAGAGCTTCAACATGAGTTTGGCTCGACTGGTGGCTTTGGGTCATTCGATCGAGCGCGTCCGCTCCTTCTCCTGGATTGGGCTGACTGAACAGCGCTGCGGGAGCGCCCTGGTTCCCTTGCTCGTTTTGCATGTTGTGGCCTGCGTGATCGATCAGGCTTCCGGCAATATCGCCGAGCCGTGTGTGCCTTGATAGACTCATTGGCTGGCTGCCACTGAGCTCTGTTTGGCTTCGACTTTTTTCCAGGATTATATGGGTCCGAACATGGTCATGTTCCCTGTCTGTCGCTGCGCTGCCTCGGTGGTTCTGGCTCATCGGCGCCGTTGACGATATACGGTGGGACATCGTCATTCGATTGTTGACTATGAGGCTGCCGTTCGGATGACCAGGAGCATAGGGGCTCGTCTTCGTCACGGTTGCGGCTGTCTTGGGACAATCGATTGTCTGGGTCGAGGGCGGGGCTGCACTGACTATGGCGTGGCCGACTTTGGGCCAACAGATCTGTCTGGCTATTGCCATCGCCATCGTCATCGACGGCGCCATCATCATTGCCGTCGCCATCTACTCGCCGTCTTTTACGAATCCTTTCTGACGATGCTTCGTCTCGAGAGCTTTCCCTCCAGGACGAGCAGGTACCCTGCTGCGAAAGGTCCTTGGCTGGCACCCGGAGTTCCGTGCTGGAAAATGGCACTGAGAGAGATGCCCTGCGCAAGATTACTCAACCCGAGCCTGATAAGTATGGCCGTTTCTACATACGAGAATCATAGAGCATAATTCAGAACGAGCATCGAGTCGCGTATGGCATCCGTATTGTCCATTTTCAATAAAGCTCACGTCCTGTGCGAGCTTTGGTTTTTATAGAGTGGCAGGTGCGTACTTACCATACTCGGCATAGTCACAGTCAGGGTCGTCGGGGAAGGGAATGTGAAGGGTTGGAGTAACGCCTGCCAAGGCGGACGTCTGCATTGACGCTTCCATGAGCATGACGGCAACAACCTAAGGACTCAAATACAGGCGCGGCATCAGCGTGAATCACTGGGATCGCTTAGCTGACACCTGATGGATCTCCAGCAGGGACGAGCGTGGTGACACGGTCACATACCGCGTCTCGAATGGTTACTGTCTGCTGGCACATGAGCCGTGCCTAATGGCCACGAGACGATCAGGGAGAGCAGATGGGTTGATGAGGTGGCGCTGAGCAAGGAGTCCATTATGGACTTGATCTTCATTTTGGACACAAAGCGGGTCCACACCGATCCCCTGCTTCACGCTGAACATTGCTGATGCGTTAACTGTACGTACATGTGATTGCGCGAGACGAATCAAGCTCTCCAGCAGTCGAATCTATTGATCAGAGTCAAATTAGGGGCTACGTACTGAACAATGAGATTGGTCATTTGACCATTCAACCATTGGTCCAATCGTGCTGCTGCCTCAATGCAATCATGCCGAGGTTGTGTAGAGATGCTCGAGTACTACGGGCACAGTAAAACCCGCGTTCCGACTTACTGTAGTTCGAGCAGCGTTACGGAGATCGACGGCCCGCTGGAGTTGATAGTATTTCTTCAAAACTTGACCGCTTTCCTCTGTAAGTTCTGGGTGGCACTCACTCTTGACATAAGATATGTAGGCCTGCAGCTTCTCGAGATCCCACAGGTCCAGAGGTTCCGGTTGGGTTGCATCGGGTTGCGATTCTCGCGTCTTGCTAACCTCGGCATCAAGGATGTGGGTCGAAACCGACCTATGACCAGACGGCAAGAAGACTGAGCGGGCACGCCTGGGCCAACTCTTCGATAGCACCGACCCATCCCTACAGTCGACGAACTTTGCTTATTCGATATCCCCTCGCTCTTCCTGCAACACACCTATCCCAGTCATCGTTGTGGCTGTCGATGAGCACCAGGACCAAATCAAACCGGGACAGGAGCGGGCTTCCAATGGCGATATTGACCGTTACATTCTGATTCGGATCGTACTTTCCCTTGGGGTTGGTCGCAGCAAGAATGGAGCATCGGGTATTGAGCTTGCAAACCATACCGGCCTGTAAAAAAAGGCACAATTGACCAGAGCCAATGAGCAAGGTGAAGCCAAGATCAGGTATCGACAATGTGGAGGCAAATGGTGACTTTTGAACCTCACAGGTGCCCTGTAGGTATGCGCAGACCAATGTACACACACCCAACTCTATGGCGTCCTCATGTGCAAATTGGCATACGAGACCGCGATCGAGGCTGTCACGGCGATGGCTCAAGACGTACCTTTGCAACGCTGATTGTCTGGATCAGGTATGTAGTCGTCGCGCCAAATCATGACGACGAGTGGTGTGAGCGCAGTGCCGAAGGAGGTAGGTCCACGGTGTATATGCGCCACGGTCGATTACCAAAAACGACATCTCCAGAGCCAATAACGGGCCACAATTCAACCTCTAACAAATGTGGCAAAGTCGCTACATTCACGTCGATGCATAGCCGGTTACGAACCAACTTCCAAGTCGAATGTAGTTGTCGATTTACCTGCTGTTCCATAGCCTCGTGGATGGCTGTCTTATCACTCTCCTTGATGCTGCCAAATTCATCGATACAACAGAGTCCACGGTCGGCCAGGACGAGGGCCCCGGCCTCAAGCTGCCATTCACCCGAGTCACGAACGGCAGTGACCGTGAGACCAGCATTTGTCGAGCCAATGCCTGTCGTCAAGACCACCCGGGGACTGATTTTGGCCGCATACCGCAGAAACTGGGATTTGCCGGTGCCGGGGTCGCCCACGAGGAGCAGATGCCCATCTCCGCGGATTTTCATGCCAGAAGGATCTTGTCGGGGCACCCCACCAACCAAGACAAGCATTACGGCGAGTTTAACGACGTAGAGTCCAAAAATCTTGGAACAAAAGCTTCGAAGGATAATGTTGCGGCCTTCTCATTTGGGGCAAAGAAGCAGAGATCAGTCCTGAGAATGATGCGGCAACGCTCGCCTCGCTATCCAGTCTCCAAGTAAATGCACTGGTGGCCCAGTGGTGCTCGATATAGGCAACTGGGCACTCGACGTTGAATACTATAGTCATGGGTCGACATGGTCCCCCACGACGCTTCATCGAGCAATCAAAGTCACCAACCAACTTACCACGAAGTGGGTACTCTCGATGTTGATCCCAAAATCGCTCAAATTCCGCTCGTCGTTCGTCACTCAATATGGCATTGGCTCGCTGCTCGTTGTTGATGCGGACATGATTGGCATAAAGGACAATCTCCGGGTCTGGTCGAATTCCACTAAAAAACGGTCGCCACCGGCGAGTGACGATGCCCCTGAGACGTAACGCGGTGCCAGTCAGTTTCCGGCGGACCCACAGCGGAGCAGAAACAGCGGCTAAGGTGTCAAGACAAGCGGTGGGATAGACAAGCACTTCATGGGTCGGTCTGCGAAATGGCTTCTAGTCATCTCGATTGTTTCGATTGAATGGCAAATGGCATCCGAGTCTCCTTACACAATCGTGACGTCATCTCCGGCTTTGGCGCTATCCACAAGATCATCTTCTAGAATCACCAGCAGCGATCTGGGGATGTGAAAAACAGGACCAGCAGCGAAGATTATGGGCCAACGGGAGTCAAGGACTCATCCATTGAAGTAGATGGCCAGAGTGTGGATATCCCAGGCTGCAGCAAAGGCAAGTGGTTGGCTCGAGCGGGTAAGTGGAATGGGTTAGTGCGCAAAAAGATATGGTTCCTATGGCGAGCTTGCTGATCTGTTCTTGGATTTTGATCTCTTGGTAGTCCTTGCACGAGTCTGGAATATCGCCTGTGTAGGGACGATTCAAAGACAGCGAGCGTGAGCAACGGTGTGTTGGAACAGGACGGGTGCGCAGTTGAGATCGATATCTCCTTCGTCCCCAATACAGGGTTTCTGCTATGTCCCACCAGCGGCCGCGCCGCCATCGCTTTCAAGGCAGGCGCTTCGAGGACCCAACGAAGCGCACTACAAAATTACCTGTTGTCACGGCCACTTCCCGAAATTTGAGGCTATCACAATATGGAATCCCAGCGGCGTTGAAGGCATCTAATCCGCCGCACCTGACCGGTTTCGGGATAACATTGTACTGCTCGGGATCGGATTTCATTGTAAACCGCCGGCCGCACTTTTGGCACTCGTACAACTTGAGGGTTTCAAGCATCTTAACCATGCCAGTTCGAATGACCGTCCCAGAGATGCACACCAATCGCCCGACATCTTTCGAACGAGGGAGCTTGGGGAGACAAACTTCGTCCACCATTGGTACGCTGATCGTAGGCCACAATTGCCGTTGCAGATTCAGCTCAGGTTGAACCAAAGACGAACAGGGTGGACGGCAAACATGATCCACGCCCCCAAGCTTGACGAAGCAAAGTCAGTCATGCTGAAGCTGCTCCGGCATCTTCGTACCGGTTTAGCCGTGCATGGGTCTTGGGCTTTATGGACAGTTCAGTGGCACTGGGGTTGCGTTGCAGGATGAGACTCTGGGCCTGTTGAAGAGCCGCATCCATGAGTGGGATGAAATCGGTTGGGTTCATGGCAATCTGATTGCACATCCATGGATTTTTGTGAGAATAGTCCAGTATGCTGTGCGTCAAATGTGTTGATGGCGGATGAAATCGTAAGAGTGGTGGTTCATTCAGCCAAAAAGTCAATGAGGAGGCCGAGAGCGAGTCATCGGCTTTTGGCAGCGTCGTCGGTGGACGGTTCCAAAACCCTGGCGCCCGTAGAGGGCTTCGGAATGGCAAGCCAATTGCTGCGGCTCAAAGGGAAAGAGACCTGACATGGATCGGATAATGTCGGCTGGTGTCGGGCTTGGCCATCGTCTCAGTGAGTTCATCATGGCAAATATCGACAAAGTCGGAGGCAAGTAGGGCTGCAGATCGGAGCCAGTAGAGTAGGAGTTGTGGAGGGGGGGGTGTTTAGCGATCAGGGATCAGCGGATTTGGCCAGGGGCCCAAAGGTGATAGCTTAACGTAGATCTAAACGATAGAACTCACCTATGATATCTGAGACCCGGGATTCTGCTGGATGCGGTGTTCCTGAGTCCATTGCTTTCTAGACGAGGGTGAGGCAACGGCGATGATCGAGCCGAAGAGCGAGTGGCCCGCCAAGTGTTCTTGGCGAACAGATGCTGCGCACCTGTCTCCATTCGCAGGAATCGGTGCAGAGCAAATGGCGCACATGAGGGCGGTCCTTCTGCCAGCGAGCAAAGTGTGGAAATTGGCAAAGGACCAATTGCAACCGAGACTGATCACCAGATCAGGACAAGCACCCCAAAGTGTGGGGCACAGTGGAATATAAAAAGACCTCTTACTCCCCCGATGTATCAAAACCTCGGGACGAACCCTCCTATTCAAAAGTACCATCCAAAAATCCAAGAGCCCACCAAGAGGCCAAACCTATCAATATATTTCTCGTTTACTACAAGTACTCCTTCGTCCCCGCCTTGATCCTCGCACACACTCTGCGCCGTTTCTCCCTCAGGTCTTCAACACAAAGCGCCAATCAGGCTCTTGTCGTTCGCGGGCAGCCACACTGCCAATCTGGGGATAGAGCGGGCTGGAAAAACAATGGGATATGGTCTGCTCTGCTCGGACAAAAGAACACTGTCCCTGGATCACGCTGCAAGTCAGGACAGTTGGGACGGACCAGCAAGCGGATGCTGTTGACTGCAAGCGCCTGTCGACGTCGTTCAACCGGGTCATTTATCAACAATGTTCAATCCACGCAAGTCGTCCGCCTGCCCAAGCGCCCCGCTTTCATTTGGGCGGGCAATACAGCGTGTTGAAGAAAAATGGGACACATTGTCTCATTCGGACAAACACGGATCCTATCACACACCCGGCCAAGTGAGGCAAGTCGCTTCCCTGTGTGGGAGATGTATGGAGTGAGTGAGCACGACGGGAACCAGCGAGCCGCCGCAGATGCAGTCACTGCGGGCCAGAGCAAGCAGGCATACCTGGGATGAGGGAGAAGGACGCAGGGCAAAGAGAAAAGTTGCTGGTTTGGGTGCCAATCAAAGTCGTCTGATTCACACAGCCCACACAAGTCATCCGTGTGTGAAGGTGTACCGTTTCAAAACGAGCGGGCAATAAATCGGACCATCTTCGCGCCAAAGGACAATAACTTTGATCATAAGGACAGCCAGTAGCAATTCATCCTTACTCTCGTATCGCTCACGGTGACTTTGCTGTCTGCTAACACCTTCCGAGCTTTGGCCACCTCAAAGACTCTCCTCGATTGAACAATTGGTGAAGCCATGTCCCATATTGGTTCTGCCCATCCACCTTCCATTGACACGGAGGATCGCCCCGATGCCAAGGGCAAGGGCCCGCTGGCCGTCTTGAAGAGCGACCATGCCGCCCTTTACCGAACTACGAGCCCAAACCCTATCCTGGCCAACATGATGAGCTCATCGGTGTCGGGTGAGACGTTGATTCCATTGATCAGGCGCGCTATCCCCAGATATACTGCTGTATGCAATAATGATGTCGCTGGAAGGAGCCTGTCCATGCATTAATATCGTCAATACCCACCCCAGAACTCAGCAAGCACAACATGAATAAGTTTCTCTCTGGATTCAAGAGATTTCACAAAAACTACTTTTGCGATAACATTGAGCTTTTTGATCATCTTCGACAGGCCCAGAGTCCAAAGGTAATGTCGACGCATCGCCAAAAGGGGCCGCCCGGATTTTAGATGAAGAGAAGGGTCGATTTGAGCGCGATATAACAGTTTGCGACCAGGGATGCGTCAGTGCGGTCAATAGTTTACGCGGGGTATGAAGGTTCTTTGTCAAACGAATCTAACGCGGCCATATTGATCTCGACCAGACACTCCTCATTGGCTGCTGTGACTCACGAGTCGATCCAGCGATAATCACCGAATGCGATCCGGGGGATATGTTTGTGGTCCGCAACGTGGCCAATCTGGTTGCCCCTTACCATCCCGACGGCGTTAGCGGATTTCATGGCGTATCTGCCGCGGTTGAGTTTGCCGTCAAAGGTCTGAAGGTGGAGAACATCATCGTTATGGGACATACTCAGTGCGGTGGCATAAAAGCACTTATGCAGGGAGTCTCGAAAGACGAATATCAGTTCGTTGGCCAGTGGATGAGTATTGTGCAGCTCGCAAAGGACAAAACCCTAAAGTAAGTTGCCTGCGGGTCTCGTCAATACGCGTTTAAGTGCACCTTTAATGCCAAAAAGGGTGGTCATAAGTTGAGCATGCCGGCTGGATGCCACGCCAACAATGTCGATACTTGATCGTGGTCCGGGGAGTCAACCAAATGATCAATGCTCCACCGAATGCCGGCTGTGGCTCCTTGGCAGGAGGTAGCACACGACACTGACTACTGATTTCGCTCCAAGGAATTTTCCGGACGCAGCACCAGAGGTTCAACAACGTGCATGCGGTAAGTGATAAACCAATTGTTCGAATCACCCGACGAGATCATGCACGAAGGTGCTGCCTCCAAATGCGCGACTGAGTCGCCCAAACGGAGGGATGGGGAACATAGTCATGAGCGTTCGTTTGGAGCTGAAGTTTGATGAATAGAAATGCTGGTTTCACAAAGCCGACATATTTTCGCAGCAAAATTATGCGACTAATTTTGGTTGTGCCGAAATCATGTCCGCTGAGGTGTTTCTGGTCATAATTTAACTGAACCTATTAACGACAGAACACGCAAGCATTCTCCTGTCGTTGGAAAATCTCATGTCCTATCCTTGGGTCAAAGAACGCCTCATGAAGAACGAGATCACAATCAACGGCTGGTATTTTGACTTTGAACGCGGCGAGCTACTTGGTTACGACGTTGAGAACAATATTTTCGAACCCCTGGTGACATTTACCGAGAATGACAGCCCAACAGTCGCCCAATGAACCCACAGATAGGCTCTCAATTGCAACAGGCTCCCATTCTTGTGGTATATCTTGTGAACTCAAACGCAAGGGAACTCTGGTGCCACATCCAGCACATACTGAGGACTCCGAGGAAGTGAAGGATGAATAGGAAGCTGCTGAACACCAAAGGAGGCTGTACAACCCGACGACAGCGGTCACTTCGCCCAGCTATCGGACGAGCTCGACATTTCAGAAGGTGCTTTAGGAGGAATAAGGGAGATGGTTAATGTGAGGAACGACTTGGAGTCCGAGGAGCCATCACTGAAAAATGATATCGATCAAGAGCGCGATTTATTGAGACAGGGGAAACGGTTCCGACTCTCTTGAGATAGAATAAAAGAAAAGTGAATTGATGTGCAAGGTTAAGAAACAGACATCCATCCCCATGCCATCCAAGGGGCTGGTGCACAGATATAAGGCTTTGAAGGCTCGAGAAATTTATACGGAAGGGGATGCATGGCCTAAACATCCAAAATGCTTTGAATACGGGGGGACAAGAAAAAAAGATCACACCTCATCGACGAACGAGAATTGCCTCAATAAATAATTAGACGCAGGGGAGGATGAGTTCATTGGCTCTGCAACTGAGAACGATGCACAGGGTATCGGTCGACGATCTGAGCTTTGGTGCTTTAGGTGGCGGCGGTGCATATGCGCAAACACGAAGCAAACCTGAGGTTTCATGGCTTGGATATCTGTCGGCTTGTTTCTAATTTCCAAAAGGTCATTGTGGGCAATGAATGCGTGAAATTTCATTTGGGAAGAGAGTCTGGCCTCCCCTCGCTCTTGACGGCATTCTGAGGAGAGTAGGGCACATCTTCGCTAGGGACAGGGACACAACGTCGTTGGATCATGTTGTACTCGGCCAAGAGCGACCATGTGGTCAAACCCATTCCTGGGTGTCCGACCCATGGAGGTGTGGATTGATTCCCGAGACGCAGAGGGGTTGGACACATTGGCCGCATGAGGATGGCGGTGTCGAGCCAGCAACAACCAGCGATGCGCATATCACCGCCATGGATACAAGGCGAGGCCCTGGTCATTCCTCCGTGGGATTCTAGCTGCCAATGCTTGACCGACGTGGGTTGTGGGGTCCCGAGGGAACATAGAGGGCGCAAGCACGGAGGGAACCAGCAAGACGCTGTAGCTACAAGCAACCCGACTCGGGAGAGGAAGGCATATTTGATATGGGGAAGAAACGAACAGGACAATAAGCCAAATCGCGATACGGACGAGTAGGGTAGACAATACTCAGAGGTGGGCCTTGGAGAAATAGAACTGAAAAAAACCAGGTACAGAGTGAAAATCATGATAAGATGAGACAAGGGAATCACTGACAAAACATCCAGCAAGGACTGAGGAGATTCAACAATACTCCAGACATAAGATCAAATTCTATCCGAATTCGGAAATTGGAGGAATCGATCAATGGAAAATTGGGAAAAGACTTCGGGTCAGAACGAGAAATGGATGAGAAAAGGAAAGATAGACTCACTGAGCATAAATAATGAAAGGAAAGCAGAGGAACAAAGACATCGAAGGACGAAAAACGATGGAAGAGAAAAATTTAGGATGAAAAGCGCTCCTAGGTGGGCTCGAACCACCAACCTTCCGGTTAACAGCCGAACGCGCTAGCCAATTGCGCCATAGGAGCCAATCGCCCAACGTGGGGGTCGAACCCACAACCTTGAGATTAAGAGTCTCACGCTCTACCGATTGAGCTAGCCGGGCAGTGAAAGTGGAGAATCGGGGTATCGATCCCCGTGCCTCTCGCATGCTAAGCGAGCGCTCTACCATCTGAGCTAATTCCCCCCAGGTTTGCCCCGATCTCGTTATCGAGTGTTCCGCGGACGCACTTTTTGAATTACTACCCTCCCATTGCCTCCCAACCTAACCAACCCGGTATCAACCATGCCCCCCGACGACTCGCCTGCCCCCGAAATGGCCGTAGACGTCCATGACAGTGTCCCTGGACCCTCCAGAGCACCCCCTGAGGCCCAAACTCAGCCCGAAACAATCGATCTCACGGACCAGCCCACGCCCAAGAAACGCAGAGGCGATGGCCAAGAAGTCTCCCAGCCCATAGTCCCCAGTGGCCAGAAGCCGATCGAAACAACGATCGAGGAGCTCTACGGAGACTCCGAAATGTACCCCAACCCTCCCGATGTCGAGGCCGAGAAGAACTGGGCCATCGAAATTGCAGCCAAGGAAGAAAGGGGCGAAGCCTGTGAGGCCGACTACATGTCACTCACCTTTGACGAGATCACTTACCGTCGATTCCGCTTGGTCTTTGCACTCCGAGGCCACAGGGTCCGCTGCTCACGCTGTGCAGACAGGAAGCAGGCCTCATGGCACCTCGACCAAGACGACCACGACATCGTGTGCAAGAACAACATGATGAGCCCTGACAACCCGGCCAAGATTAAGGAGTGCGGCCAGCGCTTCCCCGTCCTCGCCTTTTGGGGACTAATGACCCGCACTGCGGACAACATTCAAGCCTTCAACCAACGGGTGTCCCTCGGCGACGCCAACACGGTCGGGGCCCGAGTCTGTGATGGCCTGTCATGAACACCCTCTGCCTTTGCCCTCTTCCTTCCTTTACCCTTGCCCTTTCCTTTCTGTTTGCCTGTCTTAGTGCTTTCCCTTCCTTCTGTTTGTTTGTTTCCCGCGCTGTGCTGCCTTGTTGTCTTACCGCCAGCACGCGCGCTGCCTGTGTTCCGTTCCCGCTTCCTTGCTGTTGGTCATGGGTTACGCCCACGACGCCGCCTCGACGCCGCCTGACGCCTTGGCGCCGCCATGCCGCCGCCACTGACGCCCGCTGACTCACGGATCCCGAGTCACGGCCGCCACCTGCTTCGCTCGCTGCTTCGCCCTCCCCGCCGCTGCTTCGCTCCTGCCCCCTCGCTCTGCAACGTCGATCCTTGGCGCTCGCATAAATAGCCCTCCGACCAGCCTCTGTCTTTTGCCTTCGTCTTGCCACTTTGTATTTTTAGTATCCTAAGCCTTGGATCTAGAATAAAACTTTGGCTTCACACTTGACACTCTGTGTCCCAGTCCAGTCCCCGCTCCTCTCCCTACGTTCGAGTCTTGCATTAGGACTCTTGCGCACTTCCCTGCTTGCCCCGTTGTCCAGTCTTGACATGGCCGTAGCCACAAGACGCGGCGCCAGCCACTGACAAGCGCCAAGAGAGCACAAGAAATGAAGCAGCTGATCCAGCAGCTTGACCTCTCCAGCCCTGAAGGAGTCAACAAGCTCAAGGCCATCGCCACTGAGGCGGTAGAGGCACTCGTGTGCTACACCAATCACGCGTCTGAGGAGAAACGCGCTCCCCCACCGGACACCTTTGCTGCCGCCGCCGCGCGTGGTGCCCGCAAGGTTACACACGCCAGCGCCAGGACCGTCACCGCCAACCGGCTCGAGGCCCTGGAGAAGGTCACCCTGGAAAACGATACTGAGAAGAGAATCAGTGCCATTGGAGCGGTGCTCAGAGGCCGAAACCCAGACGACGGCAAATGGATCGTTCCCAAGGTCGCCACCCCCTTCAGAATGATCCGAGCCAAGGCCGCAATCGAAGAAGGCCCCATGAAGACCAAGATCGACAGTGCCACATGGGTCTACGTCAGGGGAATCCCGAGAGGAAGCTACAAGGCTGTCAGACAGGCGTTCAAGCTGGCAGGCTTCCCGACGAACCAAATCCTGAACATTAGCTTCGTCGACCGACACACAAGCGAATTCATCCTCAGGGACGCCAGTTACAAAGAACAGTTCCTCAAGCTCATCAAAAGCTGGAAGTTCACAGAGATCCCAGGCGTGGATGTCAAGAACTTCACCGAAGAGGAAAGAAACACCAAGAAGATGCAAATCAAGAATTACATTGAACGCGCAGCCAAGATATGTGCCGAGTCCAGGGATCTTCTCACGGCCACAGTCTACCAGCGCAAGCTCGACGACCCCGACATTGCCGAGCAAATCACCTCCAGGGCCCGTGAGATCGCCCAAGGAAGAACAGGCCGCCCCGCGATGGGCGGACGCACAGAACCCCAATCCCATCAATGAATCAGGTACCCAACGTACCGACAATCAGGTTCGCGACTCTCAACGTGAACGGCCTTGAAACCTCATACCACGAAATCATTGAAGTACTCGACAAACAGAAACTGGAATTCATCACAGTTCAAGAAACATGGCTGAAACCTCATAGCTCAATTGGACCACTCAAGAACCTCATAGTCTTCGAGACACGCGAGCCGGACCCAAACGGCCGCAGCCGAGGTACCGGTGGGATCGCCCTGATCCGGAACCCACGAAGAACCAACATGGAGGACTTTAGCAACTTCTATGTAGGCCCGCACCACACCAGTATCTGGTTCAAGTTCAGAGGAATCACCTTCGGTTCATTCTACCTCAAACCACTACTCCGTGAGAAAGTCAAGGAGGGCCTGTCCATCATCAAGAGACAGACTACCCAGCAAGGCACCCCGATCCCATCTGTGATCATGGGTGACTTCAACACCAGACTCGGCCAAATGGCCAGGGACTCTCGTTTCAACGACCGAAGACCAACCCTCCTCTCGGCCGCCACCGAGGGACTACTCACCTTCGTCGATTCGTCCAACCCTCGCGGGGACCACTGGACACACTACTGCGATGTGGAAGGGACGTCAGTAATCGACTTATTCTTCGCATCGATTGCCCTCCGACGGATGCAAAAGACCGTCAAAGTACAAACAAACACCACCTGCAACTCGGACCACCGACTAGTAACGATGGAGCTCGAGTGGGACGCCGAAAGGCAACCCCGACAGCCCACGATACATGTCTGGCGCACCAAGCAATTGGAATTCCCACGGGTCCACGAAGAGTACCTCGAGGCCTTCGAGCAAGTACACCCGGTAGTAATCGAGCAGCTCACCCAACTCGAACAACGATTCCCACGGCGGGAAGGACTACTCGGACCACCCGACGCCGAGACCCTCATAGAAAACGGATGGTCGATCATCAAAGGCCACATCAACTCGATTGCCAACATCGTCATCGGGAAGCGCAAGAAGTACGGAGCCGTCCCCCCGAATGGCTTCTGGACCCCAGAGATGACCGAGATCAAGAGGCGCCGGAACGCAGCGTACCTACTCGCTTCCAGAGCGCCCCACGGCTCGAGACTACAAGTCGAAAGCGCGGCAGAGTACAATCTCCAGAACATTACCCTCCGCAAACTTGTCAAACGTCGCAAGCGAGAATTCTACAACAACTGGGCCGAATCACTTCCGACCAAGCCTGACACCGAGCTCATGAAGGAAATCAGCAAGCGTGAGAAGATCAAGAGTGGTTACTTCAACCGCTCAGTACTCCCGAACGACGCAGAAAGCTTGGAAACCTACAGAACTCACTTCGGAAACATTTCAAGCCGACATGGGGTCCAAGAAGACCGAGTAGTCGCGCCCAGGCAACATGTCGCATTCAGTCGAGTGGGCGTGGGAGACATCACCCCCGCACAAGTACAAGAGGCCATCAAGTTGTTAGGGATAGCTCCTGCTTGTTCTCCACCTTGACTGCACACTTGGCTGTTCTTTTGCCTTTCTGTTTGTTTGTGTGTAGCCTTGCAGTTCCCCTCCGATTTTCCGCCTTTTGCCTGCCATTTCCGCCCATTCCGCACTTCCGTTTTCCCGCGCTGCTCCGCTTCCTTTGTCTTCTTCGCACGCGCCGGTTTGTTTGTGCACGCGCCTTGCTGCGATTGGTTGCAATTCGGCTGCCGGTCATGTGTCCCCCCACCGGTGACTCATGACCTGCCTGACCGCCCCGATCTCTTGTTCATCTCGCATGCATTTGCCCCAACCTTATACTTGACCAATCCGCTTCTTGGACGTTGAGTCACATTGCTTCGCCTTTGCACGTTTCTCCTGCCAGGTGCTTCGCTTTTGCTTGCGCCTCTCTCGCTTTGGTTCTCTGCCTGTCTCGGTGGTCCTTCTCGGCCCTCGTTCGTGCATCGCCCCCTTCGCCCTGCTCGATCGCCCACTTTTCCCTCCCTTGGCCGCCCTTCGCTGCCAAGTCCGGACTTGTCTATAAATAGCCTGACCCCCGCGATGTGTAGTCGAACCTCAGCGTTCAAAATAGGACTAAATAAGGTGCCCTCTACTTTATTCTCTGAGTGTTCCTCACGTCTTATTTCGAGACTAGTCTTATCTTGAACGGATCTTTGCTTCCCTCGCTCCCTCTCCGAGTCCACTTCGGACTTTACCCTTGCCTTCCCAGAGCCCACTTCGAGCTCACCTTCTTCTTTTGCCGTTGAGTCCCCCTCGGACTCTAACATCATTTTGAACGCTACCTCTTGGCTTTCCGGCCTTTCTTCTTCTTTCGCCTCTCTTTCCCTCGTCGATCCGATGGCTGAGCCTGCTGCACCCCCTGCAGATTTGAATGCGTATCTGGCGCGCATGGAGGAGCGTATGAACGCCCTCATGACCCAGAACGCTGCTCTCCATCGTCAAATCCAAGATCTGCAAGCTCCCGCCGCCGCTCCCCGCCAGGTCTACCAGGTCAACAAGCCCAAGGAGTTCCTCGGTTCCCGCGACGAGACGACGGCATTCCTCGCCCAGTGCCACCTCGTCTTCCTCGCCGATCCCGCCTTCTTCGCGCCTGAGCGCCAGAAGGTCCTGTACGCAACCTCCTTCCTCCGTGGCGAAGCCTTCAAGTGGTACGAGGCCGCCTTCTACATGGCCAACCGCTTCCCTGCCTCCTTCGCTGATTTCGAAGTTGCCCTCAAGTCGACCTTCGGTGAGGACACGGCCTCCTCGCAAGATAAGGCCTTGAACGACCTCAAGCGCTTGGTTCAACTTAAGTCCTGCCAAGCCTTTGCCACCCGCTTCGTCCAGCTTGCCGCCCCAGTCCAGACCGATGAACCCACGAAGATGCACTTCTTCAAGGAGGGTCTGAAGTCGGAAGTCAAGTTCCACCTCATCGGTCTCCGCCCCGCTCCCGCTTCCTTGCCTGAGTTGATCAAGGCAGCGGTCGAGTACGACGATGCCCTTCATCGTCTCAAGGTCTCCTCCCGTTCCCAACCTCCCCCTCCTTCTTCTCGCTCTGCTCCCCATCACCACCATTCTCCCGCGCATGTTTCTTCTTCCTCCTCTTCTGCACCCACTCCCATGGACCTTGACTCTGTCTCGGTCCGCCCTGCTAAGCTCTCCGACGTCGAGAAAAAGCGACGTCGTGAGCAGGGTCTCTGCTTGTACTGCGGGGAAAAGTCTTGTCCCGGCAGTCGCGATGTTCAGCAGTGCCCGGTTCTGGTCAAACGGAACTCGGGAAATGCCCACAGCCGAGCAGCACCTCGCAAGTAAGCGAGGTGGTCTGTTCGGCGATACGAACATCTTCCCCCTCTGACTCGTCATTATCGGACGATAAGCTTCTTCTTCCGGCCACTCTTATCGTCATGAGTCTTTCTGGCCCGGTCTCCATCTCCCTTTCTGTCTTTATTGATGATGGATGCACCGCTCTTGCCCTCATTGATCCTGCCTTTGCGGATCTCCATAAACTCTCTCTTATCCCTCTCTCTACTCCTTACTCCGTTTCCCTTGCTGATGGTTCTTCGGCCGGTTTCATTCGTTTCCAAACCGTTCCTGTGACTCTGACCATTGGTTCACACACCGAGTCGATTTCTTTTCTTGTGACTCGACTCTCCACCACTCCCATCACTCTTGGTCTTCCCTGGATGCGCTTGCATAATCCAGTTGTCAATTGGAAGTCCCTCTCCCTTTCATTCTCCGATCCCTCTTGCCTTGCTGATGGACACATCCTCGCGGATGTCTCTGCTTCTTCCTTGGACACTTCGTCCACTTCTGGCACTTCGCCTCCCCCTTCGGGCACTTCGCCTTTGACTCTTCCTCCCTCCGGTCCTTCCCTTACACCGGTTCCCTCCTTTGGCACTTCGCCTTCCCTTTCTTCCCGCCTTGACTCTGCTTCGCTTTCTGAAGAGCCAACGGCTTTATCTTCGCCCGACATTGAGCTCGTTAATGCGGCGAGTCTTCTCCGTCTTGCACGGGAAGACAAGCTCGACATTTTCGCTGCCCAAATGGATATCCGTCCTCCTTCGCCGGAGACGTATCCTACGGTGTCGATAAGGTCCGTGCTCACGACGAAGGTGTATGCCGAGTCTGGCACCCCTGTTGACTCTCGAGGTGTCCCACTCAAATACAATGAGTTTGGCGACGTTTTCAGCCTCAAGTCTGACCCTCCTTCTTCCTTGCCTCCTCACCGTCCGTATGACTTGTCTATTGAGTTTGTACGGACCGAGGATGGAAAGGAACCTCGTTTGCCAAAGCCGGGGAAAGTCTATCCTTTGTCCCCGGCCGAGGAATCTGCTCTTTCGGAGTATCTGACCAACGCCCTCGCACGTGGTTGGATCTCCAAATCCTCTTCTCCCGTTGGTGCTCCCTGCTTCTTCGTGAAGAAGCCCAATGGTGGTCTTCGCCTTTGCGTCGACTACCGGGGCCTCAATGCCATCACGAAGAAGAATCGCTACCCTCTTCCCCTCTTCCAGGATCTTCTGGATAAACTTTCTTCTGCCCGCGTCTTCTCACACCTCGACCTTCCGGATGCTTACCACTTGGTTCGTGTCAAGAAGGGCGATGAGTGGAAGACTGCTTTTGTTTGCAAATCTGACTCTTACGAGTACAACGTTATCCCCTTTGGTCTTTCGAATGCCCCCGCTGCTTTTCAGTTTTTTATGAACGACATCTTCTCGGACCTCCTTGGTGTCTGTGTTGTCATTTATCTTGACGACATCCTGATCTTCTCAAAAGATCCCCAGGAGCATGAGGAGCATGTTAAGCTTGTTCTTTCTCGCCTTCGTGAACACTCCCTTAAGGTCAATCCGGCCAAGTGTTCTTTTGACCTTTCTGAAGTTGATTTTCTCGGCATGATCATTTCTGCCGATGGCATCAAAATGGACCTTGCCAAGGTCGTGTTAGAGTCCGAAGGGGACTCAACGGCAAAAGAAGAAGTGAGCTCGAAGTGAGCTCAGGGAAAGGCAAGGGTAAAGTCCGAAGTGGACTCGGAGAGGGAGCGAGGGAAGCAAAGATCCGTTCAAGATAAGACTTGTCTCGAAATGAGACGTGAGGAACACTCAGAGAATAAAGTAGAAGGCACTTTATTTAGTCCTATTTTGAACGCTGAGGTTCGACTA